TTCTGTAAATATTATGATGGCTTAGAGATATCAGTATTGGTGGTAAGTTATCTTTAACGATTCCCACAGTTTATGCCTGTTCCAGTATTAGAACTACACACTGCACGTACAAAATAATCACCAAAGACTCCGAGTATATTCACCTAACAATTAAAACGCTTGCAATGATCAATTCTGGGATAATTAATGAATAATTGTAATAATAATTGTACCTGTCCTTGCTGGAACATTTATTTGCGCACTTGACATCCCACTTGGGAGAGCAGCTTTGTTCTACCACCTGACCTTTAGAGCATGATGCACAGGGAAGGCAAATGGACGAATCTTCATATCTGGAAAATGAAACTCCTTTGGTGCATGCCAAACATTTCACCATGGTATTAGAAGGCAGCAGTTCAGAACTCCCACATTCCGTTGAGAGACCTTGTCCTTCTGGGCAAGTTCCGCATGTTATACACTCTTGTGAGCCATCTTCCTTTTCAACCCAGTATTCAGTTGGTTTGCAAGGATTTGTCTGGCTTGGCGTCGGCTAGGAAAAAGAAAACGTATAAAAAAGAGTAACAATAAATGAGTGGCAGTCCTTTCCATTCTAACTGTCAGAAAGATTACGACACAAAATATTTGCATTTTGTGTCGTAACGGCGGTGAAAGCATCAAAACCCGCAAGAAGTTGGTCCGACTTAGCTTCGCCATTTTGAGCAACAGTCGGCTCATCTTTTATATCATGTAAGCCCAATCTAATTGTCGCAGAATATAATAAGAAATCCAGGATGACAAAGACGCATTGCAAAACAGGCGTCACGGACTCACGGGAGTGACTCGCCCTTCACGCTCGCTTCACGCATGCATTTCCTCGACCACATGCCGCAAACAAAAATTTTTTACCAGGTTAAAGGTCTTGCCAGTAACCACAAGAAAAAAAAGAGTTCGCCAAATCTGTGTTACTTTCTATCCTTGATATATTTACCCAATCACCAGGCGATATTTTGTTTGGATAATTAAATGTTCCTTATACGAAGGAAGGACCTAATCCACACTCAAATTCAAAATGGCGGATCCTCTGAGAAATTTTCAGAGCTTGGGTTGTTGAGGATTGGAGGGCCACCATCAGGTTTTAAATCATTTCAAAAAGTAGCTCGAAATTCAGCCATAGAATTGAGCTAAACGATCTCCAACGAGGCCTCGCTCGTGTTTTCTTCTGTTTGTAACATACGTGAAAAGAGACGCGATGTTCTTCAAATCACCATTTATATGTTGGGAAAATTTCGTGTTCTCTTTTGTTATGGGAAATATTTACTAACATGTTTGAGAGTGCTAAATAATTTTTGATTTAAGATCTTCTTATTCTCATTTATTTCTTATGAAATCGTTAATCGAGTAGAATAGGTAAGAGTGACTCCCAACATACCCTTCCGAAGAATCTCATTGTAAAGAAAACCTGGTAGTTATTTCAAGATTCACCGTAATTTGTAAAGCTTTCAGTCACACATGATGGCATTTACCATGATGGCAGTTACCAAAACTCTGCATAGAAGAGGCTTTACATAGGCATTTCTGAAATTTTCACTTGCCTACATTTATCGAGTACTAAAATTAGTTTCAAAAGTATAGTTTATTGAAATAAAATTGGCATATTATTATTTCCTTCCTAATAATATATTGTAGTATGTGCTGCTCTTAGTACCTTTCTTGATGTTGAATGTATACGGGTGGAATTGTTATCTATTGTTTGGTCTAGCTTGGAATGAGGAATATTCTTGTATCTAAAAGAGCGGTTGTTAGATTCTGGACTTATGGACTAGATTTGAATATTTGTTTTTTATATATATTTAGAGGGAACTATACCCAAAGCATGAGAGATTTTTCTCGTTTAATAAGTGTTTATTAAAAGAATGTAATATTAGCTACAAAAATAACAACTCATTCGTTTTGCGAGACAAAATTTTGTGGGGTTTTATTTTCGCGGTATCAGAAGGAAAATATAAAAAAATAGAGCATTAAATTTTGCGATTCAAGCGTTCTCAACTTCATTTTACTTGTCAAAAAGTCTGAACTTTTTAAAATTCCGAAATAACAGGGAATAAGTGTTGTTATGACATTTTGCGTGTTTAAATTTCGCGAGCAATAATTTAGCGATCTTTTGAAAATCGCGAAAAACGCGAAATTAAGTATCTATAAGGTACGTAATAATTATGCATATACAATAAATATAATCCAACCTTAGCAGAAACCACGGGAAAGCAAACGACAACCACGGATATGATCCCAAATAACTGTGAAAATAAATTACGATGAATGATTAGTAACGCCTTAGTATAGTTATGTGCTAAGGTTTTACTTATGTCAATTACATGACTGATCTTTTTTTTTTTGCCAAATTTCGGACGGCGAATATTTTTTAAATTCCTTTAAAGACGTAAAGCTATTCGAACCTAAACAAGGGTGACGCAATACTTTCATAAGCCGGTGTCAGAAATATCGTTTCGATGGATAAAATCTACCGTTTGATTGCATATATTGAGAAGGAATCTCGCATTCGTCGAGCTAGTTTGCTGCAAATTGCGAGATAAGAAAAAAGAGATCAAGGTTTACATCAAAGTAGAATTTGCGAAATTTTAATTGTGTACGCATGAAACTGTCAAAACCGCTTTTGACGTAGTTGTTGTACACATCATCTAGGATGAAATAAGATGAAATAAGATTAAATAAAAATGTTATCATCCCTTGTAAGATGAATAAGCCAAGTCTTACTATGGACTTCTTCAAAATGAAACTTCATCTGCAATCAGAATTTTTTTCCATCTTAGCAAACCATGAGCTAATCGCTTAAATGTGATTACGCAACGCTTTTCCCCTTTAATCAGTACTGATGATGGCTGACCTTCTACTCACCGAATTTAAGCAATTTAAACTGGCCCACGTAAAAAAAGTGCTTCATTCTTTTTAACGACAATTAAAAAAAATGAAAAGGCATAACAGGTTATTGATTTTGCTCACCTTCGGATGAAGAGACAATAGATCACTGCGCGGTCGTTTTCGTATTGCGTCATTAGTTTCAGTGCTATCCAGCTGTACATGAGCGAAGGAAGAATTAAATAGTATAGTTAATCTAAGGTTTAAAGGCTGAATTGGGAATTTTCCCACAGAATTAAGAATTTTTCTTGAATAAAATCAAACAACGATAGACGTAACGAAATTCTCACCACTTTCTCTGAGCGCATCATGGTTTTTCAATGAGTTCGAAATCTCTACCAAAATGACTGCTAGAAAGAAACCCTTAAGTTCGATGCTCTTTGGAAATCCATTTTGCATATTTCTGTTCGAAGAGGTGAAGGAAACGTCAAATCTCACCGAGTAAAAGCGAGATCTGTCAGTTGTACGAACAGAGGATTTATTTTAGTTCTTTTACATCAGTAATGGTACGTTTACCTTGATTGGTTCTTCACTTTTTCTTTTATGGCTTGTCACCCATTCATGAAAAGTGTATTATCCTAGCCCCAAGTTCATTCAAGGGCACCCCCGAAATTTACATGAACATCTTATGACTGATACCTAATTAGGCGAGAAAGTCTCAGCAGATGAGTTCGTGATTCTGGATACTTCCGTACTGTTTACATTCTAGCGTGACTTTTTCGCCTTCGCTGGAATGAAAACCCATTCGTCAAGATCTCGATCAAGTCCTCGAGGCGCTTGTGGTCGCAGAGACACATGTAATCAATAAATCTATCAAAAGTTTTCCCATCCTTTACGCTCTATGTATTCAACAAAAAAATTCGTCTCTGATCTTGAGCAAGAGATCGAGAAAGATAAAGGAAAAGTAGAAATTCTGTTGTCCTGACAGGTGCTGATATCGACGATGGCGGCAGGTGGTGATTTCGTTGTGAAAATGATCCCACAATTCTTGCAAGTTCTGTTATAGTCCTTGTGAATTAAGAGGCAGCACGTAATTTTGTTAAGCTCTCGTAGTTTCTGAATTGTGTCGAGTCTCTGTTTCGGAAAGACCTTTAAATTAGCTTTTTGTACTTTGGACTCAAAACACGGGACCGGGAAGAGGCAATGAGAAATATGATTCCTAGTATTGCATGGTGTAACCGCAGAACAGCCCGCGTAATTAGCCATTGACGGCGATTAAGGTGATCGATTTTTGGGACGCTTTTTATCAGTCCGTGTAATCCCACTTCATTTGCTTTAAAACCAAGGAAATATATCTTGGGAGCGAAGGTATTTGCGATAATCATACGTACTCGTGCAAAGCTTAATATATGGCAGATTTGATGCAACGACCACTCTAGGCATTGAGGGGCTTTACTAGCTTTAGGCACTTTGAGGCGGTTCTTCTCGCTACTTTGCTTAAGCAAAGCCTATAGAGCTATTGTTAGACCAAGTAACTCAGGGATACGTGTGTAGGAGAATAGACATGTTTGTGAAGAGGTTATGGCGGTACACAGTATGACCCTTTACACCACGTATAAACACTTACCGTCCCAGTTTCCTAATTGGGTCACATCACACTATCTGACGAAATTTTTGGTCCCGGCGAATGTTTATCGATTTCTTCTGTAATTCACTTTACTCTGAATAAATCGATGACGCACAGAAAGAAGGTTGCAAAAATCAATTAATTTCTTTGTTTAAAACACGAAATGAGGGTTGCCTGGAGTAAGCTATTGGTCCGTTTATTTCTCTAAGTAGTGTTATTAAAATAATTATTAGGAAAGTGAGATTTAGCTGGCAAAAAAATGTGTTGCATGCACTACATTTTTTAGCTTCATATGGTAAAAGTGGCTGGAGAACCCATACGAAGTACAAAATGAAAACTCCATACGGAGCCAATTTAAAAGTGTGTTTCAAAAGAGGGAGCCAGTCAACAATTTGGATGCAAATTAAGAATTAGACGCAAGTAGTCACGGGATCAAAGGCCAAGCACCATCAAGAATGCATATCTATGCAACATCCGTTCCAGGGAATCAATACAGCCATATTCTTCTTAGTAAGGCGACATCGTTTTGCAGATGAAATGGTGGTTTCAACGTACATCTTAGCCACCGAAGGATTAACTCAGGTAAAATAACTTTAGCCTCTTTTAATGAATGTTAATGAAAATGGGAGGGATATCTATTTTAATCCTAATTTGAGTAATAATTATTGTGTGCTGGATAATAAACTGAAGGGTAATACCAGTTCAGAAACGACTCAAAAATATTTCTTTGACTTTTTAGCCAAAGGCGTAAGCGCTTATTAAAGCGTCTCTGATGATTATGATTACACATAATCTGAAGTATCACCCTATCAAAATATAAGTACATCGCATTTCCCTGCATTTAAATAAATTGCCATGAAAAGAAAATAAAAAACTAGTCTAACAGTTCATTCCCCTTGCCCTCAAGTTATGTCGATTTATTACAATTTACTGTTCAGATAGATTATCAAGTTTCTAAACTTGTTTCTGAGCGAAAGTCATGTGAATTTGTATTTGTTTCAGGAAAAAAATATATCCTGATGAGATGTAACTTTTAATTTTAGGGTATTTGGAGGAATCAGCCAATATTTTTTCTGAGATACTATTATTTTATGAAATAAGTCAAGATTCTGTCTCCAATGTTCTTGCTATGTCAAAAGCGTTTCACAGCTCTGGATCTTTCTTCGTGAGATAAATTTGTGCTTTCTCACCATGCAATCTGGCCACGGAAAAGATTGCTTTTTATCTCAATATCTTACCTCAATAGGGAGAAATCTATGCCCTCGTCAACAGAACAGAGGCGCAATTGGACGCTAAGCACCTACTATTTTGTGTGGAATACAATGGCTCGCAAGTAAGTGCTACTAATACTACTGTGTTTACTAATGCTTTTATAGAAGACCAAGTGAAAATTAAGTTCCAATTGCTGGGGCAAGTACGAAGGAACTTAAGAGTAATTTACCCAGATATGGCGGAACAAGTAAGTCTCGTGTGAATAATTGTTCAATGTTTGTAGTAGTTTTTCACACGGTAATGTATGTCTCTGATCATATTTTCTTCCAGCGGTAAAGGAGGCCAGAACATCACCTATTTCGCTGTTTTCATTTTCGTCCTTTCATTTTTTTCAGAGTGGACGCGCAACTTTTCCCAAAAACTCCGAAACAAGAATGATACTACGTTTCTCCAGCGACACTACAGTAATGTAATATTATTACTGCTACTGTATACGTATGAGTTATCTCACATTATTTGCAACCTCCTACTTTTTAGATGATAACTGTGCATCAGATACGGTGGATGAGTCAGCCATTTATGCAGACGCCTGGGGCCGAAGCACCATTGACTGTAGAGTTTATTGGTCCCGTGGGTGAATTATGCGAAGAACACATAAGGATTACAATGGAATATAGGGAAATAACTCAAAACATGCTTCTCCCAATATTGGTAATTTACTGCTCAACAACCATTGCTCCCTCAAGTAAAACTAATGATAATAATAATAATAATAATAATAATAATAATAATAATAATATTAATAATGATGATGAAAATTATGAGGATAATACTGATATCGGCAGTGAGAAATATAGCGAAAATCAGTAAGCTAATGACGATGATGATTGGTATTATGTTTTTGCTACCTCTTAACCAAATGGTACAAATCAGCTGTCGTTGACTCAGTCCTCCGTCAGACATCATTATTCTGATCAACGCAAATCTTAGCCATCAGTTTCTTTACACGAGGATCATACAGGTGGAGAGAGCTCAAAGTTTTTTTTTTGGAAAATTAAGCCTCAATTTATACTTTTTGGGATCAAATTTGTGACCAAATCCCAATCCTAAATAGCTTTTGAGTCTTAACCATGAAGGGAAAACTTCTCTAAACTATATTTCCCTGTTAATTAATATCTTCCTTGTTTCAGTCTCGCCGACAAAACCATTAACTCCTCCTGTGATACTGATCGACTTGTGTTCAAGACCAAGTGTTCAAAACCGACGGGAAGAAAAAAGTAAAAAAGGATAAATGAAGACGACAATCGTTAACAAAATATTCTGTTGCAATTTGTTGCGTCTTCGGTAATTTTTGTTGCTTCCTCAATAAACAGAATACCGTAGTTATAATTACTTTGTACCTCTTTGGCATTTTTAGCCTTCGGCACCCCTGACATGTATTAACTTTCTGATGAGAGTTTACAGCGGTTATCATTTGTTGACTTGTGATCATTGTTATTCTTATTAAATTATTTACAGAAAATCAGTGATTGGTTAGGTTTGTTTCGCCGGTCTAAGTGTCTTCTTTAGTGCATTTGATTATAAGTTGATATTTGGCAACACTAATAAGCAAACTGAATACAGAAGATAAAGGCAGACATGAGAGAAATTTAAAATCAAGAATGAAAGCAAGGGAATGAAAACAAAAACATGTGGGTCATGTTAAAGACAAATGATGCGTGAAAAAAGATAGAAAACTACATACAAATGATATTTTACAAAACTTTATTGCGTTTTTTTTTTTGCTTTTCCTAATTAGCACACAATTAGTAGTTTATTAAATTTTTCGAAAAATACAACTTAAGGAGGAATAATTAAAAATTTTGCTGCAAATTCTCTTATAAAATTTAAAAAGAAAATGTTACCACCTAGAAATGGAAAAAACTAATCATAACTTAAAAGTTTAAATTAAAGCCATAACACATTATCTATAGTAAAGGTTTGAGCTCTCCTTGCCTTTTTAACTTGGATTAACAATTGATTCATGAACAAATACATACTTAAATATTGCACAACAATAAAAAAGGACTAAACAAAAATCTCAAAGTTTGAGATATTTGACGAAGTATTTCCAATAATACAAACAAAATTTAAAAAATATATATTTTTGGTTTAACAAAATACAACAAAATATTAAATAACAATTAACATGTTTCTTGAAACATAAATTATGAAAATTATCCAACCAAAATGATTCTATGGTTCTTAACAGTTTTTTTACTGGAACTTTTGCATTTGGAGCTTGCGTTTATAAAATGTAGACAGCTCTCGTATTCAAATTTTTAGCAACCCATGGATGAAACTTATGTCATGCCGATTATAACCTAACTCTCAAAAATTTAACAAGATGAAACGATTTAACAAAATACGTGCAACTACCTAAAATAACGGGAGTAAGTTTCTCCAAAAAAAACCCTTGTCACTCATTCCTTCTTCGAATCATATTCCTCTAGAACTTTAGCAACATCATCTCTCTCTGCTACATTCCTTACCACACCCACAAAGTCAGCTACTGTTAGCTGTACATGTGTAGCTGCCAAGTGACCGATTAGAGCTCTGGATGGCCCATCGCTGTGTTTCTCATACACTGAGGCAATCTCATAATGATTAATGCCGTAGTGAAAACAGACATCACGATAGTCACCAACGCCTGGCATGGCTGTGTCCAAACGCACACAGACTTTCTTTAAGTACTGGTAAGACTCACCCTCCACTAAGCTGCTAAGTAGCTTCGAATCTAAACCGACGAGAGACAAGCAAACAGAGAAAATATTATAACCACCACGGTAGCAGTATATCTCTAATAACTGGATTTATCTTTTTGGCTTTCCCCCCCTTAAAAAATCATCCTTTTAGATTTACTTCCAACCAAACCACTTCTCAATCTAACAGTTTCATTTTGAACTCGAGATTAAATAAATGACACTCTAACAAAAATAGAAAGGTTTATAGGAATTTCTCTCGTCCTCTGGGTTTTACTTTGTCCAAACTTTTAATTATTTCAAACTATTAGCTCCTACAAATCACAAAGATGAGAAAACTCGGACCTATAATTCAAAGAAATAGCTTAAGATAAGACTGCCTTATCCCTGATGGCTTCGATGGCTTGTGTTATATGATGGTATGGTGATAGTCAAGAGATATTCCAGTTATCCAAAACACAATTGAGGGTTAGTATAAATTGCGAACAAAACTGAACGTCAATCACACCTTTTGTTTTACTGGTTTGAGCGTCGTCCAAGTTTTCCAGAACACCCTAAGGCAATAAAGAAACAAAAACTTTGACTATTAAGTATTTGTAAATATAATTTCATTCAGATAGGACATCGAAGTGTGCCACTAGTGTGCAAGACAGATTTTTTTAACTCTTTTTCAGGCATGTCTTGGATTACTCTGAAAATTGGATTATTTAAGGTGCATATTGAAACTTACCTTGACTCAGTTTTAACATCAATTTATCTATCTTTGGTAATACTTTAATTATGCTTTGATTTCTGAAAAAATCTATGTATCAGAGCAATGTTCAATGCGTTTTGGACTTACGCGATGATTTGACGGATTTATGTAAGGTTCCTAAACTACAACATCAACCGGGAATGATCATTGTAAATAACAACCCAACCTTGCGACATATTCTTAATTTACCAGTAATAAAGTTTACCTTATAATGTCTATAAATTACGAGTAAAACAATAATTATTTTTTATTTACCTCCTCTGAACACAGCAAGGGTTCCTCCGAGTCTGTCAGAGCTTTTCCAAGCTTATTCGATGAGTCAGTTTCCCTTATGTTCCCGCATGAGTCGTCTATAAGAAAAATCGAAAAGGATTTAATCATTGCATCTAGTAATTAATATATACCAGCATAGCGCAAAGAAACCAACCCTGAAGGAGTTCTACCTCAGTCCATATCTCTTCAGAATGTTATAGATTTGATAAAGTGCAGGTCCATTGCGTAAAACCACCAGTAAGGGTATAGCAAAGCTTAGATATTGCATGGAAGTCAATAATCAAAAGCAGAAATCTTTGTTTTGGGTCCCTTTAAGGGTAGTTGGGTTGACACGATAAGGCAAATGATTCTTCAGCGATTCTGACACATTAAAAGTGTTTCTGCAATTTGGTACGTCTCAGTCACGATCCTCTTCTATAAATTCTGTTCTTGAGCTTAAGAAAGCTCAATATTTCAAAACTAAATATTATCAGTGCGAATTCAGAATAAAGCTTCGCATTCTTACCAGATTGTTCTTTATGGTTAGAAGTTAACTTTCCCTCCATCGCTGATGAACTGTGATGGTCTTCCTTCTCAACAGTAGTATTACACCAAATAAACATCTGCGTCAGTCTCCTCTTAAAAAAGGACGAACAAAGGCAAAAAGCCAAAACAACTATTATCACCACTGTAATAACGATTGCTGCCAAATAGTCCTGATCCTTAGCTTGAATGGAATGATTACTTTTTTGAGTGGTATAAGGACCATCATGTTTGGGGTCAACATGGCTGATGGTGGGTGTTAGTTGAGGTGTTGTTTGGTCACAGCGGTTGACACTGCTGTCAAATGAACAAATCATGTTTGAGCCGTCTCCCAACTTCTCTTTGCACTCATTTACCATCACATCTCTATCATCGCCACAGCATCTTGAGCAATTGAGACAGTCTCCCATGTCCACATCATAATACCTAACCAGTAAAATAATAAGGAATTCAACATCATCACTCGCATGCCGACTACATAAAGATCTTCAGATCTTCTTCAATATTCCCCAAAGTCTACTCCTATCTTAGCATTAAACTAAACACTTTGCTTAAACAAGATTATCAGCAAAAGCTGATAGATGTTCATTTCACAGTTATAACACTTAAAATAATCATTCTATGGAACAACCTATGTATAATTGTTTTAATATTTGTACCTTTCCTTGCTGGAGCATTTATTTGTGCACTTAATATCCCACTCTGGCAAGCAGCTTTGTTCCACAACCTGACCTTTGGAGCAGGATGCACAAGGAATGCATTTGGAAGAATCTTTATGTCTGGAAAATGAATCTCCTGCGATACATGGCACACAGACCACCATGGTTTTAAAAGGTAACAGTTTAGAACTGCCACACTCTATTGAGAGACCTTGCCCCGGCGGGCAAGTTCCACAATTTATACACTGGTGTGACCCATCTTCGTCTTCAACCCAGTGTTGGGTTGGTTCGCAAGGACTTTGCTGACCTGGCGTCGGCTAGAAAAATAAAAGAAATAAGAATAAAGTTTCACATTTATTGACTGAGAGTACATACATACATACTCACTGAGAGTATGAGGAAAGGAATTCCCGCATAATTCCATGTTATTGTTAAGGAAAGCCTTAGTCAAAATTTTAGCTATTGTTTCGTCATTATTTTCTTGATCAAATAACTGTAATAATAATAACACGAAGTGCAGGGGGTTAAATGGAAATTTCCTGTGTATGATTCTGCGAATGAATCAACATAGTTTCTTATATTAACGGTACGGCTTTGAAAGCTTCGAAAGCGGAAGAGCTTCATCCTTCAGAGTTAAATCAAAAATGGTCCACTTCACTGGTGATGTAGGCCACACTCAACTGTCATTTAACTGTCATCTACAAACTGCCCTAAAGCAAATATCCGGTTCTGTATGCCTGTTTTGCATAATGACACTTTTGCAGAACAGGTATCATTTTTCTTTATTTCAAGGTGCATGAGGCACCACGCAATTGAATCGAGAAGTGATCATATTTTCTGCCTGTTCTACCAGTTATCCTGACAATCTTCAAGCTGTGTAATATTCCAGTGAATCAATGCTTAATTACTCCGCGGCCAAAGGTATACTTATAACTACCGTAGGAGATAAAATATATCTAGAACCTTTGTCTCCCCCAACCCCCAAATGCAAATGTAGAGCAAGGAATTATTATTTGCTATGTCGTATAGATCGTTATCTTTTGAGCTTGGACAGTTGAATGAGGCGTACATGAAGACATAACATCAGCTATTGGAACATTTCATTATGGCGGATCACGATCGGACGTACTCCCCTACTCTCAAAGCTTCTGAAGATGGTTTTGGAGAATAATAACAACCGAAAAGGGTTTTCAATTGTTTGAAAAGGTTATTTGGAATCGTAGCTGGAAATGGAAAACAAAGAATTGAGGTAAACCATCTTTTATGTGGCTTCGCAATACGTTATTTGACAAATGTAAACATATGGGAATCGATGCTTTTCATATCACAATTTTTACGTTAAGGATTTACTTTTCTTTTAATGAGAAGTATGTCCTTAGTCTTTTAAGAGAGCTTGGAACCCAACTGATTTAAATTATGGTAATTTTTTCAAGCAAAAGGGAGCGGAAGAAGCGGTGCCAGTAACGTGAACACTCGCCACCATTAACAACCTTGTTGTTATTCTTGATATGACCAATTTCCATCGGGTTTTGAGGTCATAATTTCCTCGTGAAACAAGGAAAAATTTTAAATTTTCCAAAAATTTGAAAAGTGACGGTGGTCTACGGAGTTATTTGTTTTTCCAAATTATTTTGACGTTTCTTTGGCCAGAATTTACCGAATAAATGTACTTCGAAATTGAAAAGCTTAATGAAGACAATTTTCTTTCCAAAGGAGTGATATCATTGTATTTTTTCCCTTCCTGAGTGAATGTTTTAGTAAGCTCTGTTTTTATACTAGCGGAGATATTGAAGATAAAACGAAGAATTGTTCTTTTCCTATCGATTTTCTGTTATAGCTTAGAATGATAAACTTTAGTGTATCTAGAAGTATAGTGGTTAGATTCCTGCCTTAATGACATGATTTTAAATTTGTTATGTAATATATTCGGGGATTGCTGACCAAAGAGCAGAGAAAATTTTGCCAGCCCACACACACAATAAATAATGTTCATGAAATTCTAGATACAAAGATAGTAATATATATATATATATATATATTATAAACACCACAAAGTCTAACCTTTGCAGAAACCACGGGAAGAAGATAGAAGACCACAACTATTATCCCAAATAACTGCCAAAGAAAATTATCAGGAATGATTGTAAATGTTTAAACATATCTGCTCAGGTGCATGTGCGTTATTGAATACTCTACCATTTTACCAAACTCAGACAATGAATATTAATTTTGTTTTGGTAATGACATGACGTTATTTAAATACGAACAAAGCTGATGCAATATTTATTTTCATGAACCATTTTAGGCACGATCGTTTTGATGAAACAAACCTACGGTTTTGATCACTTATCTCTGATAGGGAATGTCGCATTTTCCAAGCTGGTATTGTGTGAATTGCCGAGGAAAAATCATTTCGATTTCGTATCGAAATGTACCTAAAACAACTCAAACGACAGTTGTGATTTAAGCCTGTAATATATAAAACCGTCTTTGTCGGGTACCAAGGTCTTTTAAAAAATTATCTATGAACAGGGTGAAGTTTACCACAGACTCCCTCAAGATAAAAAAAATCAGTCACAACCATGTAGAATTCTTCTATTGTAGAAAACCGTTAGGGCTGAGGAACCCATTTTTGCGAATTGAAGTGATTACGCAGCACATTTTTTGTAACATTCGGCGACAAAATACACTTTTTATAAACCCAAGTTGACGAAATTAGGATATGGCACACGCAGAAAAACTGTTTGATGGTGTTTAACGACGGAAAATCAAATAATAGTCAAAACTTCTTGAGGAATTTTCTTACCTTTTTAAACTGAGAGGGCAAATTATCTCTGCGTGTAGATCTCAGGGGTATTGCGTAGTAACTTTCTCTGCTACCCGCCTGTTTGGGAAAACAAGGAAGTCGCCGTTAGAATTAAAAATACTGCGTTTTCTGAGTTATTGCAGGCCAAATTTTCCGAAGGAATTAAAACTCATCTTTGCATAAGGAAAGACGCAACAAAATTCTCACCATTTTCTCTGAGTGCATCGTGGTTTTTCAAAGAGTTAGAAATCTTCACCGAAGTGACAGTTAGGAAGAAGTCATCAAGCGCAAAGCTTGTGAAAAATCCATGTCGCATACTTCTGTTGAATGATTCTTAACTTGCCTCACGAAGGTTCGAAGAAGTACAGAAAGAAATTTCTTTTTAGAAAAAATTTAAATGTCAAACCTTGCGTAGTAAGAGCGAGATACGTGAATGAAACGAATTTTGGTATTTAAAGTTTGTTTACATTATAGTACGCTTACCTTGATTGGCTCTTCTATTTTGTTTATGTTTGGTCATCCAGTCAAAAAGTGTGTATTATTTTGATATCAAGGTCACCCAAGGGCACAAAGAAAGTCACATGAATCGCTTGTGATAGAGAAGGTATTTGGCGGGAAAATTCCCGGCTGTTGAGACTGATTATGTATTCTTCTGAGCCCGTTGAATGGCCGTGAATTCTCTTCGCCTTCTTCGAAAAGAACAGGCATTCTTGAAGTTCGCGTCAAATTCTTCGAGGCGCTTTGTTATAAAGGAAAACGAAGTGATTAAACCACACACATGTTTACACACATTATTCAACAGCACGATCTTGGTGCACTACAAAAACTCTTTCCCGATACAGGGCCAGAGATCGAGCGAGATAAAAGAAGAGTAAAATCCCTCTTGCCTTGACAGGCGCTGATATTGACGGTAGCTGACGGTGATTTCGTGTTGAAAATGGTATCACGAATCTTGCCAAAAAATCCGTGTGAATCAAAGAACAGCACCAGATATTGTGAAGCTCCCGTAGTTTCTGAATTGTGTCGAATCGTTGTCTTCAAAAGAACTTTAATATGACTTTTTGTACTTTGGACCCAAAACACGGGACCGGGAAGAAGCCACGAGAAATATGATTCCTTGTATTGCACTGCGTAACCTGTAATGCGCAGAACAGTTCACTCAAGTAACCTCAAGAGCAAGATTACCAATATTTTGTATGGTTATTAATGCTTCCTGTAATTTTTATGTTTGTGTCTCAAAACTAAAAACACATATCGTGGGGAATGAGGTATTGTTAGAGAATCACATGTATCCACGTAGGTAAATTACGTTAAGCATTCAGGAGTTAAATTTACTTTGGGCACTCTTGTTGTGTTTAGAGTTACATTTAGACCAAGGGACTCTGGGATACATCAGAGAATGGACTTTGAGACGAAGATATGGCGTTAAATATCATATCCCCCAACACTACATGTACGTATGTCCAAAAGTCCAAAATCTGTGAGCTCTGGTTTGAGATCACGCACTCAAAATTTATTTCGTTAGTTCCTTTTTATGACGTGTGGTTGCGTGTCCAAGAAATTATATATAAGTTGTAATTTTTTTTATCCTTAATTACCTTTCCTTTGTTATTCAAGTTGTCTTTTAAAGTTTTTTTGCCTCTTCCCTACGACGTAGGTGCCGATGTATAACTCAAACCGGTATATATTTAACGAGCGTGGCGTCTTACTTTTATCCAGCACACTACGAGCCAAGAGTTGTTTTTGGAACAGTTAGGAGAAGTTGGAATTTTTGTGGATTTCACATATTTGGTTTTAATCGTCAGAGATGTCCGAGCGTGTCGATTAGGAAACCCTGAGTTGGATAAATGTTGATACTGGAGTATTCAAAAAATTGATTTTAGGGAGAAGCAAAGTGCAATTGACAAGACAACGAATTGACAAGAAAATGAAAACAAGAACCATAAGATTTAAGACGAAACCTGATGATTTTTGAAAAATGTTAGGTTTCGATGAGAAACTGATCTGTGATCGCTTTTCTGCGGGATATTTGATGAGCCGTACGGAAGACCGGGAGACTCGGTTTGTTTCCAGCAGACTCCCGGATAATATGGGAGAGTTGGCAAACGTGATATTGGCAGGGAAATAAAGATAGATTTGCCAAAGAATTGGCTTTTAAAGGAGGCCGGTTTTAATATTTTATAAAGTAATATTTCGTTCATTTTAAAACTGTTCATTTTCCAATTGTGCAACTGGCTTATTTTTTAGACAATTACTTTGTTTATGCTAGAGGCTTTAGAAATCTGTTAGTTTATTTGACAGTGATTTCAATCTGATACAGCAAATCGGCGCAAAAAGCCAAAAAGTTCGACAAGTCCGTTACAATGTGAGTAATTGAGAATGTCTCTCGATTCTTGTGCAGGTCATTCTCAACAGCTGTGTAAATGAGGCTCCAGAACTTCCACCGCATCAAAGCGCTGAATCTTCCTTGTTTGTAGAATATGCACAAATTCTGCCACAGTGAACTGTGGTGACTTCGTCACCAGTGACTCCAACATAACAGTGCAAGGACTTCCGTCAGGAGTCAACATTTCATTCCGGAAACGCTGAATTTGTTCCTCGGTGAAATCAAGGCACGTTGCAACATGCCTCCAATTGCCAACTCCTTTCAGGGGCATATCAAGTTTCACACAAAGAGCTTCAAGTACCTCCTTTGGAAGATCTTTAAGACAAGGTGATGGTTTGTCTGGGTTGACGATCAGTGGATCTTTAAGACAGTACAAAGGCATCAATCAGCTGAGTCAAGGCAACTTATTGGGTGGTAAGTTACATTGCAAGTAACGATTTTGTCTTTGAAAAATGTAAAAAGCACAAATTACAAAAAAAAATTGAGGTACATTCTTAAGATCTTAAGTAGGCACTGAAAAACTGAGCTTTCCCTCCAAGTTTCACACTTGCAACTAGTCACAGGAAACCCCCACTTTTGTCATCACCATCATCACCATCATCTAATTATTTATTTATTGGCCACTAAAGATATAATATTTATACAGGTTTAACAGTATGGTAGAGTAAGGAAACCTCCAAGAAACCACCAGGCTTATAGGTGAGGCCACCTCATATGTCAATATGTTTGTAATTAAGTTGTGGATGTGGATGTGTGGCTAGCCAATTTGCACTCATTTCACTTAAAAAATGTATCATTTTTCTTTTAAAAATAAAAAAGCAAGTCAAACCAATGATTGGTATTTGGAGAGAATTCCAAATTTTAGAACCTTGGTAGAGTATTGTAAATTGTCTAAGATTAGGCTTAATTGGCTCAATTGACTATTCTTGTTGTGGAAAGGAAGAGTTCTTTCTTGGTCCATGGCAGAATGACTATATGTACACTAACTGATACTGGTGTTTGATTTTGCTGAATTTGAGTTGTGATTCTATTAGAGTCTCTGTCTTTCAATTATTTTCTCATGCAGCTAGTTTCTCTCCCTTCTCCAGGAAGACCAGTTTCTCAAGACCAGTTTCTCAACAACATTAAAAACCACATGTACCTAATTAACCAATATTCAGACTAAGCCAATTTTGCTTTTTACATCTTTCTACAACAATTTTTTTTCAAAAATAAATCTCTCTTGAACATGTTTTTACCTCTTGAGCATGGAAGCCTCTACTATAGAAGGTATAACCTAGTAATTACAATGGAAATTATGAAAAAAGGGAGCTTGATAAGACTGGTCTATATTGACAAGGATGTATGTGAAAATGAATATACCTATTATAAACCACTTCATACAGGTTTCCTTTGATTAGATGATAAATCAAAACTGTAACAGAGCTACATTGTGGCTACTGAAGATAAAATGTATCCTCTGTAGTCCAGAGATACACTGTACTCAGTTTTAATAAAACAAAACTGCATTTCCAAATTTCATTTTTTTTACCAAGCAAAAGTGGAATAATTATCTCTGGGATCCTAAGGTAGCTAAATAGTGATTTTGAGTACCAATAACTCAATCCTGGAAGAAAAAATCAAAACAATTGTGTTCTTACCACACAAGTTTCTCCCAGTCACAAATTGATGACTGCCATTACCAAATCCTGGTTGGTGCTCTTGAAACTTCCTAGATGGATCCTGCCAAGGAGGAAACAAAAATGAAAATAGTGTAATTGAGCAATGTGTTCAGTCCATCATACATGTATCAAATATCTCAGTCTTCTTTTTGTTTTCATGACTATATCTTAAGCCTTTTAATATAAAGTCTAGGACATCAGACTTCAAGATTTTCAGAATTGCAAAACCAATTGCCACAAATGTTATTGCATACAACTGTATGATAAAAATATCATGCTGGCTAATAAATCCATTCATCACAATTACATTTAATTAATTTTTAACCAAATTATTATTTAGTTGCATTAATTTAGATTGATGAAAAAAGCACTTACCTCTCTAATCGTGGCAACAGCACAAATCGATGTTGTGGTATCTTCTGCAGTTAGTTCAAACACACAAAGGAAGTCTCGGTTACGGCCATTGTCATGTTTAAACTTTACTGTTGTTCTGGGTATTTCTTGATAAGAATCCTTCAAACTTGTTTGTGTAATGAACTGTGTGATTAAAGCAAAGCCTCCAAGTCAGATACCAGATGAATATTACATCAGATTGATTAACAACCAAAAAGGACTTCTAATCTCTTTGTGAACTGACACAGTTCCCCAACCAAAATCAATAATTATTCAAATAACTGATAATGCAGAATAGAACTCACTAATGAACTAATGGGAGGCATGGTTCAAGATATCTTGATCCATTTCTTTGTGGTAAACTGGACAAATCAACAAAGTGAGCTCACCTTCTCATATAACCAGGTTTGTTTGACTCAATGCAGAGTGTAGTATCACTATTACTATTAATAATATCATCAATATCATTGTTTGGTATTTTCAGTGAATTTAATATCATTCCATTTGCCATTACTTTTGCTGAAAATAATTGAAAAAGTTTTCAAAATTATTATTTTCTAAACAATTTTAAAACTTTTTTTAGACCCATTTTTTATTAGTACACTTTAGCCTGTGACAAGAGAAGTGAATCTAGGGGGATTGAATGTTTGAACATAGACAGATTACATGCAACAAATTACAACTCACTACTGCAGCTACATTTATGCCTTATTAATAATGTATTTGTTATGACAAGGGTTGATTAATACACTGCACTACTGAGAACTACCTCTGGTTTTATCTCTCCAACAATCCATCCTTCCATTGGTTCTTTGACTGAGATCTTTACTTTAGTATCAATCATAGTCTCGACATAAAAGGACTGAGGGGAACCAAGCAGGGTTCTACCGGTTGATTTCTCTTCTTGCATGATTTTCTGGAAGATTTCCAAAACAAATCATTTAATTAAAAGAAGTATATCTTTAACCCTATCTTAAGATTCAATGTCAATGTGAATGCATGTTTCCTTGGAATGTTTCTACATCTCACTTTGATACCTATTGCAATTTAAAAAAAGATTTTTATCAAGCTGTTTTTGTTTGCCACTTCCTGATGAAAGAGCGTTTATCGTTGGTTTCTGAAAATTAATATACTTGTGTACCCAGTGGAGGCTAGTCAGAGCCACTCATTGAGGGTTAGAGGAGGAAAGGCTAGGGAATTCTAACGTTCTCAGTTTATAAAAACTATTGTTATCTAGATACCTCAAATGATGACTCACTGTCATCAAAGATATATAAGTATGCTGTGTAGTCCACACCAACTGTGCCCACTCCACCAAAAACAGCGCCTTGAAAGCGCTTCTTTGTTGGTTTGCCGTTATCAAGTGACGTACCGATGATAACATAGGAGGTAAGATTATCAACCTGAAAGCTGACTTCATTATTGTGGACTTGGAATTTGTTTTCCCCCTTCCATACAATTGAGCCTTTGTGTGGTACAGAGCTTTTCGGCTTGATGTCCCAGCCATTGCTTAAATACACCAAAGCACTATGAGGTATTCTGACTTGCACTGGTTTGGATAGTTGCTTCCCATAAGGCTGAAATTTTATCACAGGGCTAAGCTGTACTTCACCAGGCTGAAGAGGTATAGAATTTTCATCCCAACATATCTTTAGTTGTATTCCTCGGCAATCACTGGAGAAACAATTTGCATCATTGAATTGGATCAAGATACCTGATTTATCAAAATGTAATGTCTGTTGTGATCCATGTGGTGTTGGATCTTCCAGTGTTATCAATTCACTCCGTGGTGCTAAAGAAAGGAAGAGGATAGGTTTTAAATTTGGTAGTAGTTATCATGGTGTTCTTATGATTGTATACAATCTTGCATTTCCTTTTTTTGGTGGGAGAATTATTAAAAAAAAATGATTCTTAAGTTCATAGTACCCAGGGGTTAATCTTGAAGTCTTCAGCTTTCTGTTTTTGTGATGAAAGGTCCTTGGTGGATCTTTTTTTAATCCTTTTTCATCGCTGTTTATCAATTGGCCATTTCAATTCAAATCGACATCACTGAATCCCAATATGAGGTAATGATTAAAACTTTACCTTCGTCTGCAGATGGCAGCAACGCAGTACATGAGTCCGTTCTTTGACGCCTATTTTTTCTGCGGTATTTGATGCGCTTTATAATCACCAGTGTTAAGATTACAACAAATAGTAGTGCTGTCGTCGCAGTCAAATATATTATAATGATAGAGGATTTCTTTGTAGAAGTTTTCTTAGAGCTGTTTTGTTCCTGACACACAGTTATGGATCGCTCTGTATAGCCGCACTGTTTGTTTTTTGCTATATTTCGACATTCAGGAATGCGCACATCGTATTTATCATTACAGCAGGCAGAACATGGTTTACATCCTGTGTCTTTACTGCCATAGAATCCTTTGTCACATTTACCACAAATCCTATCATGTGTCAGATTGCAGGGTGTCAGTTCTCTCTGTCCAACTGCACAAATGGAGCATTTCTTACAAGTTTGCTTAGTTGGCTTGTCAGAAAACGTGTTGCCACGAGAGCACTTAATACATTTTATATCATCAATGCTTTTTATTATAATTCCATTTCCACATGGTGGAAAGGGTGATGTTCCCGCCGGGCAGATTTTACAATCCACACAGTATGCACTGTCTTTTTCTTGGGTTACAACAAGGGATTGATCTTCTCTACATTTTGGTAATTGACAGCCAATCGCATTGGCATCGCATTGTCTGTAAAATGGCATGTCCTTGCAACCTTCTTTCACACTATTTTTTATGTTACAATTGGGAAGATATGAAAAGCAGAAGGAACAGGGCTTACAATCTCCAGTGAGTTCTTCAAAGTAAAACCCTTTGCCACAGCCATGTTCACACTGTGAATTATTCGTCAAGGAACAGTTCCTCTTGATGCTTTCATGGTCAGAGCAGATTCCACATGACAGGCATGAACTGCTATCATTATTAGGAGAGTAAGATTTTCCAGGTTCACATGGCTCACAATAAACTTTTTCACCATAACTAACAAAACTGCCACATTGTGGTGTTAGACCCATTCCAGGAGGACAAGATAGACATTTTTGACAAGAAACGTGTTTGAACACATCTTCGACTTCAAATTCGTCATAGTTACAGACGGTATGAACCTGATAAAAAACAAATTGGTGTTTATTATCATGTATTATAAGACTCTCTATAATTTAATTTAGAAGCTGTTAAGGAAAGACTGGTGCTTAAACCTCAGTATGAGGAACATCGAAATCTTTCTAAGCTCGCCAATCAGGTGGAGATGTCAGGATAAATGTAAACCTGTCTTTGTTGATAAGCCGTTAGGAGCAAAGCTGCTCTATTCTTTACCCTGCTTCCAACCGTCTACTTTTTTGCCGTTTAGTCTGGTAAATAATCACGTAGCTGTGTCTTTTATCACTGGCATTGCTTTCTAGGAAATGATCCAATGTAGTTTGTAAAGGTCATTGTAATGCAATGGGGTTATCTCTGAGAATTTCGTGGAATTTGACCGAGACGGGCGGCAACTGTCACTTCGTAAATATATTCATTTACATTTTTTGAAAATTCCTAAAGAATAACGGTTTACTCACATTTTTAATGGAGAGAAATTGGAATGAACACATTAAATAGAGGCTCAGAATGTACATTCTTTGGTCTCTCAGATCTGCAAAGGTAAAATTTAAAGAAAACGCCACCAATTGAGCTGAAGGGTCGGCTTACTTAATCCCGTGTTTAACCAGGCCTAAATTGGGTAAAGTAAACAAACGTCATTGATCGAAAGTGCTAGGCGAAGCACATTCTTAAGGTAAATAATAACGCTCAGAAAATTAGGAAAGATTTATCCATTTTGCTTACTCAGCTAAACATTACAATTGTCCTTTAGTTTTGATTGCCTTTGTGCCTTGCGAATAACCTACAACATTCAAATGATTTTGACGGGAATCAATAACTTAAAATTGTGTGACGTGATCGAAATCCAAAAGAAGATCGCATTTAAAATACATGCTGAAACAGCGTGACACATGCAAAGCAAGAATACTGAATTCTAGGTACTTACGCCTTTTTCATGACAACGTTATGAGGGAAAGTTAGGTGAGCGGTCTTGTCAGCAACGGTGAACTCGACTACAATGCCAACACCCCGACTCGTCGAATCTTTTCACTTCGTAGGAGTGCGGGGGATTCCCCTTCCAATTAAACTTCAAACTTAGCTACCCACAACCAATCATATGATCCCGTTCATAATAAATTATTAACACTCTAAACGCTGAATGGCTGGAAAAGATTCTGTTCGACGGAAACGAAAGTGCTTACAGAGCATGTTGTGAAAATATAAAATAACTTATCGCCGCATAGGGGCATATCTCAGTGGTTTGCTGTACCTTCGGTATCCCTAAAGCAGAGCAATGGATAGCAGGTACAATCCTTTGACTAGAAACGCTGCCGACAATTACGGGATACAGACAATGGGGGAAAGAACCTCAACTCTAACTTCATGTCCCTCTCCGATGGCACTCGCTCCGTCGCCGGTTACGGTAGCCAACCATCATTGCAGACACTTCAGTAACTGCCATCACACACAAGTTCGGAAAAGCACTGATGGCAGGGAAGAAGATTTACTTCTTGAGTCAGAGTTCGTGGAAGACTCTAGGAGACCTCTGGGAGAAACAGAAGCCCATGATCAGATCGAAGAAGTCTTAGAATCTGCACATTCGTCCGAACAACACACTCGAAATGCATCCTTACAGAGCAGACCTACTCCCCAACAGGAGTGTTGTAGCATACACGCGGAACAAAACGGCGTATTGGTGTCTTCAACTCGACGCCCAGAGAGTAAGGATACGCAACGATTTTGTAGTAGGAGAAAATCTAATATAATTGTCTATGTATCACCAACGATTTAATTTTTTTTATTAAGACCATTATTCCATCGATTCCCTCGATTCCATCGATTCTGTCTGTAAATGAAATTGAATATTTCTTTTCGCTAAGTCCAACTAAATGGCTACATTTTAATCTGAATTGTGCTTAGCCTACGGAATATCGCATCAGAAATCACACAAGCAGTTGGAGGGGACATTATACCCTTCAGGCCGTGTAGTTCCTAGTTCAAATCCGAATAGTCTTCAAAGGTTTATGGATCGAGAAAACAGAAGAGCATTCATGTGGGTGTGTAGAAGGAGTGAAGTAGGTATAATGCTAATCAGTTGGGCATTGGAGTCCGAACCAATAGCCATTATGTTTTTCTGAGAGACAATTGGCACTAAAGTCCAAAGTTCGGATTATGTTTGGTAGTAGGAGTCATGTGGGCAGGTCATACACCTAATAAACTTAATTTGTATTAATAAACATGCAATAGTATTAATTTGTAAAGGAAAATTTAATTTTGTCAATTACCAGGAGATCCAGGATCAAGCAATGTGTTCCGAATACTTTGTATGATTTTTCTGTGTAAAAGAGGAATCATTGCACGAGATGATTTAATCCATGCTCTCTACATAATCCCACTTAAGGACTTCCAGGAGGTATGCATATATGTATGTGCTCTTTTAATTTATCTACAGTTAAATTGAGCCATGTGAACTTTGAAATTTAAGGCTGTGCAAACATTTGTCGCAAGGTTCTTTCTTAAGTAGATTATTTCGAACTTGTTTCTCCTGGAGATTAGCTTTTCAAAACATATTTTTATGATCAATTGCAGAAGTTCCCAAAAATCAAGCAATACGAGGGTGTTGTGTGCCATGGCACAGAGTTCCCAATGATGGAAGAAACAAAAATGTTACCAGCTCTTTTCCATCGCATTATGATTGATGAAATTTGTCAGGTTAACTTTGAAATGGTCACCGGTGAAATGTTCTCAATTGTCTCCCCACCTACAGTAAGTTACTTTGGATAAATGACTTCAGTAATTAGATCAGTTATTTTCTATTCATACAATCTAGCACATTAATATAATCAAAGTCCTGAGCACTTACCATCTGGTGAAAACATGTTGACTAAACCTAGCCCTACTACACTGTAGCGTAATTTAGCATTATCAGCGGACTTGATAACGTAATTTCGCCACCGTAAAGAGTTTCGAATTTTACGTTTCGAGCGTCAGCTTTTAAACTCTTTACGGTGGCCAATTTTTACATTATCGATTCAGTTCATAATACTAAATTACTCTGGTATACCCTCCCACTGACGCAGCACCACTGTTACTTTAGAAACTTCTCTCCTTTAATGTACTGTAATTTGTCTTTTAAGTTTATATTTCTTCCTTGAGTATTTCATGTCTTTCTTTTGCTGTCAGTAATATTTACCTATTAGCAAGTTTTTGAAAAAGAGATGTAGAGTTTTGACACTCTGACAAAGTTGTAGTTTTATATATTCTTGTCAAGCACTTCTCTGACTCAGTCACATTCGTAAACATTGTGTCCTGCAGATAGTTGCAAATGTCTCTGAAATCCTTTCAAGGAGTAAAGATCGGGTTGGGTGTGGATTTTCAGCAACAGTCCTAACAAGATGCACAGGTGAAAAGGACAAGCTCTTTGAGGACAACATCCGCATAAACATCCAATCTGGTGACACAAATTTACATTTTACTGTGCCCATAGCGGTAAGCTATTGTTATAAATGTGCATTGTCTTAAAAAATTCCTCGTGTAGTATAAAATTTTTCATGGACATCCATTTGTGTGTTTCCCGAGGCAGGACATATTACCGCTCACAGACAATCATGTGTGAGTTAGTTGCAGAGAGTCATGTTTGTTTCCTACTTAGACGGTTTCAAACTGAGAGGTCGATTAGTAACAATATCATTACAATGATATTATAATCATACTTATCATATAAGTACTGTAATGTAAGCATTATTGTTATCAGCATCTTTTTCGAAATTTTCATGCAACAAGTCATGCCAGGTATTGGGTACCTGTCCTGCAAATTTACTATTTGTAGTCTTACGGAGTTTTTTTTTCTTTCGTTTCCTTGAAGATACCTTTTTAGTTTTATACACCCACATATCATGGTTTTAGATTCAATTTCGTTTATTTTATTTTTTAAAACCAAAAAGTTCTAACAAGTAAAGTTTCATGTGTCTCAAGATGTCTTCTATTGATAACCTAGCAAAGACTGAAATAATAGTTATTACATTTTTGCATCATTATTTGGTTCAATAAATTAAACTCTACTCGTCTTAAAGTAATTTCCAAAATGTTATAATGCTCAAAGTCTTCATAAAAAATATTACATATTTTACCAAATTCTATCTTGTTTTGATTTAGTACTACGAAGCAAATATATCACCCTGGCTGTACAATCCACAAGCAGGTAATTAGAGATTACATGTAGATTGTGAAGCAAGCTTGACTGAAGCATTCCATTTACAATTTTTGAAAAATCTTGAAGTAGAACTTGTGTTACTAGAAATATCAGGACAAGATGATTTGCTTTGAGTTTGAACACAATAGCCATCATGTGAGAAACTACCATGAAATCCCCATGCCACTCAGGACCCTAGACATAACCCTTACAACACTGAAAATATGTATCAGTCTATGACACTTTGATAATCACTATTTCATTTACAGTTCTCAAACAAATGTGTGTTACTTAAGCAGTAAATATTGTTAATTATTAGTGAATAAGTTATGCTGTAAGGTAGTGAGGAAAAATATTTAGTTTATTAGGTAAGCATAAAGATACGTACCTTACTTCACGTCAGTATGTGTCATTGACAGTAAATAAAGACACTAGTATCGCGATTGCAAGTAGGTCGGGTTGTCTTTATTGATAGGTAATTTATAAACTGTTTCTTAAGACTATTCTAATTGCCTAACTTTTATATTTTCAGTCACTGTCATGCCCGACGAAGACAGGAGAGTGCTGCGTTCTTGCCATGTTTCTCTTCTTGAGAATATTGGTGACCCAATCAGTGTGTGTGATCACCTATACCAACACAAAATCTTCGATGAAGAGGACATGCAAGAGGTAGAGAGTATGAAAGTGAAAAGGTACCGCAACGCCTTTTTGTTACGGACAATCCAGACGAGGGGCAACATCCTTGACCTTATCATTGACATAATGAGAAGCCAGCGAAAAAACCAAGAGGCGGCCGCCATTTTACTGAACAAAAGGCACCTTGCAGCTGGTCACAACAATGATGACAAATGAAGGTCGACTCTACCTGCTTATAACTAATTTTACTTTTAATTAGATTAGCTCTGCCCTGTAAATAATATTTACCGAGCTTTAAGTTAAAAAATATATTATTTGTGCGAAAAAATCAGTAAACAAAATTTGTTCGAGGGAGAATAAGGTAGTCCGCTGTTACTGGCTCGGTTGTTCCAGCTGCTTAGGAATGCAGTTCTGTGGATAATCTTTTATTTTCAATTCTTTGAGTTTGTATTTGTTTACAGTATATCTAGCTAATTGGTGCAAAAGAATCCGATTTCAGAGACATACAGGACCGATTCATGGGTACTGTTCGTTCCTATTATTCTAGTTACAATATAAAAATGGAGAATTTTTTATTTCTAATGTGTCATACTGGTGTTGTATGAAGATTGGTAAATTTGGAACCTTAGGCAATGTGCCCCAAGATATGATTATATTTAATTCTCTTGTCTAGCTACCATACATTTCCTTGTAAGCCAGTTACGAGAATTTGTGGCTAGATCAAGATAACTTCTTCCTGAGAAGTTTGACTATTACCATAACCTGTTTGCTGGATAATGACGTATGGATATCATGGGGAGAAGTTACAGGTTAATCACCTGCCTTTGGCATTAGAAGGTATATGGCAGGTAGATATGGATAAGGTTCTCATATGTTATGTGATGTTTTGACATCAAAGCAATTTTATATTTCATAGCGAAACATAACTCTCAGTCTGTAAATGCTTAGGTAGAGTTTTTTGGGGGAGACTGTAGCCTCGGGTAACAGATAGTGGTCGAAGGTCAAACTTACATGTCTATTTCGTGTCCTCGTAGAGCCTGTTGTATATATTTTCATAAAATTCTAAACTTGACGTCAAGTATGTTCGACATCCTCGTTTTGATCTAAATTCAAGCTGGAAAAGTGTTCTTCTGTTGTTATAGAGTTACTGTCTGTTTTTTAGCAACTGCCTCCGCTAGCAAATATCCAAACATCCAAAATAAAGATTATTCGTTATTAACAGTTGCAATGATAAACGAGCGCCCTTATCCACTTGCCGATTAGGCATGCAGGCATGCAAGGTTACGTGGACCAGCGTAAGTTGTATAGAGTTATTTTGATGCATTTGACAGTCACATGCCAAAGAATTAAATATCGCACATTTTTGAGAAATGCTGTTTCTTATCTAAAGCTGTTAGATTGTAATGAATTCATTAGCTGAAGCTGAATAAAATACAGTTTGGTTTTGATAGCTAATTATCTGAATCGTAAATTCATTTCAGTATTAACATGATTTTTTTGTTGCTACTAAATGCTTTAGTGAGTAAAAGTGTTGGTAATTCCCTGATAATTATGAATTTTTACTTGTATCAAGCGCAAACCTTATAAAGTGGTATGATATACCTTGGCTGCAATGATAAGTGCAAGCCACAGCCATCTCAATGTTTTTCAAGGCAAGGTTAAGTATTCAATGCAAAATGGAGGCTGATTTATAATGAATATTTTTTTATTGAACACAAAGCAAGGGAGAGGTATAGTGGCATAATGGACTTAGTGTGCTGGACTCCTCATCGAGAAGTATACACTGACTCCGCACTCTACCCTTCTGTAAATAAATCCTTTTCTTGATATAATTGTTTTCCCCGCCCTTGCATACATTTTTGGTTGAGATATAAATACTATTAAACTAGATAAAAAATGTACGTTCATGTTTGTTAAAATAGAATGGTTTATTCATCATTACCAAAAAATGAAAGTATTTTGAAATGTGCCATCGGATTATTTTGTGAAAAACATTTCTGTTTTGCCGTGAAGTTCCTGATATTTAAGTATCATAAACAGCAGACGTTGATCGATGCTTAAAACGTTGTCTACTGAACTAAAGATTTCCTATAATATTATATTTCTAGTCCTCAATCAGTTATGATTTGGCCGCTCACTGTGCATCTCAAAAAACGTTTCCTAAATATTCATATTTCCAGTATTGTGATATGTTAATCATCTTCGTCGGGAAGTTTTTGAGAATGAACTAAGAAAAGAATGAAAAAAGTTATGGTTAAACTATAACACTATGAATCAACTTCACGTTAACCTCATTTTAATACTTACCTCCTACTTTTCCACTTCATCATGTTCAAATGCTCTTATTAAAGGATCTTCTAAAAATCTCTACAGGAGAAAATATATAGAAATAGCGTTTGCGGGGCTGGACTCGGATACGTTTGTCAGAACGCAAGAGGAAAGAAAGTTAAAATATAGGCTAGATATTTCTTTACCTTTTTCAGTGATGTGGATGCATAAATCCTTGTTTCACCAGATGGTTCATGATTTAAAACCAATTCCACAAAAACACTGGTGCTTAGTGACTTCCTGCAAGGTTGGAATACCAGATCACACCGAGGAATGACGTTGAAGGAGTTCCTCAGTGATTCAAAGCTGAATTTCTAGAGTTATAATAAAAGAAATGATTTATAATTAAATTCTTGTCAGAAGTTTACATAAAATTCTTGGTACGCTTATGGCATATTTAAGGAATGAACTAAAAGAATAATAATAATAAACAAAGAGCAAATTTCTTCGATGAGCTGCGAGGCTATCGAGAAGAGGCAAAAGATACAAAATATGACCCTGATAGTAATTCCCTGCACCTATCTTCTCATTAGAAACAGGTCGAAAAAAGGAACTGAACTACACAAGTAGGAATTAAGACTATAACACAGATTTAATGGACGGTTTGTCCAGGAAAGCAAGTGACATGTTTTTGGCAATACCAGTGGGGAGGCCTTATTCAGCTGCCAGCCCGCAAGATCTTTTACAGATATGTTAAGACCCTGTTTACTGGTAACAGAAAAGCTGACAGATTCGATCGAGGACATGAGTCTTCCTCCAATTTTCTGCTCCATTCGCATCATCCTCTGTAACGGTAAAAAATAAACAAAGACAACTAACTTCAATTTACTTAGGATTGTGCTTTCTCCAAGACAAAAAACAGAAAGCAATATTTTTGATTGAAAATAAAATGATGAAACAAGGCCCGATCATAAATCAAAAACTCCGTAAAACAAATAGAAAACATTTTTGGTTAAGGTACTGTTTGCACGAGTGCACATGGCTTGGCACCAGTAGTTTGTATCGCAAATTTCTCTTCCATACTATCGCGTTATTTTAAGAAGTAGCGTTAACAATAACACTGATCTAAATTATCATAAAATGAAAACCATATACCTCGAGAGACCATTCACAATCATCAAAGCAGTAAAGCCTGACAACAAGTTCTTCTCCAACTTTGGTTTCACTGCAGAATGCTACAACCTTCATTCTCTTAACGGCCAAAGTCGACCGAGACGTTTCAAACTTTCCAGTTACTTTGAAAGTTGATAAATGGTCAGTCTTGAATCTCACATGATTGCTTTTACAGACAAAGTTCTTTGATTCTTGTGTTTTGATACTTTTACTAGTTTGGCCAACAGTTACCCAACTGTCGTTTCGATACTCCTTCAAAATTACATTCCAGTTTTCGCCTGTTAAAACAATGTTTGCACCATGAGGTATCCAAACTTCAAGTGGTCTGTCCAACTTTACAACATCTGATACAAATTTATATACTGGGCTTAGAGACAACTCATCCTCCTGTAAATGGTCTGGCAGCATTGCTTCAGTGCAAGCTTGTAACATCACATTTCCCGGCATCCATCTATTGGTGAGTGTCAATCCATTAGCAACCTTCACTTCCATCACTTCTACCCCAGTCTTCTGAAATATTATATGGTCAGTACTTTGTTGCACTGGATATTCAAAAAGCACGTCCTTCTTGCAGGCTAACAGAATAAAAATAATATTAAAATGCTAAACTTCTTTATGCCAAAGTAATTGAGTACGTTTAATAAGTATCCTGATGTCTTTTTGACACTCACCAGATTGTGCATTTAGTATTCTTTGTTTAGATTTAGGATCATAACGGTCTGCTGACTGGTTTCTGTCGGCCAAACTGCTGTCAAATGAAAACATACTGTACACAAGGTAAAGAATCAGAAGGCTGAATCCTAGGCTAAATGCTTGAGTTGTAATGCTGTCAAGTACCAGGGACAGACCATGTCCATGATGGTCTTCTTGACAAAATATGGCTGAAGACACTGACTTAACCTATAAAAGAGGACTCGACATCAAAATGGTGTACATGTTAGGCAAGAGATAAATGCTGTTTAGGATGTTTAGCTCTAAAAATAATCTTTATATAAGTAGAAAGGATTTATTGACCCTTTGGACGACAAAGGCTGTACATATGGTACATAAGGCCAAGAGACAAATCAAATCAGTGAAAGAAATAATTCAAAAATACAACAGGACATGGTTATAAACCATAACTGTTTGAAGGCAGACCCGTTGGCTATTTGCAAGACTCGACCCAGTACATTTAGACCAGGCCTCGGTTGTTCAAAACTGGGTTAATGTAACCCAGGGTTAGTGTGAAATTTGATTTCAGGTCTGAAAAATTTAAGAGAAAATTCAGGTCAAATCTTTTTGCTTGCAATTTGATCATTAGATGTTCTAAAAAGAATAGTGAACATTTTTCCTAAAAGACTTTTGAATAAAGAAATAAAGAAAGCTGTATTAAAATTTAACCCTGGGTTAGGGCTAATCGGCCTTTGAACAACTGGGCCCAGGTTGCAAGTATAGCCTGCCTACTACTCGGCGACGCGTCCTCCTGCTTCCACTCTTACTCCAGATTTTCACCAAAAAATGCAGAAACGTAAACACTCAACAGTGTGCAAGGGTACGTATTCAGCTTTGCTTAAATTAGATATCGAAACTTCCCGTATTTGTTGCGTTATTCTGTTTTAAAATTAACGCATGAGTGAAATGTGCAAATTGAAAATTTGAGATGACCATGGCGTAGATGCAGTGTCGCTCGTGAGAGCTTCAAAGTTAAAAAGGTACCCACAAACCCCGAGCTGAAAGTAGAGGTAAACAGATGTTGATTTAAATCTTTCGTATATGAGGTTTGAAACTATAAATTTAGCCGTGATTTAAGTGGATGAAATTCAAATTCCGCCGATAAGCGAAGCTGATATTGTCATGGGATTAAGAACGTGGGTGGAAGACTGAAACGTGATGAAGGCGTAGGTGGATAGAGGTGCACGAGTTTGGAAGAAAAATGTATGCACGTTGTAAAACATGAAACTTTGTGATGTGACTCCTACTGAAAAACAAAGGTAACGCAGTTGACCAAACTGTGATTGAGTAGATGTGCAAAGTGAGGACGTCACATAGCAGAAGAGGGTTGGCAGTTGAATTTTGTTCGACTGATCTAAAAGCGTTCAACATCCATAACAGGTAGTACTTTTAAGTTAGTTCGAGCATCATAAGAATCATCGAGGCATCGAATTTACATCGAATTTACCATCGAGGCATCGAATTTTCTAATTTCGCTCAAAATAACGACTTACCAGTAGGCAGACAACAGCGATCACAGAGAAAATGTTTCCCATTTCAAAGTCTAAATTTTCAATGCTGAGCGTCCCAGTGACGTGATTGGGGTATACCTGTCGCAAAAGCCACAAATTAATGTATAATATCAAAGGAAACTATGTCGTTTTGGTTAAGTACGCAACAGATCTTACTTGTGTCCTTCGGTATTTGGTTAAATCTAATTCCGTTTAAGCTTGCTGACAAAATTTATGCCACAGAAGAGCAAGCTTTCGAAAGTGAAAGCTATGTCCATGAATTAAAAGGTAACAATCCTATTTTAGAAAGGGAAAACCCCATGTTCTGACATGGGGATTCCCCGAGTGGGTAATCGAAAACCAATCAAAGGGACGAAGAGTAGGTCACGTGAATAAATTTTAGCTCTCGTTTTCGTTACTGTGACCCTAAAAGCGAGATATCATTCAATTTCTGCCGAGCAGATTAATGAATTGTGGAAAGATACTGAAGCAATGGCTGCAGAAAATACAAACAGAGACAATATGGTAAATTCTGAGCACTGATAGCAATTTTCCCTCTCCACTTACAATTTATAGCTTTATTTTATCCGCTGTTCTCCACTTCACTTTCGAAACTTATCTTATTTGCATCAATATTTTCGTTTTCCATAGCTCTCCATTTAAATATAAATAGAAGATCGTTTAGCCGAAAAATTAAAACAACAATTTTCATTTCATTTTGTAGAGCGATGAAAATGAGGATCGGTCTCTGGAGGGCGAAGATAACAACGAGGGGCTCCTTGCCATAGGGAGTAATGCACAGTATAAATCTGACAGCGACTCTGACTTAGAAGAAAATCGGATCAGGACAGCACATAGAAATGACCTTTCGGAACGATCGAGAGAACAAAGTGAATTGTGTTCCCATAGTTTAGAAGGGCAACCTACTTTAACGTCCAGCAGAACTCCTGAAATGGTCTGTAGGCTATGCGGTAAAGCGATAACTCGAAACCGCACTCAGCGAGGAAAACCCAATAAATCCAACCCAAATCCAACTACAACGGAAGAAACCTTGTTAACCGTTCCAGAGTCGTACAGGGGACATTTGCCGTCGCTTCCCAGTTTATCCCTTGAAGATGAGGTCTGCAGCGACTCGACAGCAGCATCTTTGCCAACAGTGCCTTCTGAACCTCAGCGAAAGAAAATTCCTGTACTACGTAAGTTCGATAAGTTTGAGCTCTTGTGTTCAAAGACGGTGTGCGTAAATTGTACTGCTCTTTTCTTTTCATTCGAGAAGTAACGATTTTGATTTGTCTGTTTGAGAAGTATGTTTATCGCATCATTATCCAACCAGTCAAATTAGTCGTCGACTTAAAACCCTTTTAAACCCCGCATAATTGTACATGTCCAAATTAACGAACTTCACTCTTCCAAAATAGTCTTCAACTTAAAATCTGCTTTACTTCGTTTACAGCACTGGGCCACGTAAAACACGATAGAGGAGTTGTTCAGTGTAAAGAAACTCTTACAATCTGTATATCTGATCACCATTTTCATGAACGTATCTTTGGAAGGACTTATTTGCATCTACGTACGTTATTTTTATTTCATGTCCTCCGCAGATGTGTGTGACCATTCGGTGCAGCATCCATCGCCTGGTCTAACAGTGGTTTTCTTCCTTTTTGAAAGAAGCCACCAAGAAAGGAAAGAAAAGTTATTCTTACTTTATATGATCCCTGAAAAAGAGCAACAGGTGAGTGTAGGAAATTGAATTCCTTCGCAATTGAAAGTTTTCATCGTTGAATAGTTAATGACACTTAGACATCTTTTTTTTTCCTTTAAGGTATATGAGACAATTTTTCAAAGTTACAAAAATGAGGGAACTGAGCAAGGTTACTCAACGAGACAAATTTCATTTTGTGTTAACAATGGCAAAAGCCAAGATTTTCATTCTATATTTGTTCACGAGCAAATTAGAATTTCATTTGAAATTGTGGATCAACAGCAACAAAACTTCGTCTCTCCTGAGGATGCAAGACGCCGAGAATTTGTAAGTACATTTGAAACACAAAAATTAAATCATTCAGTCCGGATTACACCTTTTATGATAGTTCAATGTTTCGTTATTCATTTTTTAATAGCTTTTAATCCAAACACAGTTTTCTATAGATGTCAAGTTCTTGTTGGACACTCGTAAATTTCTAGGATTAAGAGTGAACAATCACTCTTTTCAGTGAGTCTTCTGATATCAAGCAAAGGATTATATCTCTTCGCACTGTGCTTTTCAACGGTTATGAATTTCTGATTCTTTAGGTTTTTAGAGTTGCCAACATTGAATGTGAGAGCAAAAACCGAGTAGCACCAGGAGCCAAGTCCCATTTCCGACTCCAGTATGTTGGTGAATCCGAAAATCCTTGTCAAGAACAAGGAAAAATCACCTTAGCCATCGATGCAGAGACACAGTGTTCCCTGTACTTTTCCATCGCATTTTGGGTAAGTCTCGTTTACTTTCAGAGTAACACTAACAATTTTGAATATAAATTTTACGGTAACAACAAAATGATAGCAAAAAGAGTTTTAAAGAATAGTACTTTTCTGAGCAAGCATTTTAGAATTGGTGGGTTTGGCAAAATAAATTTTCCCAATGAACGCCTATCGCCTACATGTACAATATGTTTTTTCTATTTTTTTTTTCAAGTCGTGAGGTCATCTATTAAAATATTGTTTTTCATAAGCTTTGTAAACTTATTTATTTTGTGATGCAAACCTCCTTTCTCTCTATGAATTGTATTGTAATTTAAGACTTATAGCATGGTCGTGAAGGTAAATTGTGTCATGATTATCGATTGCAATACCAGCTCCAATTATGACATCTCCTAAGTCGCAATTCTATTGTCTGAGCTCACTTTAATCTTGAACATTTTTCTCATCAGAGCCCAGTGACAGCAGCTGATTAGAGGTGAAAATAATGGAAATTCTCCTGGTATCTACCGATTACTTTTCTGAGAACATAACTTCATGAACAATCAGTCACTGTGCCAAATTTAAGTTACACTGTACTCTACAATAGTTTACCTCATTCAATTTTTTTTTTAAACCTCACCATCTGTTTTCGAGCTAAACTTATGCTTGGTGAAGGGAAAATTAAAACTTTGGTTGAGGTTAGCATTGTAACTCTTGATACTCTTGATACTTACGAATATAAGGCATGGCGCAGTGGTGAGAGCACTCGCCTCCCACCACTGTGGCCAGGATTCGATTCTAGTACCTGGTGTTGTATGTGGGTTGAGTTTGTTGTTGGTTCTCGTCCCTGCTCCGAGGGTTTTTCTCCGGGTATCCGGTCTTACTCTCTGCTAAATCATTATTACTATCATTATTATAATCATTATAATCATTATTATTATTATTATTGAGTAAGGAAATGATATGGTGGGGTAGTTCATTTCCTGTGGTATGAAGCAACCACAAGCTTATCTGCTCATACAAGATTGGATGTTAATCCATTAAAGGTAACCCCCAGCATGTTTTCTGGCTTTCCCGACAAATTGGTGGTACTCATTTTTTTTCTTAGGCGGACAAGAACAAGATGACTTGGCCAAAGCTTGAAAGTGTACCTCCCAACCCAGGGTTCAGCTCACTTACCGTAGGGCTACCCCATCTCACTAACCGTTTTCATGCTAATGTACAGTGTAAATAGCCGAATTCTCCACTGTGCAGGCGCAGGCTTACATTATGCTGCCAGGATAACAAAAATGTAAAATATTTTCCTTTATAACACCTAAGTGTATAAGTGTTTCTGGTAATGTTCTTGGTATTTGATGTGTCAAGGTAGTTTTTGTTTCGAAGTTAGAGGCTGATATCTGGAAACATACATGACAAGAAATGTCTCATGATAGCAAAATACTCTTACATTAAACATTTCATTGACAAACATTTTACTAAGATATTGGGAACACACCTGGCTGCAGAAATTTTAATATCGAATAATAGGTGAAATGCCTTGTGAAACTTGTGAGAAAACGTTTTGATTAGATTAGAAATCTCAGATGTTCTCTTTGTTTTTGTTTTGTTTACACCATGATATCTAGAGATGGATTATTTACAGTGCTCAAACTGACTTTTGGCTGAAATTACTTATAAATATTTTGCAATTAGGGAACTATATGCATTAGTTAATATTTTGTGTTCTTGTTTTATCTTGTATTTGTCATTTTATTAAAGAGAAAGATTTATGTGTCGCATTTAATGCTTAAAGTGACTAACTTTGGTTGCCTTCTTACCACTGTATATACCACTGGTTGGGAGAGGTCATTAAGGTGGCAGCTAGCTTTAATTGTTTTGGCTTTTTTGTTGTACTTTTCCTATCAGGAATAAAAATTCTAGACACAGTTGCCTTAACAATTTGCCTTTTTATTCTGTCCTCAGTGAAAATGATGAAATGGTGATGATGAAGGAGACAGAGATGAAGAAAATTGGTTGATTGAGATTGAAAGTAGACAAGAAAGCTATGCAATGAAACAGTAAAATATTTAATAGTTCCCCAGTGCTGTAGATTGAAAATGTAGGCAAAGAATAATTCATAAAATAAGAATATTTTATTAAAAGTAAATGATATATACACCATCGTTGACTTACACAGATGTGCCAAGTGAACTGACACCAGGTGATCATCTAGTTAAAAAGACTTAAACCGCTACAAGTCTTCATCTACTTATTTCTACAGGTACATTCGGTGCATGAAAATGGCTGGCTATTAAAGATATAATGAACGCATAAATACATACAATTTATGGAGGAATGAATACAAAAGATTGTATTCATTTAACATCTGATAATCAAAATGTAAAGTTCAATTGAAAACCTGCTACTTTAAAAATTATCTTCAATTAGTAAAAACGACAAAAATTTGAATATGGTAACCTATATATTTACACATTCTAAAACAATACAAAAAATTTTTGGTGTTCTTCACCTTAAAAAAAGATCTAAAAATTCTAGGTAAAATAACTTGGCTGTGAGGTTTCTCCATTCTGATGGGAGATTCGAACTTCAAAACCTTCACAGCGTTTGTTTAAAGATTGGACATAAAAGACTAAAGTAATAATTAGGCTAAGGTTTTTTCCATAGACAATATCCATAAGATAGGGCACGTTTAATACACTTGACAACATAGACACTTTAAACATGTACAAATCTATTCAAGCCTGCATAAAAGATACACTCTTCAATACCGCAGTGACTGTAAATGGTGCTTGACCTCCAAGATACATAACATAAACAGATCAGATCATAAATTTATAATTTAAAAAAATAGAACTAAATTAAGAAATAAAAAAAATAACTCTTAAAAAATAAATCTTTTAGTATAAAAATAGACCAAAAAGTATTTCCTTGATATGATGGGAAATTAAAATTTAAAAAATCGTTCCAAAAATTACTGAGTTCGTTATACAAATAGAGCTGTTTTAGCAGTGTACAGAATAGTTTCATCTCCGTCACTAGATGGACACGTTAATTCATTTCATAACTATGAACGATAATTGTTGCAGCACCAATTACCTCATATCAACAATTACACCTCAGTTAATGGGATGAAACTTCAAACAATCACGTCACAATAACACAATAACAACAATGAAATTTCTCAAGTGAACAACGTTATGTAACAGTGCTTAAATCTCAGCTGAGTTTGAAACCAGGCTGAGATTTTTCCTTCAAAATGGAGGCAAATTTTGTTCTGCCTAACAGGCCACTTTGGTAAGTGGGGGCTTGTGTTAAGGGGTCCTGGGGAAGAGAATCTGAGCACTCTCACATTCTTAGCAAACATACATCTCTGTAGTATATGTTTTTACAGTCACTAAGCAATCACATGCACGTTTTCAACTTAATCTCTACAAAAATCAAATAAAGTTTGTGGTCAACTATTGAGGTGAGTGATGTCAAATAAACACTATATACATATTTCACACATCAGTTAATTCTTTGGTGGCCTTTGCATCAAATGCTTTCAACCGATTAGCAACATCAGTTCTCCCAGCTTCTCTCCTCACCACATTAGCAAACTCCCAAACTGTCAGTTCTGGCCTTTCAGTTGCCAACCATTCAATCACTGCTTTTGATTTTTGATCCTGAAACCTTGCTTTTATTTTGAAGTAATTGGCACCATAAAAACGAGCAATTATCTCATAGGCCAGTTTTCCACCAATGGGTGTGTCTAAAAGTTCGCAAATTGTTTCCAGTTCACTTGAGTCCAATAAGCTTCCTATTGGCTTAGAATCTGAAACACAGATTGAACATGACAAAATATATCAGAGAATCCCTGTGTAAAGGTACTGTAATTAGACTATAACACTCAATATACTATTTACATGATATATTCTTTTCTACTACACACACCAAAAATTTAAAAAAAACTTTTTCCCCAAATGAATTAATTTCAATTCATGTTTGGGACAACTAAGGCCTTCAAATTACAAATGAACTTTACAGTCAGGTACTCTCACTGGAATTTTTACTTTTGTAGCAGTAGCATTCAAATTCACTCAGCCCTCAATTTCTGCAAATGTCTTAAATGCATTTTTCCTGTAAAAATAATCCTCGAATTTTTACCTATTTAGTCCATTTATTTAGCATTTTTCAAACTTGTGAGAAGAGTTCAGGTCCACTGTAGGCATGACAAGCATAATAATTACCTGACTTCACCAACTGTTCTGCATTGTGGCAAGCGCTTGTACACACCTTTCCATCACCCTACGATGTAAACCATAACTAATATAAATCCTAAATGGCTCATGCATAGATAATTATATCATGTATAAGCTATCAAAGTGAGTACAACTATACCCATTAAAGGTGAAACCTAAAAAAAGTATAGTTTTGAAGCAAAAATATTGCCAAGCACCCTCACTAGTAGACACTAATTACAGGCATCCAGACATCACAATAAAATAAAGTGGAATTCAGAAACAAAATTAATGAATGGGTCAGACTGGCCCATTTTACAATTTGCTTTGCTCCTCTTTAACTTTATACCATTTCTCATTTTATCCCTATTGCACCATAAGGCTTGAACAACAAGAGCATTATTTCAATTGTGTTTCTATGATATAATTCCTTACTGCAGGCCTGACTTACACAACCATTCTGGATAATAAAGGACTTACAGAGCCACATTTCTTTTACTGTAACTTCAGAACATTTCTGTTTCAAATGGGAGAGATTACCATATATTTTCTCTGTCCAACTGGAATAGAAAGTTAAAAATTAAAGAACTTCATGTTCATCTACAAGTGGACTGCCTGGGCACTAACTCATACATTCATTACCTCTAACAGTGGTTCACATAATTCAACTGCTGCTAATCCAGAATTATAATGAACTTTGGTACTTTTCTTCTTATGTGTTCCCCCATCTGTTGGCAGTATGGTAAAAATTGTTGACTATACATTGAAAGTAATTTGTAATGCATTAAGGACATCCAAAAATCCCCCGAGTATAATATTAGTGATTGCTTGTAATTAGACAGCACCTAACTTTTGTTACAGAGGGCGAAATTTCTTTTCTCACAAAGTCATAATGAACATGTAAAGGAGATATTACACAACAACAGTTAATTGTGACAATTTTAGTGGATCAGATTTTGTCACATAAAAATCATACCTTAAATCTTCCCTAATATATTTATTTTGTCTCTGACAACTAGTACACCACATGTAAGATTCTTGACTGAGATTTACCTGGATCAACACAACTATGCGTTGGTGACCGTGACTTGCAAAACCATGTTAGGTAAATTCCACCCACAATTACCAGAAACAGTACCACCACAGTGACTGTAATTGATTTACAAGAGTCATTGCAATCCTTGCTTTTAGAAGCAAACCGACTATAAACCCCAGAATGGGTTATATTTTCTAATCTGTAACCCACATTGGCACTGGTATTAGTTAAGGCTACAGCGACTATGTGACTTGATGTAGTGGCAGCTGAACTCTGACTTGATTCAGTGGTAGACTGAGGTACAAATTTTGGGGTTGATTTAATATTGCATCTATTGACACTGCTGTGGAAAGAGCAGATCATGCTTGATTGAGATCCCAACTTTTCTATACATTCACTCTCCACCACATCTCGATCATCATTGCAGCACTTGGAACATTTAAGACAATCTCCTTTGGATTCATCATAATACCTGTTCAAAGGGAAGAGTAAGGAATAAAAAATTATCTTTTTTGGCTGACATAGTGTAAAACATTAAATGTCAACCCCTTTTTTCAAGGATTATGATATCCATTGTTTAAAACATATAAGCCAGCCTTTTGCCTGAAAATTGAACAACTGCGTCATCATTCTTGTTATCATGTCAATGACAGAATTAAAAAAAACTAGAAGCATTGATTTGTCTAAAATTTTTGCCCAACATTTTAAATAAATGGCAATCTAGTAATGGACAACCAACTAAGTGGCTCCACTTGCCCACCATTTACAGGTCAATTGGAATTTGAAATGTTGGTTTTTGCAGAGGGAGGAAAACTTAAGGACCCAGAGAAAAACCTGATGACTGGAGAAAACTCCACTGCACCACCCCTGTGCCATTCCTGCAAGGAAACATTAAAGGCCTGAACAATGACAATTAATTTCTATCAGGCTAGTTTCACTAAAATTTCCTAAACCAATAGGCAAATGCCAGGTATTTAAATGTAAATCAAAGCCAAACTAGGAAAATTCTGCAGTTAATCAGATTTTAAGTTGGAATTATAGTAATTCCAAGCACCCTTTGACACCTCCCTTCACCCCATGGCCACTTCAAGTACAGCTGTTACATGATGTACCTGTCTTTGCTGTAACATCTCTTTCCACATTCAATGTCTGCTTGACGTGAGCAGTTTTTCATCACCACCTGGTCCTTGGAGCAAGATGAACAAGGAATGCAGACAGATGTGCTAAATTCACTGGAAAATGACTTTCCCAGTTGGCATGGAACACAGAACACTGTTGTATCAGGTGTTAATGGTTTTGAATTTCCACATTCTGGTGAGATAGTCTGGCCTGGAGGGCAAGCCTGACAGTCTATACACTGTGGTGGACCATCTGCATTTTCAACCCAGTGTTGGCTTTTCTTGCAAGGATTTGTAGGCTAAAAGGTAAATGTTACCTGAACTTCAATTCAGATTTTTCTTTGAAACATAAAAATTTATGGGAATAACTCAAAGGGTCTCTGAGAATATATATCTCTCCTTCTTGTTGAGAAAAAATATATATAAATACATAATTAATAACTTCTAATAAAATAAGTAACATGCAGCATGGGACTGTTTGCCCCTGCCCCCCATCAGCAATAAACTGGAAAAGTTTGATTGATTGATAACTTTATTCATAGACAGTTAAAAACTCCTTCAGAATAATTTACAAGTAAAACATCTAATTTATGCCTCGCTTATCTTATTCATAAACATAAGATAAATTAACATGTGACATGTAATGTATGTGATGACATGTTATAATGAGTCAGAACTAACCAGTCTACTAAAGTTGAAAGTTTGACTGCATATCTTTAATTAGGACATCAGTTACAACACTACTTACTGGTATTTAGTGACACATTTTGTTTTATGTATGATATATACATTTTTCATTTAAATTAAAATATTTAGCTCATTCAATTGTTCATAGTATTTTCATTATGATTTCTCAAAATCAATTTTTTCCAAGATAACTTTGTGAAAAATAAAAGATTATTAATGCTAAGGCATAAGGGCTTGAGGTCTTTGAATATTTTTCAAAATTGAAAGTGAAATTATTGATGTTAATGAAATTATGTGATTAAAAGTTCCAAATCTTTCCAATTGGCTACATGTAGATTAAACATGCTCTCTCTTTAAACATTTCCCAAAACACTCCTTCTGAATAAAATAAAGCACATATAATCCCATTCAATACCACAACTTTGCAACAAAATCAACCTCGCAATAGTTTTTTGATATTTTTCAGTTTAAGATAATTGTTTGAAACTAGTTTGAAAATAATCAGTTTTAGTAACTGAGGTTGACCTTCTTTATGTATTGCTCTTATTATCACTGGCAATTATATTATATTACTGAAAGCTATAATATTATGTATAAATATACCTTTGCAGATGTTACATGGAAAAGTAAGCCAGCAACAAGCAATGTTCCAAAAACCTGCAAAAACAGAGTTTAAATTCAACATTTAAATTCAATTAACTAACTTTATTAACACTTAAAATAATAGAACACTTTCTTTGCATAAACTTTAAAAAAATTAACTATTTACACATTTCAAGACGGAACAACAACAAAAAGTGTCAGACAATTTAAGTGACAGAAAGAATGATGCATTATGGTTCAAGGCATTCTTCAACTTCGTGAATAATACTTAACTATAATTATAACCCTAACTATAATCTAGATAAAACTAATAGAAATTAAACAAAATTGAGTAGATTTTTCTTAAAATCATATGTAAATTTCATAATACCTAAAATTAGAATTGTTGCTTCAAATGACAGTGAACTTTTTAGTAAAATTAATTTTAATGTCCAATCTCTTCTTAAACATGACTGTGAAATTTCAAAGCCTAGACTTATTATAATGTAACATTTACTTCAGGCATTTTCAATACCATGCAAACCTTGGATAAAACAAAATAATCTTTTGTTTACACATTTCAAGGTGAATTAACTTAAAAAGGTGATGTCAGACAATTTAAGTGACAGTAAAGATGATGCAATAATTATGGTTCAAGGCATTCCTTTAACTTTTGAACAATACTTTAAATGCAGATGATGCAATACAATTATGCATACCAGGAACACTTATTAGTGATATTGATGGAACAATTGATAACTGAAATTGAACTTATTATACTGATACAGAATATCATGCAGCTTGAGAGCAAAAATTAAGTAACCAGAATTGAAACTAGTGAAGTAAGTCCAATAATTGACAGCTCTGTGGTACAAAATGAACCATATTCCCTGTGTCATTTTATCTCCAAACATACAATTATTTGTAAATTGATAAAATAGGCAACTATAAACAGCTGTGGACCCACTATCCTTAACTATAATCTAAACAACACCATTAAAAATCAAGAAAAGATTGTGTAGGTTGTACTCAAAATTATATGCAAATTTAAGAATATGTCAAATTCGAATTCTTGCTTTAAATGACTGTGCACTTTTTAGTGCAATGGGTCAAAAATTAACTTATGTCCTAAACAATTTCCTTCCCTGCTTTAAATTTTCAATCTCTTCTGAAACACGAATGCGTAGTTTCAAAGCCTAGGCTTATTTCATCGTAACATCATTCGCTTGAAGCATTCTCGACATCATGTAAAACCTCAGATGAAGAAGAGTAATCTTTTGTTGACAGGAATATGCTTATGACAGCACATTCGCTTATATGGCGTCATACGCCTCCAACACGCCTACGTAAGTAAAGCATGCAATATTGCGCAGACTTAAAACGGTCACAACATGGAGGAGATAACGTTTAGATCAGCTATATCAGACCTTTTAAGAACCGAAGAGTTAAAAAAAGTCGCTCACCTTTCGATAAAAAGACCAATGATTGCTTTCTTCGAGGGATCGTTGCGGTCGGTGTCTTATGACGTATCTCTTCTCAACGCTAACCACCTGTATCAGAGAGAAGACGTTTGGAAAGAAAATATTGCGTTAAGCTCAAAAGTTTGCATGCTAAATCCAAAAGCGAGAGAAATCGTCACAAACAAGCAAACGAAATGACAAATTGTACCATTTTCTCGTATTGCGTCATGATTCTTCAGAGGGTTCGAAATCTCGACGGAAGCGACGGCTAAAAATGGATATTCCAAGGCCTTGCTTGAGAAACATCCATTTAGCATTTCTGTAAAAAGATCTTCCGCTGAATTCGCAAATTCACGGCGATGTGAATACGAAGACTTTCAACAAGAAAGACGGTGGACTTTCGTCTTAGGTTCTTTTAAAATACGCTAGCTGTTTTGTTTACAAACGTTACGTCATCGATTTCATTCACGTGCGCCTGCAACCAATCAAATGAAATGCGATCAGTTCATTGAAGGGTGATTGTCATCACATGATATTCTTGTGACTGAGAAACCGATAAAATATTGGCGGGATTTTCCTAACCGCAAACGCAGCACTTTTCCTTCAAGAATTCTTGTGATTCCTTCACGTACCTTTAAATTTAAAGAAAACGCGTAGGTCGTTATTATTCTGCGCGGCGTTCAAAATGAAAATGAAACCGTTCCTGTTCAACTGCTAACGGTGCCCAAGGAAAATTTCACACCTGATGTGTGTTGAGACAGGTCATAAGTTGAGACAGCCCTTGCAAAGTGTTAGCAGCCTCGATCCTTCTACATGAGAAATGAAACGAAAATCATACGAGACACTAACGCCGCCAGGCGAAATTCAGAGCAAAGAGTGTAATAACGAATCAGCGTTTCTGAATATTAGGGTAACTGAAGTCCATTCGGCAAAAATTGGCTTGGGTTGAAATTTGCGGCGGTGTGTGTTTTCCATAATTACATATGTAAACAAAGCAGCTGTGATAAAAGGACCCGTTTTGTGTGAGTGTGGTCTAAATTGGACATTAAGACATCGATTTTAAGGATTTCATGGAATGTTATGAATGCAAAGGACTTTATCGGAGAAATAGAAGACCCAAGGAAGTAATGTCTTTCAGCTCAGGCATCGTGCTTTGGAAACTTTCTCTCTTTTATTCAATTTTCACTCTTTTTCCATAGTTTTGTTTGTTTGTTGTTGTCGTTGTTGTTTTAATTTTTCTTCGTATTTTTTGTTTAATATTTCTTATTTTTAAATCAGCTGATATGTAAGGCGGACAATTTCAAAAGCAGTGCACTAATATTTTACTGTGTGTGTGTAAGTTGCTTAACTTGGAACATTACTGTGGGAATTATTCACTTATTAAATATCGTAGCAGGGACAGTTGTCAACTCTGAATTCATAACCATTGGTCTTACAGAAAAGTGTACAACGTTTCACACTACTAAATTATATGCATACTAGGCATTTATAATATCATTATAGCCTGTATTTCATTGAAGTGCTACTGGCTATAAATTGATGGCAATCAAGGAAATTTAACTTGTGATACGAACTTCCATTTTTCATTTTTTCTCACCATAGATCCCAAAGCTTAAGAGACATTCTCATTACAAATGCTATTATGCACTGACTTTATTCTTCAAACTGACATCTTTCTTAACTTTAAGTTTAACATCGATCTCTGAAGCAGTGACCTTGTTAACTAAACCACAACCAAATTATAAGTTTAATTTCATTAATATCCTATACGTAAAAGTGCTAGAGTATATTCACATTTTAGTGGACATTTCATGCAAGACTGTTCTCAAGGATTGGCTCGTATAAATAAGGTTCAAGGATTACTACAACATCGAAGCGCTGAATATTTCTTGCTTGAAGGATCTGCACTAATTCTGCGACTGTAAAAAGCGGCGACTTGACTATCAACGCCTCCAACATCACCATGCAAGGACTTCCTTCAGGAGTTAACATCTCATCTCTAAAACGCTGAATTTCTTGCTCCTTGAATCCAAGGGATGCTCCAACATGTCGCCAGTTGCCAACTCCTTTAAGGGGCATATCCAGGGTCACGCAAACAGTACGAAAAACTTCTTTTGGGAGTTTTTCAAGACAAAGGGACGCCTTTTCTTCATTAACAATCACTGGATCTACAAAACAAATTTATTAGTTATGAAGTGCAGCACAGGTAATACTGTTCACTAAATGTGTGTTTCCAGAAAATATCCATACCCCCACCACGGAGGGAATTTCATATAGGACCCCCCCACCCCTTCAGATTTTCCATTTTGGGGTAGCAGTGGTAGCCCCCCCACCCCTCTGGAATTTCCAAAGAATTTTCTACCACCCCCTATACCCTCTGGAAATATATTTTTTTCTCGTAGCAAACAACAAACAAGAGGGACGTGTGATTTTGTCGCATGTATATTCGAGAGATGGCGTACACGCGCAAGGTAAACGTCGCTAACTAGCTTAAACTTGATGTTTGCTTTATTTTTAAATACAATACTTATCCTTAAACATTTAACACAGTATTCTCAGTACACGAAAGGAGAAAAAAACTGTACAAGTCGCAACAAAACACTTTTGAACTGTTAAGTTTGTACAATGTACTGAGAAAATTGCGTGCACTTGAAATGGAAACGTTCGAAATCACATTGAGCAACGTAAATTTGTACAAAATTGTGTCATAAATAAGAAAGCAAAAGAGAAAACCGAGTCAGCAGTAAGTTATTTTGAACTCATCTTTCCAAATTCCAGCCTCTAATGTAAAATTTCTCCACACAAGCATTGATTCTTGTTAACAGCGGGTCGATAATTTCGTCCGATTGTGCATAAACAAACCTTGGCTAGTTACCAGTCCCACGCGCATATATACAAAGCCCTGGATCCTAATGTTTCTCAATGTTACTATCAACTGTTTTCTACTACGGTACGACTGTACTTATCATTCATTGTAACATCGCAAGCAAGTAAGCCATAAAGAAATCGTCAAGTCTCCTACACATTATGATGTAACGGAATTAAGCTCAGTGCAGATCAAAATTAATAGATGGCTGGAGTCAATAAGGGGTAGTGAATGGTAAATTTATGCGAAACTTTGCGAGACGGCGGGACCAGCGTTTTTTTTTTTTTTGTTTGCGAGACCGAGACAGTTATTTGTAAATTTTACGAACGCGAAACGTGTTATGACCGAGGAAAATCCCTAGGTAACCACTCCTGTTGGTTGTAATCTTTGGAGACTGGTAACGAGTAATGGCGGCTCCGTTCGAAAAACAAAGTGATTCTCTTCTTTATTTGATGTTATTTATGTTCCAAAGCGCTACAAGGATAAAAGAAAACTTTCTTTTGCTGCAGAACTGTTAGAAGCATCGTAATTTAACAACTTAAACTTCAGAACATCCCACTAAAGTAGGTAAAAGGCGCCAATTGACATACGAAGAAAGTCGATCGACTTCCTACCCTCTGGACGAAAATTTCGCCTCTTACCCCCCATCCCCTCTGGAATTTCCTGGGACTTTGACCCCCCCACCCCTCTGGAATTTCCAATTCCCTCCGTGGTGGGGGTATGGATATTTTCTGGAAACACACAATTGAAATAATCAATTATCAATCAGTTTGAGATAATACTTCCCCCCCCCTCCCAAAAAAAAGAATGAAGAATGAAATACTGTGAGGAGAAAGGAGGGGAGAGCGCATTTGCGCGATGTGACGAAAAAACGGCTGTTAAACAGACTTAACCCTTTAACTCCCAGAAGTAATTAACATGTTACTTCTCCCTATAGTATTCATACATTATCCAGCAAGCAGGTAATGAGAATACTCAAATTTATGAGTAAAAGTTGTCATCTTGATCTAACACCAAATTTTCCCACCTTCTTTACAAGGAAATGTGTAGCAGCTAGAGGGGAGAATTAACAACCAGACCTTGTGAATTAAAGGGTTAACTCTATCTGATGTTGAGAAAAATATTCATGTTATTTTAGAACGCCCAATGACGCCACAGCATATGGCCTTACCACACAAGTTCCTGCCTGTCACTAAACAATGGCGGTCACTACTGAAGCTTGGTTGCTGCTCCTGAGACCTCCTAAATGGGTCCTGAAGGAATAGGTACATTTTTAAAATCATGGAAAGTTAGGCAGTTATGTTAGACCAAGCTACAAGAACACTCAAAAACAATATTCAAAATTTATCAATCTACTAATTAAAATTACATATAATCATGCTATGACCCATACAAAAGAAAATAAAGGAACATTGACTTCTGATTTGATATCAGTGAGGCTTAATGTTTGTTTTTGCATTGTGGTTTCAAAATTACACATCAGTCAAATTACACACTGCCCACAAGAAGTCTTAGAAACTGAGAGTTAAAAAGTTTAAGTAAGAAGAAAAGCTCTAGTTTCCAAGTAAGAATCATGTTAACTAAACTAATTGCCAATTTTTTTTCAAGCTTTATGAATAATACTTTTAAATTAATAATTTACCTCAAAATGACACCTACCTCTTTAATTGAGGCAACTGCACAAATGGTTGTTGTTGATTCTTCATTAATTAGTTCAAATACACAAAGGAAATCTCTGTTGCGGCCACTGTCATGTTTAAAAAGTATTTCTGCCTTAGGTATTGTTTGATAAGATTCCTTCAAACTCTTTTGTGTAATACTCTGTGTTATTAAAAGCAAATAAGTCAGGTGAGATTTCATTCTTCTCTATTTTGAAATGGAAACATTAACACAAATGATCAATAGTACAATATAGTAACAGTCCTTTTACATATCATCCTCTGCAATCAACCAACTGCTTCCCCTTTCAATTTCTTTAATACACGATGATGGTTTCTTCCCTTTACGGTAATTTCTTATTTAAATAAGAGAACATCTACAAAACCCAATACAAGTACCACTTTTATCCAAAATAGGAGTGGGAAAGGGTTCAAAGGGATGTATGAAAAAAACTACAAAAGTAGAGTAATAGAGAAAGTGAACTGTAGTTGTGGAGTTACCTCTGGTTTAATGTCTCCGACAGTCCACCCCTCAACTGGTTCTTTTACAGAAATCTTGATATCAGTTTTGATCATCACAGTTTCGACATAGAGAGACTGGGGGGAACCCAACAAGATTCTTCCATTTGACCTCTCTTCTTGCATGATTTTCTGGAAAAATGAAATATAGGTTTATAAAGTAATCTGTACATTCTAACAATCATTTAATACTGATTACGAAACCATACACAAACAATGACTGAAAATATATGAAAACCATGTATGTGCACTGTGGTTGAAGAGATGGATATAGAAGTGATCCTCACAGTTATGGACACTACTGAACTAGTAGTTGAAATAAGGCCTGAAAAAATTCAGGCCCCTACAGGACCCATAACCTCTGCGATACCAGTGCAGCACTCTACCTACTGAGCTAACAAGCCAACTGGGAGCTGGATCCAAATAAACCTTCCAAGTGGTGAATAATGACTGTAAATTAATATTAGAAAATCATATATGTGCACAAATTGAGATTTGTCTTCTGTACGAGTGTTATGTGGTTTACATTTTTTTTCCTGTTTTTCATCCAGTACTGGTTATGTTACAGAGTTATGAGGCAAGTTATATGGATAAATTATATTTTGGTTTCAGATTAATCTCATGCTTGCTCACATTCTCCATCCTATGAAGAGTAAAATTCTAGCATACCAGTAGTTTAGGGAAGTATATTTACCCATCATTACCTGTCTCTAATGAGACATTCCCTAAAAAAAAAAACCAGTCTGTTTAGGGAACTTTAAAAATTTCAAATAAAAATAACATTCATCAGGCCTTCAAATATATCAAACAAACTCAAGTATGAATTGACTATAAACAAATGTATAATTGGTACCTCTAATGATGCCTCACAGTCATCAAACACATATAAGTATGCTGTGTAGTCCACACCAACTGTACCCTCTCCACCAAAAACAGCACACTGAAGGCGCTTTTTTGTTGGTTTGTCATTTGCCAGTGATGTACCAATGACTACGTAGGAGCTAAGATTATCCACTTGAAAGCTGACTTCATTATTATGGACTTCAAACAGAGTTTCCTCCCTCCATATGATTGATTCATTATGTGGTCTAGAGCTTTTTAATTTGATTTCCCAGCCATTACTAAAAAGCACTAGGGCACTGTGTGGTATCCTGACCTGTACTGGTTTGGATAGTTGCACCCCATAAGGATGAAATTTTATCACAGGGCTAAGCTGCACTTCACCAGATTGAAGTGGCACCTTGATACTGTTAATATCCCAACATATCTCTAGTCTTATTCCTTGAGCATCATTGAAGAAACTATTCGCATCCCTGAACTGGACTAAAACACCTGATTTATCAAAAGATAAAGTCTCCTGTGCTCCATCAGCTATTGGTTCCTCCAATGGCATTAAAAGACTCTGGCCTTGGGGCACTAAAAAAAGCAAAATAACATGACAAGCTTAAGGAGTAATATTTAAGCTCACCACAGGTACCTTAAACTAGGTGCTGACTACATCACACCAAGCAAACATTCAGTTAAGCTATATATGATTAAATATTATATCCTGATGATGAAACCTCACCTTCCTCTAAAGATGGCTGCAACTGAGTATAGAAAATTCTACTGAGAGAATCTCTATTCTTTTTGTATTTCAAGTATCCCAACCACACCAATGCCATGGTTGCAAAACATATCCCTACTATCATCACAATCCATAATGTTGTAGTGATTGTGCGTTTCTGTTGAATGACAATCTCAGTTGAGCTTTGTTCTTGACATACTTTGATGGATCTCTGAGTATAACTACATTGCATACTCTTTGGCATATTATGTCTCACACATTCTGGAATTTGAACATCTTGTTCATCACCACAGCAGGCAGAGCATGGCTTGCATTCTGTTCCATTTATACTATAAAATCCTTTGTCACAATTTCCACAAACCCTATCATGTGTCAGATTACAGGTTGTCAGTTCTATCTGTCCAAATGAGCAAGTTGAGCATGGCTTGCAACGGTGTGTACCTGGCTTTTCAGAATATGTTTCACCAAGAGAGCAGCTCATACATTTGACTTCATCAATACTTTCCAGTTTATCTCCATTTCCACATCGAATAGACGGTGATGTTCCTGCTGGACAAATTTTACAGTTCACACATCGTGCACCACCTCTTTTGTTTGCTACAACAAGGTATTGATCATCTCTACATTTTGGTGCTTGACAATTGATAACATTGGCATCACATCGTTGATAGTATGGCATGTTTTTACATTCATCTTTCACGCTATTGCTTATATCAGAGTGGTTGGGAAGAAATGAGCAACAAAAGGAACATGGCTTACAATCTCCAGTTAATCCTTCACTATAGAAGCCTTTGTCACATTTTCCGCACTCTGAATTTGATGTCAAATTGCATTTATGGTGGACTTTTTCATGTTTGGCACAAATTCCACATGAAATGCAAGATCCAGTATTATGAGCATCAGAATATGTTTTTCCAAGCTCACATTTTTTGCACTCAATACGGGTACCATATTCAACTTCATTGTAACATTGTGGAGTCAAGCCATAACCAGGAGGGCACTTGCGGCAATCAATACATGACCAGTTACCCATCACATCTTGAACTTTAAACTGGTTGTACCTACACCGAAGTGAATAACTGCCAGAGAATAGAAATATAAGCTGGAAGATAAAATCACAAAATATGAAATAAACAGACTGCAGGAAAATTTTATCATGTTTGGAAAATTTCAAAATGATGCAACTTTGTCACAAAATAGATGAGAAGTGTATTGTACTGTTCGCTTTATCGAGCCTAACCTTGAGACATTCTGACATGCACTCTGCCAACAGCATAACTGATCAACACATTCACTAGTTGGCCTAAAATTAACAGTTTTTGCAGTCGCAACTGATGTCTGTTGACTACTTTTATTCCTAAGTCTTTCTGGAGTCAATTGACCACCTATATCTGTTGGAACTTTGACCAGAAGGCTAATCAAGGGGAAATACTCACAACCAACGGGAACAAGGAAAGTGGCGATGTCTTGGCCATGCTCAGACCACGAAAACTCTCTGTAAAAGAAAGGACGGCCTCTGTAAAAACGCAACTCTGTTTAGTACAACAATGCACACTAGGAAATAGTGGTGGGATCGAACATTTCGTTAATTCCTCTACAATTGCTTACTCAGCACATGCTTCCCAAAAATGATTACGCAGCACAATTTTATGCATAATCTTCCTCGCATTTTTTTTCAGCACGAAATGCTTAAAATGTAAGTTACTCATAACACAAACAAATGTTGTATTTCTAATTTTCTTTTAACAGAACGGTAACAAATTTAACGTAAACATCATACATTTTAAACGCTTTTGAGGTAGGGCCATGTTTATTACGACGGTTACCTTACGCGTCTACCCGAAACAAAACAAAAGGCTCTAATTTTGTTGGATCAAACTATCATCCTAACACAATCAACGTTATTCTTATTCAATAAATTGTAGATGAGTGGCGAGGTATTCTGCAGCTTAGATTTCATTACTTACAATTTATAATTGAAGATGTCAACAATCAACGTGATTCCTCGACGGCAACTCCTGTACGTGCGGGTTCCACTGAACTTACCCCAATCTTTGTCTTGAAAATTTGCATAACCGTATCATGAATAGCCGAGTCGGGGATTCCCCTACGAGATTGCATCACGTTCGGAGGAGTAGTAAGGAAGGTGCTTAGCTTGCTATTTTTTTTCGAAGTCATTGTGGCTTCATTGAATGCTATTCAATTCAAAGATCGCAGTGGCATGAAGATTGTTCCATAAAATGAGTGGAAACGAAAAGTTTGATTATGGAAAGGCTGTCTACGCAAACTGTGCCAATTGTGGAGTTGTACAGATTCCTTCTAGGGTGCAGTTTATCATTCTATGCCCACTATGTAACGGAGATCTTATTTCGAATCCTTCCGACTCACACTCGCAAAGGAGATGCACAGACAATCGGGAGCAAAGCGTAATTTTCCAAGATAACGAAGATACGGAGAACACACCACTGGTTCCTTTGAATGAGGATTCTGCCGAGTTGGACACGTTATCTCTAGAACATTTGAGCTTATCGAGAGATGAAAACGCTTCTGGTTTACCGCTACAGGAGCGTTCTGAAGCATGTTTAAGTCAAGGAAAGGCAAACACGTATTCAAGTAAACTTTCTAAAACTCCAACTGAAGGAAATGACGAAAACGGAAAAAACGACGTATGCCAGACTTGTGGTAGGTGGTCTATGCAACAACTATAGTAAAGAAATCAAGTTAACAAGTACAATTTGTCTGAAGAGTTATATTCTGCCTTATCACTCCCTCTGAGCCGATAAAAATTTCAACTGACTTCCACCAACACGGATCACAATCATCTCAGACATATTTGCTGTTTCTCTTATTTTAGAGGAGTTGAAGTGGACCCATGAATGTCTGTCGTGCTTCATAGCAGTATTCAAGCGAGGAGTTCTCTCTGGAAAGAATCGAAGCCATGTCGTCTATGTTATTCCGAGGGAAAAATTCGATTTGGTAAGATACCGAGCGTCTAGTTAGAAAAAATTCAAGGTCTCCTCAAAACCTAAACGAAAAAGGTAACCCTTTTAACCCCTAAGATCTGATTGTCATGTCTCCCTTAGAGCTGCTATACATTTCCTTTAGAATTAGTTCGGATAATTTGGTGTTAATTCAAGACAACAACTTCTACATCATACGTTAGAGTATTCTCGTAACCTTTTTGCTGAATGATGTACGGATATTACGTGGAGAAGTTACATGTTAATCACTTCTAGGAGTTAAAGGAGTAACGTGAGGTACATTGCTTACTAAATACAAACTCGCACAATTGCTTCTCGACACTCTACGACGCCTACAATAGAGTACACTTAATTACATAAATGGAAAATTAATAATACTGGTCAATAGAACCTCACAAGAGTTATCAGATCACAATTAAATATTGGGTTGAGAACTTGAAAAAAAATTTGATAACGAAAACATAAATTGACACCAACCTTTTGGTGGTTAATGCATTTCATATATGACAAGACGTCTTTCGATTTCCCAGGTGTACGACAAAATCGCTCAAAATGAAGCAGCTGCTTATGAAGGAACTGAGATCGCTGTGATAGATGAGAAAGGATCCTTGTTCGCCTATCATCCTCAAATGGCAATCCAAAGTGAGGTAAAAATCATCTCTGAAATGGATTGTGGCGAATGTTTTGCCTTGGTCAGTCCTGCGGTAGGTAACACTTTTTCTCCTAAAAAATTTTCGGTCTGAGTTATAATATTGCATTCTAATTTACTTTCTAGCATAAATTTGTTTGGATACCCTAGTTAGCAGTAAGTGCTTAACTCCGCATAAAGAGATGCAGGTTTATCCAGGGCCAGGGGTTGACAACCACAATACAATTTAATAGTGGCTTACCCACTGTAATTAACCTGCTCAGTGTTGGGTTTGACTCTACCATAGAACCTACGGTATACAACTCTTCTGAAAATAGGTCGGCTGGGCACCCTGTTTGCATTCTGCAATCCGTAAGTGCAAGTTTGGCTGAAAAATCTGGGAATCGATTCTTTTTTAATAGCCAACCACCATTGGCGTCCAACATCTACTTGCAAAAAGTGAGGAGAGGTTATTTCCTGGCGCTTGTGTCAAGCTGGTCACTACATATGTTGGAGAGCAAAACACTCTTCGTGAAGACAGAGTCAGGATGGCACTGCTTAGTGGAAAAGCGAGACTGGTCATTCTCATTCCTACCAAGGTATGGCTTTAGTACTAGTGATGTCTTAATAATAAAACTTCTGTGTTCGTATTGATTGAATCTCCCAAAAAAAAAAAATGAAAATTTTTTTCCTCCTCAGAACTGAAAACATTCATATAATTTCCTCTCTTCATTCTCAACCTCATTATTAAAAATTGCGAGTGCACTTACCATTACAATTTGGCTTTACATAACAATATTTTATTCAATTACTATTAACAACTGTTTATCAATTAATCAATCAATTGCTTTTATTCATGATCTTCTTATTAGTGTTTTCAGAGTTCCCTACTGACAGCAGTCTTGCGACTGGAGGTGTTACCTCTTAAGATAGTCAGTTGTTTCAAGTTGTAAATAACAAAAGAAACCAACATAAAGAACCCAATGATTTTCAGTCGGCAAAACGTTTTTTAGAGTCTTAGAGAGAGCTTCTCTTCCTACAACACGCTGAAGTGCTAACTGCTGCTAGTACTGTTGGATTATGACAATCCACGAGAGGTACTTCCTGGTTAACAATCATATGATTTTAACCTCCCACAATCGCGTGTAAAACCCAGAAAGCACTAATCAATAAAGGTAACTTTCTGTATTCTTAGGTTCATCATACGCCAACCGATGGCCTTGAGAGTCAAAACTATTCAGGTACAAAACTTAAAATTTAATTCACAAGTCCAGTTGGAATTTTTGTGATATAAGATTACCCTATGGAGCTTTACCTAGGTCTTAATTACAAGTCAAGTAAGGTTCTGGTGTTTTGACTTGCCAAATATCAAGCACTCAGGTCAGGGAACAGAAAAGCTAAATTGTTATGTGGGAATATCAAGGTAGATAGATAGATACTTTAGATAGATACATACATACATAGATAGACAGTCAAACATATATATATATATATATATATATATAGATAGATAGATAGATAGATAGATAGATAGATAGATAGATAGATAGAAAGAAAGAAAGAAAGAAAGAAAGAAAGAAAGAAAGAAAGAAAGAAAGAAAGAAAGAAAGAAAGAAAGAAAGAAAGAAAGAAAGAAAGAAAGAAAGAAAGAAAAATAGATGGCAGGATAGTTGTGTTTATTTAAAAAAAATTGTTCACTGATCCTTTTCATTTCTCATTTCAAAGTTACTGGTATGCCAAAACTGGACCGAGACGCCCTTCAAAGCTGTCACGTAGATCTTATTGCCAATATTGGGGACTTTACATCGTTATGTGCCTATCTTTATCAATACAATATCTTGACGGCCGATGATAAGGCACTTCTGCGAAGTTTTCCACGTCCATCAGATGGCATCGATCACTTGCTAATGATGATACCCAGAAAAGGGAATATTTTAGACATTTTCATACGTATCTTGCAGCAATCACGAGAAAATCAAGAAGCTGCCAAACGTTTAGTGTTGAAACGTCTACAGTTACACAGAAAGACAGAGAGTAAATGACTTAATGTGTGATTGAATACATTTTAAAAATTGGTTGTTCACTACTCGACACAATGTTTCATCACAACTAGTTTTTCACAGGAAACAACACTCTGTCGTTATACACATTAATAACCAGGCAATAACTCCTGCTTTGTACATATTACTTAAAAATTTATTAGCTTAAGATGTACAACCTCTGATATCCTCTATTCAGGACTTCAAACGCCTTATCCTGAACACTTTTTAAGATAAACTACTACTAACGAAGTAATATGAATTAATACCTGGCAAAGAGTTTCATCTAGGGGTGAGAGAATTTCAGATGTTAAGATCCCTTAACGTACCAAATTATCTGTGAACTTTTTACTTACCTTTTTGAAAATTTTTGTGAAATATGTCAGAAAGATTCGATCTCTATCTTGGTTTTTTGTCTTACTCAATCGATTAAATTAAAACAAAAGGAAATATACACAGTATAATGCCTCTAGTCTATGGACGCTGAAGTTCACTCAATGGAACCTCATCTCTGATGATTATCAGGTTGAGTTCAGGTTGAGTTCAGGTTGAGTTCAGGTTGAGTTCAGGTTGAGTTCAGGTTGAGTTCAGGTTGAGTTCAGGTTGAGTATAAAGCTGGCAACTGAATGATGCAGTCAGAAATTTCTTTCTCTTTTCCCTTTCCACTCTTTACAACAGTGATATCTGCGATACTTGTGACTTGATTTCCTTATGAAGGAAGAAAGTAATAGTTGTGATTACTGGGAAGAAAACATCAGTTCCCCTACAGGAACAAAGTTCCTTGCATTTTCAAGTAGTTTTTTACTTCAAAAGAATAATAACTGACAACTTTACGACTCAATCCAGCTATACTGACCTTCATCCATTTGAAGGCTACTAAAACCTAACACCTCTCAGTAAGTGTAAACAACTCACCATTCATGGCATTTGCAATCGAGCTCTGATTCGTATACCAGCTTGGATCCTACAATGAAACAAATGGAAAATTAGAGCTCTTTCAGTTGTCATATCTCTCAATCCAAAAAAAATTAGAAAAACCCTGTGTTGGCAGTAACTGTACTGCTGGTAAACTCTCATTGGTGTTGTGGATTAAATTTGACAACTTTCATTGACCCATTCATATCTTCAAATTATTAGTTTCTGGTTCTAAACACAAATATGACCCCAAGCAAGAAGACTAACTATAGGTGACCAAATCCTCATTAAAATAGACTACAACAGAGGCCATTGTGTCTCCTGCAGATTAATTCACTGAAATTTAAAATATATTTATATTTTGTGCTATAAAATGTGCTACGTAAAATGTACCTCCTTAATAGCAGTGCTTGCATACATCAAAGTTTGATTGGATGCCTGAGTCAAAATAATAGTAGCAAAGAAGCTGCTTTTCTTTTCCATGGATGCTGAGCTAAATACCAGATTGCATCTGGGAGTTGTACTGAAAGAGTTCTTCAGTGATGCATAGCTGATTTTCTAAAAAAAAAAGAGAACAAAATGCAAATGTCTTCAAAATCATCAAGAGATAGCAAAACTTTTAGGGATCTGAAAAGAAAGTTAATTATCAAGTTCACAATTTTAAGATCTTCAGTGAAGCTTGAAAGTTTCCATTTTTCTCAGAATCTTTCTCTGTTGTTGCACGACACTCAAACAATGACTGCAAAATACCATTTGGTGACCACTCTTTAGCTTCCAGCCATCAATATCCTTCACACCAATTTCTACATCCTCTCCATGAATTACAGAAAAATCAAGAGATTCAACTGATGACATGGGCTTTCCTCCTTCCTTTTTCTCCTCCCTCATAACATTCTGTGGAGCAAAGGTCACACAATTTTGTTAAAATTCATTACTTACAGAAATAGATCTAACAAAATTATATAACATAAGTAACCATGATTGGAAGTTGGGATTCTTTATGAACTAGACTGGCACAAATTAAAAATCAAATTACATATACTTGTAAATACCTTAAGAATCCTAGTTAAGACTTCAATTATGTACAAAAACAGATTGCCACAGCTGGGTAAGATGTCACAAGGTTTGAAACACCTGTCCTCTTACTGAACAATTGAAAGAAATTTTATATATGAAAGAGATCTTTTGGTCTCTTTGACGCTGAAATTCAGGGAGAAATTCAATGCCCTTACTATTGTCAATTCAGTCCTATCTATGGAGAGAATCTGTTTTTTATCCTCAAAAGCTTACCTCAAATGACCACTCGCAGTCATCAAAACAGTACAATCTCACAACAAGGTCTTCTCCAACTCTGGTGTCACTACAAAATGCCATGACCTTCATTCTCTTGAATACTGGTAAAGATCGCTCTTCACAGTGTCCAACCACTGCAAATGTTGCAAAATAATTTGTTTTAAAGCTAACATGGTTGCTTTTGGGGAGGAATTCTTTTATTCCACATGACTTACTACCCTCCACATAACTTACTACCCATTCATCATTTTTCAACTCCTTCAAAATGATTTTCCACTTATTTGAAGAAAGCACCATGTTTGCACCATGAGGTATCTGAAGCTCAAGGGGTTCCAACAACTGGTTCCTTGAAATAAAAATAAATGCTGGACTTAGTGGAAATTCATCATCCTCAAGTAATCCAGGTAAATCCAGCCCTTCTGGTGTGGCATGCAGTACCAAATCACGTGGCAAGTGTTGAAGAGTAGACCTGTTGTTATCAAGAGAAACAACCTCAACTCCTGTCTTTTCAAATACCATATGACCTGGGCTATGTTGTTTTGGACACTCCAACTCTGCCTCCTTACTACCTAGGAAATAAAATATGCATATGCAAAAATACGCATAAAATTTGTATATCGTAAACACAAGGTAGCTTTTTCAGAAAAACAGTATGGGAAGACTCCATTTTCTAGTCCTTTCTACAAAACAAATAAAAAATAGAAAACAAAAACAAATAAACAAACAAAAAGTGAAAAGAAGTGGGGTACTCTGTTTTTGTTTAAAACGCTAGGTGTAGTACTCTATACACAAGAGTTTTAAGCCTATAGGCACTGAAAACATAAAGCAATGAATACCAATTAGAGATAATAAATGAATGCTTAACTTACCTGCAAGTGAAGAAGTTTCTGTAATTTCAGCACAGTCCTTCTTTTCCATTAGCTCACAATTGTTTTCTTCATTTGGAAATGGATACTGATAGTTGCCCTCCGATAATGGTACTGAAATGGCAACCCAAATCAGAAAGAAGCATATGCTCAATACAATCAATGTTGTCACCTTGTCAAGTTCGATTGAGTTCACTTCATAGTTTTCTTGTTCTACAGTTTGCAGCTGCCCAAACTGTTCATTTAAGCCCAAAGATGGAATATGAGGCTTAATAGCGAGCCCCTGAGAGTTCTCTGAAGACGCCATTCCTTCCTTTATACAGTTCACGATACTTCGACTGTCGCTAAAACCACAACACCAGAAGCACTGTTCACAAGTTTTTGAGTGGTCGTTCAGATAAAACCCTGGCATGCACTCACCACAAATGGTATTTGATTTGGTGGAACAGTTGGCTAAAACCTTCTGACCAATCGAACAAATTTTGCAAGACTGTAGAACACCCTGCTGATCGACGAAGGTTTCTCCTAAGATCGGAAGTTCACACTTAGGTATCGCACCATCAGTTACAACACTTCCACATGGTTTGGTGAGGCCAAATTCGTCTGAACAAACAGGACAGGGTAAACAGATCTGTTTGCCATCATGCTTTACAATTGTGATCTCATCATACCAACACTTTGCTAAACAGGGTTTTCTCTTGTGGTAGCTGCACGATTGTGTTCGAGGCATCCCTTGCATGAGACATTGTGGGACAACTACGTCCAAATCACCCAAACAACATCCTGAGCAAGGGAGGCATTTGGACAAAGTTTGGTTCTGGTAATACCCATCTGGGCATGGCTTGCAACTACAGTGAGTGTTTGAGATTTTAGTGCATCGCTTTATAGTTACTTCATCTGGACTACAGGTTGAACAGGGTTTACAACTCTCAGACGAGTAGGAATCAGAGTAGTAGTCAGAGGCACACTCCTCACACTCAACTTGGGTGCCGATGGTCCTCCTAGTTCCGCAAGGGATTGTAACCTCAGATCCTGGGGGGCATTTGATGCAATCTGTACAAGCGATATTACCATCTGGTAGTTCTACTGCATGTTGGTCTTCTCTGCAAACCTGAGCTGCATTGGCTTGATTGACCTATTGAGGAACACAAATTGGATCAAACAAAGGTTTCTCTAAGCTTAAATTTCATTTGACGTAACTTTTCTGTTTTTTGACATTCGCATTGCAGTTTCCTTTCGCTTGGAAGCACGTTAACAACATGAGTAACTATTGCATCTGTAGCCTGCAGAGCAGGCGTCTCATTAGTGCGAGCTAATGTTGTAAGCTCGCGATCGTTTATCCGACCGGCCGTGTTTGACTTGGAGTTAGAGTTTCACTCCCCCACCCCCACCCCTACCCCTACCCCTCTCCATATTATTGACCGTCGACCGCCCCCTTATTACAAATTTATTTCTCTCCCCAGCCTTCCGCTGCCATTAGAATCAAAGATGGCGGCCATAATTTTCGTTAAGAAATTACTGAGCACTCTCTCGCCAAAATTACGCCTGCTCTGCAGGCTATTACATCAGTGAAACACACCAAAGAATACGGTCATGAAAAGTTCATAGCCTCCAGAGCAGGTGTAATTTTGGCGAGTGAGTGCTCGTCCGGATAGACGATATATGTAACGATAACTATCCCGCACTAAAAGTACACATGGCTAGTGCATCTTGAAAACTTCAGCCTCAGTCTTAACCGAATTGGTACCGATCAAATTTGACGTACTCTTGCCATTCAAGGCAACTTCTTTTTCTTTTGGGCCCCTCACACCTAAAATAAGCACGATAAACAATACATAACTAGCCCATCTTAACTGTTTGTTTACATCAAGAGGTTTTCACTTCCGCTTAACATCTCACCGTTGCAAGACATGAAATGATATAAGACAATAACCTTACCAAGACGCAGAAGAAAACATAGTGTCTAAGTTGACAAATTTCCATTTCTTTGACCTCAACGGCTACCTTGATTTTACAAATGCAGAAAATCAGTTGATTAGAAGAGACGCTGTTGACCCTCTACCAGTAACAAATATATCGACCAAAACCTACAAAAGTGGATATTTGTTTAAACGCCACTGGATGAATATGTTTCGACTGATTGCTAGATCTCCCTTATAAAATGGAAGGAGTTGAACCACTGAAAATTTGCTGTTCTTTGAGGAAGTCAGAATATTGAATATACTATCCTTTCGTTTTCGAGGGGGTTTCCCCGACCTTTGTTTTATTCAGCCAATGAGCGAAAGGGAAACAAGTTAGCCAATGAGAAGCCAACGAGAGGGAACTTACATAAATGATACAAATTAAGCTTGCTTTCCCCTTTTTCTAGGAAACCGATTAGTTAAAGCGAGAAAAAACGAAAGTGCTGAAAATGGATTCAGAGCACAGACGAAGCGAGGTAACAAAGGTCCAGTGATATTAATATCGGTTAAACCTTGTGTATGAAGTTTCTTTTTCAGTTAAGATCAATTAAGAACCATTGAACTGTGTACTCATAAATAAGAGGGATGAAGCATTTGAAGGAAACTTTTACTTTCGAAACACTTCTGCACAGACGTCGGAAACTGACTTTCAAACAAAAAAGGAAAAGTGATTTAAAGTGCTTATTCTCTGACTTAGAGCAGCTATGAAGCAAGGAATGAAAGAGATGACGTCCTTGACGATAGGAACGACGTTGTTCAAGATGAAATAACGCCAAACATCAGCGAACCTCCACAACCAGGCGCATCCGGCTTTAGTCCAACAGAATTTTGCGTCTGCCCTGGAGAAACAACCCTTTTACTTGATGTGAATGAAGCCATCTGCCCCCTTTGTGGGAAACTCATCGACAAAACTGTAAAAGAAGCTACGACTTCAGCGACTAATGAGCAGGGCGCAACAGCAAATGGCCATGTTGACGGATTAATTTCAAGTCTGGTACAAGGACTAGTCATTGTTCCATCCGAAGCATCTCTCGAAGATGAAATTTTTGCTTCAACACAAGAAAATGGGAGCGTAGATACAGATCTTCCATGTGAGGAGGGACAAGGTGGAATCAAAATTCCCGTTGAAAGTAAGTAACACAACACGCGTTGTGAGCCATTATTCACCTGATTTGTTACTTTCTCGAAGAAATAAAGAATGCTATTTGCGTAACATTTCCGAGATTCAAAACACCATTAAACAAAATTAAAAGACTCCGAATACCATTCAATACACTACTATGAACACAAATCATTTACCTACTTTGCTAGCATTGCTATATGGCTAATCTAATAAAGATGTGAAAGTATAATAGCCTCTAATGCATTTATGGCGTAGTCTCCTCCAGAACCTAATAAGTCTAAACATTTACTGATGATTAACTCGCAATTGAGAGTAAACGTCCTTAGAGTGGAGAGTAAAGTTTAAGATGGAAATAACAGCTGTATAGATAACTACAAAATAAAATTAATAGTTCTCTATACTATTTGTACCAAAAAATGTCCCTCTAAATCTTGCTTTTTTGTTTGTATTTCACAAGTCAAATTTTACTTAAATCATACTCAGTAGCCTGAATAAAACACAGCTTAAACTTCCTAAGTAATCGTATAAATTCACACGAGCAGAATTAACACTCTTTTAAAATAGAAGAAAAGCAGTATCCCTGATGTACAGTTTAACATCCAAACATCTACAGCTGCAAAGCACTAACTCCACTTTGAGAAGGTAATAGCAGATGCTTAAGGGGGTTAAGTTGGTTGGTTGAATCAGGGAAATGCTTCAGCCTCCTCTTGCCTCCGAAATTATACTTAGTTCTTATGCAAGTTTTCAAACTTTTTTGGATTGATCCACACAAAGATCGAAAGAAAAGCTCCAAAACAGAAGAAATCTATACCAGCTTTATTGATATATCAAAACAACAACATAAACAACAATAATTCATAACACATTAAGACATTGTGTGACAATGCTGTGAGAGCTTAATAAGGAAATATTATGAAAACTTTTTGCTTCTATTGTCGTTGTTGATAAACTTGTTATTGAGTTACTTTAGTTCCGAAATTGAGAACGATGCTATCAATTATCACCTGTAAGATGCGACATCACAATTGTCAAGACCATTTCCTTATGATTGACAAATGTAGTCATGTACCTGTTATATAAAATGTAATCGCTTAATTGTTCTTTTAGGCATCTCACACCCATCAGTCCAAGTGCCATGTGAACCTCTCCTTCTGAAGTTCTTTGTGCTGAAACAAGATCATATAGATGTTAATGAAATGTTATTTTCATTACATTTCATCGAACATTCAGAACAGGTATAGAAAACTGTTAATAAGACACTAACAAAGTATAATTGGGCAAAGCTAAAAAAAAATATCTCCATTGCAATCCCAGTGGACTCAAGGAGTTAGTCATCAGAGCCAGTAATTTTTGCTGCCAACTTCTTTAAATGTGAAGCTCACTAGATTATTGCCCTATAAGGTCAGCCCTCTTAACCCTTACCAGTGAATATGCTGCCAGGTTGATACCATCACTGCATTGTTGAATTTTCTGCCCATCATTATTAACACTTGAAACCAATAAATATTTGATGAATGGAGAGATATTGTACTAACCATCAGCTCAATAACCTTACATATTTGACAAATTCTACCAGAAAATGCTCATTCTTTGATTTGAACTACATGTACTAAATCAACTTCAATGATTTTTCCCCTTTGCTTAGGGGAGGGTAACTTCATCTGTAAGACAGTTGGAGCAACACCTGGGAATGAGATTTCAGGTTGTCCCACTTGGTGAGGAACATTCTATCCAAGCAGAGAGTAAGCATCTCCACACCATCAATGTAGACCAACAAATTACAGTTATGTTTCAATTGCTGAAACAATGTGAAAGAAAATTCATACTGCGTGGGGACACTTTTGAGGTAAAGCAACTATAGTAAAATATTCCATAAGAAAATGTTATGAGCAGGAAAAAGGACCACTCATTAAGTTGGGTGGTATCTTGATTTTAGGGATCTTGCAAACACTAGAAGAAAGGGAAGTAAGTGAATAAAATATTACTGACAATGAAGGGGGGGGGGGTTACCTTGGTTGGCTTAACACATATGAATAATTAATCTAGGATTTTATATACACTTTTTTTGTATATTCAAAATAACCTGTAAAACTATGTAAGACTTGGTTCCTTGGGTTGATATGCAACAGTCTCTGACACTTTTTTTTTGGTGAAGAGGATAGCAAAAACAAATATTTTGTCTTTAACAAGGTCAGAGTGCAGAGACCTAAGTTTCTCACAATTTTTCCAGATCCCTAACCCCCCCCCCCCCAAAGGCTGACCAACAGCTACATCTAAAACAAAGTAGACAGCTGACTAATACACTTGTTTCTGTGATTTCAAGAAACACCCCATAAAACAGAGTGGGCATTTGGGAAAAATCACAATAATTCACTAAAACTTTTTTTTTTACTTACTTCTCCTAAACACTGTCAGGTACCTTTGATGCGTATAAAGTCCTTGTGCCAGAACAGAATTCCTGGTTCTGTAGCTCAAGTTTGCGTGATGCCTATTTGTGAACCTGGGGAAGTTTGTCAGGATCACATTAAGATGACAATCAACACTGGGCATACTATTCACATCATGTTAATTCCTATCTGGGTAATTCTAACCATGTTTATTCAAGTATATGTATGAATTCACCTCAGCTTTCTCTGCTATTCTGTCACTACTAGACAAAATACCTTTGAAACCTTGTAGAGGGGCTGACAATGACCTTACAAAGTTTTCTAAACTATCCACTAGGAAGAGGTCACATAATTATATTACTTTTAATCCCTTTGTAGGGATATTTTAAGAATAATCAACGTTTTAATTATTGAATAAATTTAAAAAAAATTAAGTATCAAGTAAGGGGATTAGTAATTGCTTTTTAATAAAATAGATGGAGTGGACTGAGTAATTTCACATGGAACAGATTGCTCTGTAATAATTTTTTTCTTCTTTCTTCCTTAGTCTTCAAGGCCAGCTGATCAAGGAGAGTAAAAAATGCCTCTGTGCCTGGTGAGTAAACTTAATGATTCAGATAAAAACTCAACTCAAATTATTGGATTAAGACTGCACACAATACAATAGTTTTGCTTTGTTTAAATTTGAGTAAACTGCAACCAAACCCTCTTGTTCAAGCTTTTCCAGCTTATATTCAGGTGTATAGAATTACAATGTAATCAGATAATAAGTTATCTTCCAAAGGACTGATTAGTCATCAGTAACAGAACTGCAACCCCATGATTTCTAGTTTATCATAAAAAACAATAATGTTGCCATGAGTAGCATTTTAGTGATTTTGATTTTCTCTGATTAGCAAGTTCTCACTCTAACACATTCACTAAGAATATCCAGATGGAATCTACTTGCTGGAAAAAAATTTCCTTGAATGATATCAGGGGCAATAGGAAAATTTGTGCCATTCTTAACCAATTTCAGGTTCAATAGTTGCCAAATTCTTGGATGTTATTTACTTGATGTACTTTTTTCCTGTACGTATTTGCAATTTAACTTTTGGTAACAAATGAATGCATGCAAAACTTGCTAAACAAAAAAAACACTATGCAAAAAGTCCAATTAATAAACATTGTAACCATGCTGGTTACAATGTTGCAGTAAACAATGCAAACTTATGCCCTGAATATGACCCCAGATTTGACAATTTCCTTATTGCTCCTGGTGCACTCATGGAATCCTTTGTCTAAGCCAGCTCATTTTCATGCAATAGATTTTTCTACAATTTTCTTCATCTTTCCCTAGGAAGTCCACCAGCAGGTCATAGACTATTAATATTACCACTTAGTATCAATTGCCATTGTGAATTATTTGTAAAATATAGCTTAGCATATAAACAGATTACATATAGTCAAAACTTGCAGTAGCAGCCCTCATAATCAAGCATTATTTACACAATGAATGCAGGGTATCAAAATGTCAGTTTAAATAATTGCATTAACTTTGTAGGTTAGCTGTGATATAATCTAGCAACATTAAATTGATTTCTTAGAACTATGAAATTGGGAAACCCTCCCAAAAAAAACAAAACAAAACAAAAAAATTAGCTCTAGAGGTGGAGCGATTTTCAATTGAGTGTTGAAAGTAATCCGAGATTGCATTGGTTTTGCTCCTTTTCTCTACTGTGATAGGTCAAAAAACTTGCACCCTTTTTAACAGTTCATTTGCAAAACCAAATCCAGTAATAACTTGGTGACTTGCATTTTTTGCCCTTAGGGAGTTTGCTTTGTCTTACCCTAAATTCTCACTGGCTATTTACCATGCTTCCTATTACTCTGCTTGGCCATTGTGATTACTTTAACTTTGGTTTGACGACACTCAGGTGAAGAGTCCTCTATCACAATTGTTTGCTATATATATATATATATATATATATATATATATATAAATAACTTATAAATCTTTTTTCATGTTCAACCTATGTAATCCCATCTTTAAAAGATACCAGAAAACAATTAGTAAAGCACTGCTTACATCTAGTTTAGAGAGAGATCACTTTTATAGTGACTTACAATACTAGACTACCTCAGGTACTCGAGTTTCACAGAGAAGGCCCTGACATGATTTAGGGCAATAAACAAAACAGGGTTTCTAGTGAAAGGCTAAGTGACATCTATCAAAAGGATGAATTCTTTCCCAAACCTCTTTGTCTTGCTTATGAAACAAGGAGTGGGGGTTAATTGTTGATTCACTTTGAGCCTAATCCACATGAACCCCCTCAAAAAGAGACAGAGCCTAATGATGCTGAAAAGCAACAGATCTGTTAGAAGTAAACCCACCTTTTTCAGAATTCCACTACTTTCAGTCTTTCCCTTATTTGTTCACACAGCAAAGAATATTCTACATTGGAAATTCAGTTTTTACTTTCAAAATTTTTAAGTGTTCACAGAACAAGCACAAAAGTCCATTGCCTATTAGGCATCAATGGACCTAGACTCTTTAAAATGAAACATAACACAAAGTGTGGAATTCTTAATAAGGACCTAAAAGTGGCTGCTGACAATTTTATGTTGTTCATGTTTGATGGAATATGACACTACCACTCTGACTAAGTTGATATCAGAAATAACTGTTTCATGCATCAAACAGGCCATTTTACAGTTGTGTTCTTAGTTGCCAAGCCTTTGATTTGGAATGAGGCCAAAGGTGACCTTGTTGTGATAGAGATAGCATAACAATTAAGAAATTTACATTTGAAAAGCCTCAATTTTTGTATCATAACAAAGTCACCATTAGCCTAACTCCTGCTCAAAGGCTTAGCAAGCAAGCACACAACTGCAAAATGGCTATTTACGGGCATTCTACTCATTTTCTACCTTTTCTTTCATCTTGTTTGTAAATGAAGCATACTTTCTTTTAATTTCTGAAAATTTACCTACACATAAGCCTTCTTCAGTAGTTTTTCCATCCTTCTCCACCTAACTCACACAATTTCCCACAAGTGTTCTTCATAAAAATGACTTTTTAGTTGTGTTCTTCTGGACATTGATTATTTCTATCTGTATGATCAAGATAACTTATGCAGAGTGGTGGTGTCACACATGATCCAAGCATCAAACAACTTTCACATTGTCACCAGCCACATTAAAGTCATTTATACACTACATAAATGCAACCTTCAAAATACACTTTCACTGGAAACATATTTTGCTAACTAAGTATGGTCATTGGAAAAAGCTCTCTGAAGTCAAACAGCTAGCTTTCAATAACAGAAATACCATTACCAGTGAAAGTGGACTTTGAAGATTACAAAGCTGTTGAGATGACTACGAGCTTTGTGTATTCTAGGGAGTTTTGCCACTCCTAAATAAGGGTGACAAAATTTTCTGGCATACACCATGAAAAATGCTGTCAGCAATTACCTAGCCTCCAATTGAAATGTTTACATTATAAATAGATTATTTAGAATATTGATATTATTAGTCCAATTAATACACAGTTACCTTGAAAAATGTAAAATGCTAAGAATAATAGGCCATTTTACAGTTATGTAATTAGTTTCCAGGCCTTTGATTTGGAGTGAGGCTGAAGGTGACCTTGTTGTGATAAAGACCAGAATCTAGTTAGCATGATAACAAAGTAAGTAATATAAACTTGAAAAGTAGCAAGGTTTGTATCATAACAAGGTCACCCTTAGACTCACTCATGTTAAAAGGCTTGGCAACCAAGCATGCAACTTTAAAATGGACTATATTTACTATAATCAAATTTGGTTTTGCTAGTCTGACAGCTACATAAATACATGGCATTCATAACCTCAAAAAAATGTAATTTAATTTAATTCCTAATTCTCATCATATTGTACAACAATCCAAGATAAATAATAACTTTAACATTTCTCATGAAAAATAGACACAGTTAAGTTCAGTAAAGTCTATACAGTTAGGATTATGAAAACTTGTTGGACATGATCTCCCAACTGCATAGATATACATATAAATAGAATGAACAAAATGATAATCCTTTCAATCAAATCAGCCACCAAAGTCAGAGATGGAATGTCATGTATTTGTGTCATTTGTACATAATTATATATAATTATACTGGGTACAAATACCACTATCAGTAATGTATAAAACATTAGTGGGCCAGTTATTTATAAGTTTTGTCACTGTCTAGCAAATCAACTCCTTAACATTCTTCAAAATACCAAACATATTGTCTTAAAGATGAAATCCATGAACACCTTTATGACCCATGTCTAACACAGGAAAAACATCTATTCATTTCAAACAACCCACTCATACAGAAATCTAAAGATTCCTATATCATCTTAAACTGTGGCAAAACTTAAGATTTCACTGAAATAACTGGCCCTAAAAGTACTTCAGCATGTGTAATAAGCTGACTTTAACCCTTCCACTTCCAAGATCTCACTAGTAATTCTCTTTACTGTCTGCCATACAATTCTTAAGATGTTAGTTTGAAAGAACTTGGTGTTGAATCAACGAATAGTCATTCAATTGCTCATTTTCTTTATTATTGTCACATATCTGCTTAATTTTGACTTGATATTGTAAGGAGAAATTCTGTATTGATCACTCATGGGAAGTAAGAGGGTTAAGCTGTAAGTACTGATAATTTTATAAGTAATTGTGAATATGTTTTTGTTTACTTGTATTTCTTCCTCTGAAAGCTACCTACAGATAGACAATCATGAAAATTTGAATAATGCTAAAAGGGACTGTCACATTTTAAGCATCTTAAATTTTTAGCCCACATTTTTATCAAGCTTATCACTTGCACTTGATGTTGTTCTATCCTTTTTCCCATTTATTGTAACCTTTTTTGTAATAAATGTCTCACAATTTATTATTGAAATCTGAAAGCAATTATTATTAATATCATCATCACTTTCCATGACCTTAAAAATTACACATCAATAGTACTACTGATGTGTAACTTGCATTGACAACCCTCTCAATCCCAAGATCAACTATCAGTTCCCCTCCCTGTCTACCATACAGTTTTCATTACTTTAGCTATTTATTTTGTTAGGATAAACAATATCATTTGGTTGTTATTTTACTATCCTTTTCATCACCTTTTTGCAAAAAATTGTTTTGATATTGTGAAACAAAATTCCTCTTTGGTCACCCCTGGGATTAAAAGGGTTCATGAGATCCAAACAAATATATCATGGTTTATCTTGTATTATTGCATGTGGAAGATATATGAAGGAAGTCAGTATCTTTTTTAACATTAGTGTATGTATTATAGTATAATTTGGAGCCGCAAGTCATAAAAAATATGAGTTACCAGTAAGCAATCTTAAATTTGATAATGTTGTAGTAAGCATTGGATTGTATCACATGACCCTTGTAAAGTGTTGTAGGGGTAAAGTATCACAAGACACTTCTATTGAAAAATATTAGACAAAAACCACTGGCACCAGTTGTTCAAAGGGTGAATAATGCCATCCACTGGATAAATCGCTATTCTGTGGATAGCACTATATCCTTATTTCAAATTCTCTAGATAGCAATTTATCAGTTGGACAGTGTCATCTGCCCATTGAATAACTGGGCCCAATATATTATAAAAGGGAAGTACAGCTGCACCCAGGAAAGTTTTCTAAATAGTCAACAATCTTTTACTCACTAGGCAGTACATTATATATTGAGATATCTGTTGTTTATTACCATGTGTTAGAAGAGCTGATGACTAGGCACACAAGTTTTAAATCAATTTTTCCTGGAATGTAAGACCTGTAAATCTGAGCCTTACTATCATTGTAGAATTTTACAATGATTGGAGGGAGGGGACATCAGGACAAATAAGTGTTTGAAAATTAATCAAACGAGAACTTTGTATGTATTGAACGTTTGCCTGTCCACTTCATCTTACACTAGTGCCTTAATTTCTGATGATCAACTTACAGAGCTTCCTCCTGAGAAGCACTGCCTTTCTATAGTGGTCTTCCAAATGAGGCTTTCCATAGAACTGTCTTTTCATATTAGCTAATAAAATAAACTGTACTAACTATCCTAATATTTGAGTGTTCCTTCCTGTGATAGTTGTTTTTGTTTGTTTGTTTATTTGTTTTTTTTTGGTAATACTTACTTTAAACAGTCATTCACCTAGTCTCTCTACTCCTTTAACACATGGTTAAAACAAGTTGTATATTTCTTGATTTTGTTTTTTGATACAATGAATGTGACATAAGCATATATTGTGCAACGGTGACAATTAGTTACAGGATTAAATAAAACATAACAGTGGCTCATTAAAGTTTGTTTGATTGTTTCTACTTGGAATGCAACACTGTGCACTTCTTTGCTTAGGGATCCTAATGCTGCCAGCCCACCATAAACATAACATACATCATATAATAACATTCAGGGGGTGATTGTTTCCTTTATGCTGTTACATAGAAGCACAGATGTGAGTTGCTTACGTACACAGGTACCAAGATCTTGCATTTGTCATAAGCTTGTTATGATGTTTACATCAATGATACCACATTGCACATTTTAATCAAGTCACTATTAAAGTAGAAACTCACAATTTAAGAGCTTTCTTTTCAGTAAATTTTGCATTTGTACTCTCTGGATGTGACTCAATGGTTGGTGACATGAGCTATACACCATATGGTATTGTAACTCACTTTATCCAGTTTTGTATCATAATAGCATTCAAGGAACGAAACATCCCAAATGCATCCTTGAGTGGTTTCAAAAATATCCTGAAAGAACTGCTGTTCTGCCATTTGCTCAGCAATCCAGAAACTTGTACCATTAATGTAAGTTGGAGGAAAGAGACTGAATGGAATAAACTCTTTTCCCAATGACAACCCATCCACCTAAAATATCAGTAACGAATACTCCTACAAATTTTACAAAATCACTAGTTATAATAATTAAAAGGATTGTGGGTACCAATCAAAGGTAACTTGTGTTGCCAATATTAGAAATTATTTTTTATACAACATCATTCTTTTACAGTATTATATAGCCTTTTTTGAATGAAAAAGAAAGAAGAGGAAGCATAAAGCACATGTGACTCTTGTAGAATGAAAAATATGACACATGCACCTCACACAAAAATTCAACTGCTGTTGATTATGGTCATATCCTTAGACCACAACTATGAAGAACTACAACCACTACCCTATTTCCCTTGACAGGCCAGAGATTAAGATGGCAAAGAATCAAAAGTCTCACACTGACCCTTAGTGTACGACTGACAAGTTAATGTAAACACAATGCACACAGATTTTTATCAGAACTACAGCTTGAAACAAAAGACCAAAGAAATAAACATCACAGCAACAAAAGAAGTACCATTTGGTATGACTTAGTCAAACACCAAAAAGATGAGTGGTAGTTACCCTATATGTCTTCCATATGGAAATTAGCTGAATCATAGACAAACACTATCAGTTCCTTAGAAAAAGCATACATAGCAGGGCGTGAAATTAATTTTTTTTTTCTGATAGCCTCTTGGCTCCTAAATTCTTCAAAGTGGTAGCCAATTCAAAAGAAGTTGGTCGCCATTTTCAAAGATAAACAAACCCCTTTTTATTACACTGTCATCGTTCTAGAAATTAAGTGAGGGAAAAGATCTTTAACATGCTACAAAGTGGACACTAGGATAGATGATATGCAATGTTCAAGCTCACCTAAATCCAAGATGGCGTCTAGTGATCGATCTTGATGCATGTGCTGTGTTTTAGAAACAAATTTAATGAGGAAGTTTGTCGCAGATTTATCTTTGCAAATCTTTTTAATTTACTATATCTCTAGGTAAGGTTATGATGAAACATTCTAGTCGTCAATTTGGCGACTAATTTTCAGGATTTGGTCGCCAAAGTAAAAAATTTAGTCGCATTGGCGCCTGTATTAGGTGCAATTTCATGCCCTGCATAGCTGTGCAATGTTAATTACACAAATTCCATTATTGATCAAAATTGTCATATGCCATTTCGACAATTCCCTCAGCCACTGTTTTAGAACAAGGGTGAATAAGAAGCCTTTTACATAAAAATGAATTTAGTCACTCATGAAAGTAATTTCATTTACAACTAGAGGTTTTGCATCCGACCTTGTTTTAAGGATAAGAATTTTTGAAACTACTGAACTCAACAATTTATAACAAATGGTTCTTACTTGTGACTGAATCAAAACTATTCTTGAATCTGAATAACATGTGTCAGGACAATTTTAATTCCTATACTGTAGATTATAAGTTTAAAAAATTTGCAAAATGGCTTGGAGGACTTACCCATGAGTCACTGACACAGGATTGAAAGGTCTTGGCTCAAGCCATTTCCAGGAGTGACGGTTCTTGCATGGTATTTTTGGGCAACCAAATTGAATTTAATGTCTCGCACACTCACATGGGACACTGGGCACAAGCAAACTGTTACGGATAACTGAAAATTACTTTAAAGAGGTTGAGCCCATAAGTGATTCTGGTTGATATTATGACTTCAATACCAGTTATCAAAACATAACTTACTGTCCTCACACCATTCCACTAAAAGGGTACGGCGTCACTTCATCTTGACAACCACATCAAAAAATGCCATCCCACATTACATGGACAGAAGAACCTTCTGTGAGGGTTCAGGGATGATTTCCGTAAAGCTCTATACTTCATCATGCACATAGTTCTTGAATAAAGAAAAACGGCGAAAACAATATAATGACTTTGGAACCTGGGCTTTGTTTTATAACAGTATTGGATTTTAAAGAAATCATTCCGAGGTTGACATCATAGAAGGTATTTTGATGGGGCAGGTCAAATTGATTGGTTTCGTGATGGCAGCTGGCGCTAAGGAAAATTCTACAGAATTTAAGTCACCGGCCGTTCGCATCTTAACCTTCACGGTGCGTTGATTTATCGCTAAGAAATAGCACTCTCCTGCAGTAAGTAAGGAGAATCTGGTGAGAAAACGATCAGCTAACCAACTCATCAATACCAAATAATCTCCAAGTGACAGAGCTTCTTAAAAGCCTAGCGAACTCATCATTTAAAAAAAAGACAAACAAACAAATACCAACCAGCTCTCGCAGCTCGGTAAACAACCTGCCAAGAGTTTCCAAGCTCCCTTCTTGGATTGTCTAAGGGCGTTCCTCCCTGACACTGACAGAGGCTTACACAGATATCGCCTTTGAACCGTTCCACGTGGTGCGCGGTGCTTGCAAAGAACCGCTCACCAGATCTCTCGATTTGGCAATGTTTGATTTGCCGCCAGTGAGTGGAAAATTAAAGATCACCCGATCAAACGTTCTAGAGCCAAATTTTTGACGAAGATCTGTCGCATCTACCTCGTGCATGATCTCAACGCTTTCAAAAGAGGACAGTTTCTCGATGTTTTCCACAGCGAAGTCGTTAGTCACCAAGGCTGCGCGCGACTCAAACGATATCCCAACGATTTACACATGTCTTTGATAACGCTGACGCAAAACAAACTGTGAATGAAAAGTTACCATCTCCGACTACTAGCACATTATAAGAATATGATTTTGGGTCAAGTAACGCCATAGTCGTTAATAAATCGGAAACACAGAGCGTTGAAATCTAAAGCTCAAGTGTACGCTACTTAGTTTGCGCGCTCGAACGTGGTTTGTTATTGACGTGGTTTAAGCATCACCAAATAAGAGTCTAGCTTTCTATTAATATGGCAGTGATGGTTACGTACATGGGCGGCTGTTTTAGAAGCGTAATCTCACATTTAGCAAGGAGACACTCAAGGTCTACTTAGGTTGTTAAATTTCGATTTGTTATGTCAGGAAGGCGGAGTACCTGTGCCAGAGGAGAAACCCAGCCGAACAATCGTTTCAGGTCGGCGACAGATGCCTCTCACATCAAAGCCCCAGAAAAACAAGTGTAGTTGCCTTGAGGTTATTCGGGAAACTCTCCCTGCTCTGGTGAATTCTTCTCACAAAGGACAGCAAGGTAGAATAGGAATAATAGGTGGATGTCAGGAGTTTAATGAAGATAATCATAGTCCTGGGCTTCAGAGATTACTGATTTTGCGTCATTATTGGGAACCTCTTTCAAAATCCTGAGCCTATCAACCAATGCAACATCTTGACTGCTAATGATAAGGCATTTCTGAGAAGTTTTTCTCGCCCATTAGAGGGCATTGATGGATTGCTCATGATAATACCCAGAAAAGGGAATATTCTAGACATTTTCATAGGTATTTTGAAGCAAAAACGAGAAAACCAAGAGGCTACTAAACGTCTCGTGTTGAAACGTTTTCAGTTACATGGAAGACAGAGAGTAAATAAGTAAATGTGAATGTAACCATATTGATGAAATTTCAGTTATGGTTAATTACGTCATGCTCGCCAAACAAGAACTCCGTTCTTGAGAATGGATCAGAATAAACATAACAACCTAAAATTACTTTATAGTGTGAATGAATGCTCTCTTCATTGTTCGTTTCACCACTTAGCACAATACTTTATCACACTGGCTTTTGTGGTTATCAAACATTACTCATACAAGTGATCACTCCCACTTAATCTATACAATCATTAGCTTTAGATAGATAACGTACAATATCCTATGTTCAGAACCTAATAGGCCATACCCTTTACAGTTTTGATGGCAAACTACTACTTATGATGTAAGAATATTAACTAAATATACTAAGTAGGAGTTGAGTTTCAGATCTAAAAGTCTAAGAGTCTCACATTCAATTTTCTGTGTAAAAACTAATCATGTTCACTTTTCAAAAACACTCTTTCATCTAAGTTCTTAGTTTAAACTAGTTGCACAGTCAAATAGAGACAATATGACACTCAGTGTAATACATCTAGTTCATGATGGCTAAAGTTCAAGTTTTGAAACCCATAATTTCTGAAGACCATCAGGTTTAATATGAAGCTTTTTAACTGAACAATACAGTCAGTGAAGTCTTGCTCTTTTCCCTTTCTACTGTTTGCAACAGTGATATCTGCGATACTTGTGACTTGATTTCCTTCTGGAAGAAGGAAGAAAGTAGCAACATGGCCAACATATAAAGACTTTCTGCATCAGTTAAACTAATATTGTTATCTTTTCTCTATGGAACAAATTCTCTGAAAGTAATTTTTACTCTTAAGTGGATTACTTGGAGGGAAACATTAATTCTCCTCAGGCACATAACTCTCTGCACTCTAAGTAGTTTTCGATTCAAAAAGAATATTCAACAACTATTTACCAAAGTGGAGGTGGTTAGTGGTAGATATTTACTGAGCCACAAAACAATAATGCGAATACATGTATCCACTGCAAGCCACTGACTGAGATGAATAGTTGTTTTAGTGTATACTAAAACACTGTGAACATATAACAATAAATTGTTTTAACTTATTTATTCCTGCAACAATTACGATATTTTCAGGGACAAATCCTGAGCATATTGCTCGGAGGTGAATAACGATGGATTTGTGCACTTTGAGTCACCAATCAGCATGCCCCTTCAACACTATCTACTGTTTTAGTTTCCGTATATGCTAATTATTGATACTTTTATTAAAACTCATGAGGCCAACAGCCTATCAAAACATTACTAAAACATCTTGTGTATGACCCTTTATACCTGGTAATCTTTGACCATTCTGAAAAGTCTGGTGGTGGCTTTCATTTCAGTCCCAGGGGAGTGCGCGGCTGAATGTGCAAGCAATTCCAATTATTGCTTATTCTGAATTGAAACTATCTTTATATAAAGGTCACCAGTGATCTTTATATAAAGCTGTGAACATTGTCCACTTCGACTTTGAATCTTCTTTCCTCAAGGTTGGCGTCCTTATTTCTTCTTGAACTTTGCCACTTGCCAAATATTTTCTTAAGCCACTTTGTGGCATACCATGTAGATTTTGGAATAGAACTATCCAAGAACTCACTCCCTTCCTCAGCACTTTTTGGTTTTGGGTGGCATTTCAAATAAAAACTCTCTGAACCTTTAACAGCAGCTGAACATGGGGCACTTTCCCTTTCTAAATGTAATTAACCTTTAATACATCACGTCACGTTTATCTAAATCTCTAGAGAGGCATGGGTTTTGAAGCTGTTAAAAAAACTTGCAGCACGTATTTTATCGGCTCTAAAAACATTAGGCTCTGCCTTGTGTTTTTAAACCCAATAAAACACTGCTGCTCGTTTTTTAAACATTACATAAAGCCTAACTGACTTTCATCTATTTTACCCCTCGGTAAGTACAAAGAAGTCACCATTCACAGCATTTGGAAACATGCTCTGGTTTTCATAACAGATTGGATCCTACAATAAAATAAACAAATATTAAAAGCTTTATTCTAAGTTGGTATATCTCATGATCCAAAAGATCAGGAAAGCCCACTGATACTAATGTTACACTGCTGGTGAACTCTCTTTGGTGTTGTGGATTTACTTTGACAATTTTAATCAATGCATCTATACCTTTAAGTTTAAATTATTAGTTTCTGGTGCTGAACACCAAATATGACCATGGCAAGGAAAAAACTTTTAAAAAAATGACCAGATCCAAATTTAAATATACTAAAATGAGACCACTGAGTCACCTGCAAATTCACATCTTGAAATTGATAATCATTTTGTGCCACGAAATGTACCACCTAAAATGTACAGTCACCTACCTTCTTAATAGCAGTGATTGCATACACTACAGTTTGAGAGGATGCCTGAGTCAAAACAATGGTGGAAAAAAAGCCGTTTTTCTTTTCACTGGATGCAGGGCTAAATACCAGATTGCATCTGGGAGTTGTACTGAAAGAGTTCCTCACTGATGCATAGCTCATTTTCTAGATAAAGCAGAAAAAAATTAAGATATTTTCAAAATCACCCAGAGATACCAACACTTTCAGGGATCTGAGAAAATTCAATTACTAAGTGCAAAAAATTAAGATCTTTGAATCATCCTTTAAATTTTTCCTCTTTTCTAAATAACTTGCACTGTTATTGCATAGCACTCAAACAGAGTCTGCAAAATACCATTGGGCAAGCATTCTTTAGCTTCCAGCCATCAACATCCTTTACAACAATTTCAACATCTTCTCTGTGACTAAGAGAAAAATCAAGAGATTCCACTGATGACATAAACTTTCCTCCTTTCTTTTTCTCCTCCCTCAAAAGATTCTGTGGAGTCAAGTCAAACAAGTTTTATCAAATTTATTAACACAGAAATAGATCACACTGTTATAAAATAACTAACCATGACTGGAGGTAGGATGTTTGATGAACTAGACCAGCACAAATTTAACATCAAAATTATAAATAACTGCAGTTACATGATAGATTCTAACTAGACTTCAGTTATGTGCAAAAAGCTTCTGAGAACTTGGTAACATGTCACATAGATTAAAATACCTAGCCTCTGATTATATCAGGATTTTTACTCCTAATAGAAGGAAATTTTATGACCCAAAGAGATCTTTTTGTAGATTGAAATAGAATAAATTGAATCATCATCTATTTATTGCTTAATATTAGGTGAGGATCTTTAAACTATATTAGTTATTCCCAAGAGCTTACCTCAAATGACCACTCACAATCATCAAAGCAATACAGCCTCACAACAAGGTCTTCTCCAACTCTGGTGTCATTACAAAATGCCATGACCTTCATTCTTTTGAGTACTGGTAAGGACTGTTCTTCACAGTGTCCAACCACTGCAAATGTTGTAAAATGGTCTGTCTCAAAACTAACATGGTTGCTTTTGGGGAAGAATTCTTTTATTCCACTACCCTTCACATAGCTTACAACAACCCATTCATTGTTTTTCAACTCCTTCAAAATGATTTTCCACTTATTACAAGATAGCACCATGTTTGCACCATGAGGTATCTGAAGCTCAAGGGGTCCTGTTAACTTGCTCCTTGTGACAAGATAAAATGCTGGACTTAGTGGAAATTCACCATCCTTAAGTAATCCTGGTAAATTCAGCTTATCTGATGTGGCATGTAACACCAAATCGCTTGGCACTTGTTGAAGGGTAGACTTATTACTGTCAAGGATAACAGCCTCAACCCCTGTCTTTTCAAACACCACATGACCTGGGCCATATCGGTTTGGATGCTCCCACTCCACTTTCTTAATACCTAAGAAATAGATCCAAAAATAATGATAAATAATAATTGATTATAAAAATCTGCACATGTGCAACTTGAAGGTAGCTTTTTTATATGCACATTTGATCACCAGACTTCATATACTTATGAGGTGCTCTGCCTAAAACAAAAGCAAATAAGTTAATAAGATACAAAACAAAAAATTAGCGACAAAAGGTGGGCTAGCCACTATCAAAAACGCTTGTAACAATAATTTTGAGGCACGAGTACTGATTGTAAGTACTTGAGGTATATAACAATATATATAAAGCGAAAATAATTAGTTATTTAACTTGCCTGAAGGTGTGGATTGAGTGGTTTCTGTACTTTCAGAAGGGTCTTTCTTTTCCAATGATAAACTGTGTCCTTTTTCAAGATTATTTAAAAATGGGCATTGACCTTTACCTTTCAAAGTTTGCCCTTGTCTTTTAGAGATGTGATACACAATCAGGGCAACACACAGACCTATTAAAGTGGCTGTGAAAGCATCAAGTTTGACACATTCCACCAGAGAGCTTTCTTGTTTTGCAGTTTGCAACTGACCAGATTGACTGTTCAGAGCAATGGACGAAAAAAGCAGATGAAGCCCAAGCCCACTAAAAGGCTCTTTCAACATCATTACCTCTTTCATACAGTCCATAAAACTCTTTCTATCCTTATGGTTACAACACCAGAAGCATTCTTCACAAGCATTTGACTGGTCATTCAAATAAAATCCTGGTTCGCACCCACCACATATGGTATCCGATTTGGTTGAGCAATTGGCGACAATGTTTTGGCCAATAGCACAGATTTTACATGACTGTAAAGTACCATGTCGATTAACAAATGTTTTCCCTACCATTGGACGTTCACACTTGGGTATTGCACCATCAGTCACGAAACTTCCACATGGTTTGGTCAGACCAAATTCGTCTGAACAAGCAGGACAGGGTAAACAGATCTGTTCGCCATCATTCCTCACAACTGTAATCTCATCATACCAGCACTTCGCCAAACAGGGTTTTTTCCTGTGATAGCTACATGCTTGGGTGCGAGGCATTCCTTGCTTGAGACACGATGGAACCACCATATCCAATTCTCCTGAGCAACATCCTGAACAAGGAAGGCATTTGGACAAGGTTTGGTCTTGGTAATACCCTTCTGGGCATGGCTTGCATTTACATCGCGTGTTTGAGGTTTTACTACATCTTGTTACCATGATTTCATTAGGGCCACAAGTTGAACAGGGCTTACAGCTCTCAGATGAGTAGAATTCAGAATAATAACCTGAGGCACAAGTCTGGCATTTGGCAGAGGCACCGTGGGATATCTTGTTACCGCATGGGATCGTTACACCCGATCCCGGGGGGCATTTCAAGCAATTCACACATGCGAAACTACCATCTGGGGTCTCTACTGCTTGTTGATTGTATCGGCACACCTGAAGAGAATGCAATTTGCTGACCTGACAATGAGAATATGAACATACATTAAAGCTTGCACAAATCTTCTCTTTTTGTCTGTTGACAAAAATGAATTTCCTAGAATTTAAAACAGGTTACAATATATGCCACGCAAAGAGTTTAGAAGCTGATGACTCAGTTAATACGACTGAATTACCCTCACAAGCAGTTTTTTAAGACCTGAGTCCTATTTTGTTTCGAGACCCTCAGCAGAGTTTCAAGGTTAGTGGCGTGGCGGCCGTTTTTCCATCAGAACGGTTACGTTTCCGATGAAGTTAAGATCAATTTCTAGCCTAAATATTTCAGAAGACGATCTTTTCTCTCAGATGTCAGGTCTACAGCTGAAGTGAGTGTTGGTTTTGTGTTATTTTCGAGAAATTAGCTCTAATTTGCTGTAGCTGATAATACACTGACGCGTACGTACATCCAAATTAAGAGTGTTTAATTCGAGGGAAACGCATTTTGATTGATAAATTGATAAACCCCGGTGAGGAACCTTTCCCATAGCTTACAACAGATTTGTTTGTTTTTCAAATTTAAATACCTTGGTACGTTCAATCCCAAGTTATAAATTTATTAGTGATCCGCAGTACAATACTTTTCTAAGCAAAATTAAAATGAGAGTGCTGTGAGTCCTGCCAGCTTCAACGGAGATAGGTTATTAACTAAGCTACAATATGTATAAGTTTCGAATTAATGAGGGAAAATAAGAGCTATACGTTAACAGATGTGTTCTTACATGTAAGGCGAAAAATAGATTTTGGCTGCGGAATCGATCAAAATGAGTGCTCGGCTTAAACCTTTGATGACATTGACTTACGTTTTCATTTCAAAGGCTAGTGATATGCCCATGACAAACAAACAACATTTTCAATCATACTTAACAATATTGTTTAATATAATTTTGTTTACAGCAAATTCTGTTGACATCCAACAACACTGGAATCTGGTGAAGTGTTGCAAAGAATCAGAATAAGTAGGAAGATATAAATCCTGTATTAAATATTAACTGACAGACCATCAAGGAAATGCTTACATGTGACTGGACTGGCTACATAGGTGTCATATAATTATCAAGAGATGGCAATAGGAGCTGGTGAATGTTTTGAGGTGATTTAACTTTCAACTTTCTGAATTTTCTGCAATGAAAAGACTTATTTTTTTCTTGTTTAAGCTTGCCATCTGATCACTAACTACAAGTTATATAACTGACTAAGAATGACATTCAACTTGGTCATTAGCCTGAGTTAGACGTTTTTTTTTAATGATCTTTTAACCGTATGAGAGGGGTGCACATGTACTCCCTAAGTGTCTGTAAGTGTACAAAGTGACATAGTGGAATCTTCAGGCACCATATTTAATTTGCTGGTGTGTAGAACAACTTAGGGCTTGCTCTTTAGTTTATCAAATACATCAGTGTCTACTCTCACTTTGTTCCATGTACAGCCGATACCCCTCTTTCAGTTGCCAGCTTTTGCATGCCTTTTCTGAATCAATATCATATTTTGTTATTTTTTTCTTATTTTTTGGCAAGGGAAATTGCATCTCATGCATGGCTAAATATGAGCAAACCTGCATGTTAATTCCACTGTCAAACGACATCATGCTTCTTCGTCTTTTTGACTCATTCCTATTTTTCTTTCCTTTTGCTTTTTTGCGTACCCCACGAAATTTGTCAGAGGTTAGCAACTAGGCCCGGAAATTAGTGCAATGTGGGCATGCAAGTTATCTTTCATCAAGTTGGGTTGAAGGGAAGAATTTGATTTTGAAATTCCTTGTTTTTCACCCTGTTTCTCACTGCTAGCGCTGATAAGAACTCAGTTCAGTACTTAAAAAATGATATTTGATAAGTCCAAAGTGCAGGAAGTAATTTTAAAAACTATTAGGGCGCTAACACAAGCAGTCATTTCTCCCTTCCCCGTCCTTCTGCGGCTTAACATTGTTATTCGTTGGTACATTGAATTTGCAGTCAAGGCAAGAGAAACATTAATGATTTTTTACATTACGTCGCACGCGTGGAAATTGCAAAAAAAAAACAACGGCAACAAACAAACAAACAAACTCAAATCATCAACTATAACTGAAGTATTCCAGTCTCCCTCTCTGTACTAGAACACTAAATAATAACAGTCAGTTATTAAGGCCGTATTACTTATCTCCGCAATGATTGTCCTCCTACTAAACCTAACCGCCATATTTGATTTGCGCCTTCAAAATCAGTGGTATAATGTAATAGTCAGTTCTCTTTTATGTATTATTATCGAAAAGAAACAAAGTGATGTAACTCGAAAAGGAATATTTAGAACGCTGCCGCCGGTGGCTATGTTTTCGTTTTACGCAATTGCCTTTCTTTCAAATAAAAGGAGGTACTGATAAACTTTGTCTTCACGTTTGGAATGATGCGTCAACTACAGGTTATAACCTAAATGCCATTAAGTTTACGAGTGTTTCTTCACAGCTCTTACAAAGTCTCTTTCTGAAGGAACGTAGGAGATTCATTCCAAATGTAGATGGTTAGCAATTTTAATGAGTATCTGTTTTATTCATTGGTCAGTAACGAGTATGTGTATATCTTGCCAACTCCGATAACATCTGATTCATTGACGATCACGTGACCCAACACGTGACCTTCATGGTCAGAATTATGGCCTCAAGGTAAACTTTCGTACGGAAAGTATTGTTTCAGCGCAATCGGCTGTGTTTTTGCGGAGATATGGCCGATTAATTTTTTAACGCAATTTACCCTTAAACTGCAAAAGAGCGAGTTGTTGTGCTCTCCCACCGACGCACCACAGTTTCCTTGTCAACTTGAACCCTTCACAATATATAACTTGTACTTATGTGAACCATATCAAAATTTATTTTAACTACTGTAATTTTTAAGTATTTAGGTTTCGTGGGACCTCTAGTTGAGATATTCGTGAAACAGCATAATTTCCAGAACAATCTGAACCCGACTGAAACGTCCCAACTTGTGGTGAGATTAAGTCAACGAATCTCCCACCCAAGAGACAAAATACTAATTAACCTTACCAGGAGAGAAATGGAAACGTAAAGTTCCAAAAGGTGAATCCACATTTCCCTTATTTTGATGATGCAAAAAACCACGGCTGCAAAGAAAGAAGACCCGGAAGAACCAACTCTTACTCGGGAAGCCGTGAGATGACTACTTTCACTTTCAAAAGGGGGTTTTCCCGTTCTTTGTTTCTGATCTCTATTTCGCTCCACCAATGTCTTTCAAGCTCAAAAATAACAGCCAATCAAAACTCTCTTCGGTATGATAAAGAATGAAATTATGACGTGATAGTCAAAATACAGAAGAGCAAATGAAACTGAGATCGAAGGCGCAAAGGAAAAGGAGAATGAATCCGGAAGAAACACAGAATACTTCGCTAACTGTAGGTGTTTTAATCATCTATTTTGCACCATATTGTCCCAAGTTACGTTGTCTTTCAAACCAGTGAAGAATTTATAATCAAAAGTGCATAAATTGCGCACACAGTCTCTCGAAAGCCACTCAAGGTTACGAAACATACCACCTTTTACTTTCATTGAGCTATCAACATTCGAAGTGTTTCGACGAAGAGATGTCTCATAGTTCTTTCGACTAAGGCTGCCTAGTTAGCAAATTGTAGCAGGATCTAGGTCATTCTTTCTTACAGTGATGTTGGATGTTTAACTGGTGCCTTTAGGGCCTTATATTTCATAGAGCACCTTGTAACTGTCGAAAGTGAAAGTGCAGTAAAAGGAAGTAACATTCCTCAGGCATCTACCCAGTTTATTGTCAAGAAAGAGAGATAAAATTATTTAATAAGTTCGTTTATCTTTAGAGTAATAATGGAACCTCCAATGAGGCAAATGAAGTCTCCAGTGACGCATATGAAGTCTCCGAGGAAGAACTCGTAGCGAGTTATGAAAACGAAAGTGATCGTGGTAATCTTAGAGATGGTTCCGCTCAACCTTCCTCTTCTACGAGGCGATCACTGAGCGAGGCTTTTGACGATGGGGCATCAAGATTACACTGTGTTTGTTATCGCGGCAACAATGCTTTTGCTTACGGAAGACCTGATAGATGCCCTTTTTGTGGAAAATATAGTGCAAAAACTCATCAGAGTGGGGAAACTTCTGACAGGGTTTCGGATGAAGAATCCGTCACATCCTCGGCTACTAACCTTGAGGCACTTCATCTGACTCTTGCAAGAGGGATGGAATCGGTACCACAAACCCACGAGACATCTCGCGAGGTTCAAGCAGCATCAACAACAAACAGCGCGAACATAAATACACTCGCTCCATGCCCTGCCATCAAAAGCGGAAACGTTCCAGCGGAAGGTAAGTCCCTTGTTTCCATGAAATGTTCATCTTTTGACGTTTTCTTTATTGAAATCTGCTTCACTGAAGCATATCCAAGAGAAACTTTTGATTGACTTTCACAATGAATTAAAATGTTTTAAACTTATATATAAAAGCACTAATTTGTTGTTCAAAAATTATCTTAAATATCTCCTGCAGTAGTACAATTCAATAATTCCTTGCATGATAGTATATGATAGAGTAAAAAAATTGAACTTGATGAAAACTGGTTAAGTAAGAAATGGTGGTTACTTTGAGAATTGTGACTGTCATCGAAAACAGAAGTTTGAACATCAACTTAACTTCAGTAAGGGTTAGGTCCGTATAAGAGTTCTTTGGGGTATTCACAGTTGGCAACACTGCTTCCTTTTTCGCAGTTGCAGTTTAACAGAACAATCCGAAACTGACAAAAGTGCTAAAACGTCTTTCCTCAACACTCGTCAACCGAACTCGTTTTAATATTAAGTAACCAGGATCAACTTTTCAAAGTAATTTCAAAGTGCACACTCAAACACAGCAGGCATTTTAAGTTACAAATATATACTGAAAAAGCGTAAGAGAGAGGTTGTGCCTTGAAAGTTTACAACGTTCATAAATTCATAGTAGTTAAACAATGCATTATTTGTCCATGACGCTCATGGTAAATTGGTGCCTGAGGGAACAGAATTGGCTGTAATCCTTCAGCTACTGCTGCTGTTGCAAGTTTAAAAGTTGTTACTGTTACAGTGGTTGTAACGGATTTCGATGTTGCTGTTATAGCGTTGACCATCTCCTCGTCTCTCTTGATTATTGCACCTGGTCGAAATTATTATGATTTTACTTCACTTTATCATTTCACTTGTAGGTTTTTCAGACTCGTCGGTGCCTTATCCATGCCAACCACAACAAGTGACACTCTATGTGATAAGAAACGATCATCAACGATTAGATGTAATGACCTTTTCAGTATACTGTGTGGAGCAGTCGATGCAGGTAGAGTAAACTATTACAAATACTTGAGTTTGGAACCATTCCTTTTTTCACCCCAGTGGAATGAAAAATCAACTGGCTCAAAAGCACAAGAAATGGATGCCTACGTTTTTTCTTTCAGATAAAACGCCAATGTAACAATTGTCGCAAAATGTAATCTTTTTAAATACTTTTTGGTACATTGACATGAAAAAACTACCTTTTTTTTAGTTTCTGTGTGGTACATACAAAATATATTATGAAAGTAATGGAGAATTACCGCGACGCTTGGCGGCACGGTAAATATCCACCGCTATTCATCTCCACTTCAGTGAATAATTGTTGCATAGTATTTGGCCAATTTAATTTGGGTACCAGGAAGATTGTTTCTTTCTTAGCCGGAAATAAATCAGGTGACAATCAAGGGCTAGACCCTAGTCCTGAAGTCACCACCTTTCAATGGAGTATTGTTATTCAATTGAAACTTTCAAATTTCTGACTGTCGTGCCAGCTTATTTTCAGATTTCTATGATAACATAGAGTAATTTTTTGAAAATTTTCTCTGTTTTATCCCCTAATATAGGGCAGAGTAGCTTCGATTGTAGGGCAGCTACAACGAGACCAATTCTCCAGTATACAAGTTGTTCCATTTGGTAATGAGTACTCTTCCCAAAAAGAAAATAGATATTTTCATCTTCTGAACTTGGAAAATGAAATAACAATAACATTCGAGTTGTGGAGGGAAGCACAGAAGAGATTCCGACTGCAGGAGGAGCAGAGACCTTTCCAGGTGTGTTAGTTAAACATGAAAACAACTAGGTGCTCCATAAAGAAAAAAAACACTTAAATCAACACTAGAATTTTGAACAAAAATATGCTTTTAACTCCATGGAATTGTTTCTTTTCGTCTGTTGATTTGGTATTCTTTTTCACTCTTTAAACAGGTTCCATTGGTTCACATTATGTCCTTGAGCCAGAACAGAATTCCTAGTCCTCTTGTGCAGGTACATGTGAAACCTCGTTGTGAACCTGGAGAACTTTGCCAGGACCACTTGAGAATGACACTGGCGTACGGAAGAACTACTCAACGCATGTTGATACCAATATGGGTAAATGCTATACATTTCTGCTTACAGTAATGTAATTAAAATCATTTCAGTTCACAACATTCTCTTGCTGACTGCAGAAATTTACTCGAAAGTTTCATGATGAGTTATGCTAACCTTTAACATTAAAATTCAGTCATGTTTTTGCTAACACACATTGGTTGATCTACGCCCTGTTTTGGTCCCTAAGGATAATGCCATACAAATAAATTTTAAAGTTATGATGTAACACCCACTTCAAGAGTTTTAATAAACAGAATAAATGAAGATCATCACACAAATCAAACATCACTCATCTCCATTTCCATACTTGCTTTCAGTCTGCCAGACCACCCGAATCCACTTAGAAAGGTTCTCTGCATCTGGTGAGTAAACTGAAGGTTCAGATCTAAAATACATTAAATAATTTAATGTACATTACAAAATCACTGTAACCTCTAAACCACAGTTTCAAAGGTTGCTGTTGATTGATTTTATTTATTAGTGCCTTCAGTTAACTGAGTCAGTGTTTCTTGATTTTTCCTCGTCCCTGTCAGCATCTGCACATTTCAACTGTTCTTTTTAGCTACTGGTAAAAAGATTCGAGTTGCTTGACCAGCCATTTGATGAAAATTATAAGTGGATGTAAATTCTGCTTTTGGTTTGAGTCTAATTCGTAAGTATGTTTTGACTTTTTAATTTCTTCCCTTTAGTTGTCATTGGAGGATTGACCGTAAATACCAGTCTACAGCATATTACTTATAATACTTTGAATTTTTTTTATAATACTCCATCCGTAGTATATTTCATAATTAAAAGGAGCTACGTTACATTTCATGCACCTCTAAAAGTTAGCCTTCGACCAACCTTTTAGTAGAGAAATCGTAGCCAGGATTCAGATGTTGTAACAGTCTTTAGATAAAATGATTTGAAGACAAAAATCAGCTTTTAGAAGCAGGCCACTATGAGAAGCCACTACTTTGAACAAGTTAATTTTTTTCTCGTCTTTTCTTGCAATCTGTTTAAGTTTTCTTCTGTCTTTTATCCCTTTTTGTTACTTTTCAGCTGACAATTTCAGTTTTGGTCTAGTTACATTTGACTGACTGTTGTTTTTTTAAACAATGAAAGCAATTTTGCTTATCACAGTAAGCAACTTGAAAGCAGAGTGACGTAGCTCCTTTATAGAGGTCAAGAGACAAACGAAGGATAGAAAAATGTCTTAGATTAGGAAATCTATAACCACTCTTGCATGATTACCAAAAAAAGCAAAAAACAAAAAAAAATTAGACAACAGGATGGAGTGACTTTCCTTAAGTCTTAATTGTAGATCTTTCACTTCATTAGCGAAAGTGAACAACAGAGAAGAAGTAGAATTAGTATAAGTATGCTGGTCATGACTATTTCAATGTTGTCTGTAGCCCAGCCTAACACCAAACATTCTATCCTCACGCTCACCTTGAGAAATTGGGTGACAGAGGCTATAGTTCAGTTATTAAATGTAAGGTGTTTTGGCGAAAAGGCCCAAGTAACTTCTGATGGAATTCTGCAACAGCATCTGGGTTGCATTATATGTGCATGAAATGATCAAAGAAGTTGAATGGAAACAAGGACTCACTTGGGACCTTTTCTTTAAATCCCTGCAATGATTGTTTGGGTAAAATTGCAATGCTTCATGAAAGCTGAAACTCTTGAAAGCGATTAACACTGGAAAGTAATACTAACAGTGTTAGAAAATCCAAATTTGCCTTTTTGAGAATTCCATGACTTCTTTCAGCCCTATGTTTTCACACGCACACAAACAGGTTCATTTATGGCCCAAAGTTTGTTTGTTTGGTTTTTTTTTAACAAATCAGAAAGGAAATTAAACCTTGTTGAGTGTGTGATATTGCTCCTTTTGTAATAGGCTATATTTGATCAAAACCTGCAATATATCAGTGTGGAATTCTCAAAAGGGACCTACAGTGGCTGATAACAATTTATCGAAGATCTTTGACAAAAATTGAATATGATACCACCACCCATAGAATGGATTAGTAATATAGACTGCAACATAGACTATAACTGCTGTTGTATCAAGGAAGTACTCACCATCATAAAACAAAATAGCTTACCAAAACACACCACAATTTGTCAACAATACTGAGTTAAGAAAATCTATGGACATGTTCTTCCATACAGACCACAATTATTACCTTGAAATACATGTACTGAGCAGTGGGTGGTGGTGTCATATGAAATCTAATTATCAAAGATCTGTAGATTGTTTCAGCCAACATGGAGCCTGGTGTAAACTAAGCAATATTATCACCACTTCCAAGTTGTGATAGTATTGCTTTGACTACACAAGGCTGAGAGCTGTCAGCATGATAAGCCTTAATTCAAATTTGCAAGCTAGTTTAATTGTTATAGGATTGTTATGTATTTAATTAGTACAATAATTATCTCTTTCACGTTAAGTAAACATTTATCATAATTCTTAAGTTTGGCTTTCCATTCTGACAGCTGCATAAATACATGACATTCATTCATGACCTTAAAATATGATCATGTTCTCTCAAGCCATATCAAAATTCATGTTTGGTGTAACTCTAAAAATTTTCTTGTGCATTTAATATCACACTAGATTACAATTCTTGTAGCTGCCCATATTAAGCCTCATAATTTTTTCAAAATGATCTGTCAGTCCTGATTGTTGCCAAATTACTTGAAAGTCATCATAAGTAGATAAGGTATTGGCCATGAATGAATGTCATGTATTTGTCACTTGTACATTGTTTTTTAATAATATAAATAGTCAGTGTGGTTAACTATCACATTCAGAAAACTAAGAACATCTGAAATATAACCAAAATGTTTAATGTGTTATGACAAGTTAAAGACATTTCTGTCAGAAAGCAGAGAAAAACTAGAAAACCACAAGTTATTTACTGTTCAATTTAATAATTTAGTTATCTCACTCAACACAGCTAGAAATACAAGAAATAATTTCAGAGTTCACTGTTTTCTGAACATGATAGTTAACCATTAGACAGCCAAGTCTGCAAGACCAAGTAATTGTAACAATTCTTTATCTAAGTTTATTTGCTGACCTTGAAGTTAGATCATTTTTATGTCAAGTGGGAATGTGGTTTCGATTTTTCTATTTTTGCTTGATCATTTATAGTAGTGTTAATGTTACTTCATAGCAAAATGTTTTTGTGAATTGGTTTTACAAGTAACTCACAATGCAGCTTATGAATGTTTATTTTTTTATTTTTTTGGGTGAACCATAGACAAGTTTTGATTAATTAAGTAAATTTGCTGTGTGCTTAATTATTTCTATCTTAGATCATGAATAAGTAATAAATAAATAAGTAATTAACACTTTCTTTCATTCTTCAGACTTGGCTGTTGTATATAAAACTAAAGAGCATGACAGGGTCACATGGGATCACAAAATTTATCTTCTTAATTTTATGTTTCCCATTTCTTTCTTTCATATACTCAAGAAAATAAGAATTTGTATTCCCAAGTGACCAATATCACACAGGCATTGATGAATTAGCTAATGGTGACAATGTGTTTCAAAGAAAATCTGGGTGGTAGTCTCATTACATTTTTAATTTACCTTTGTTAATTGTGGAGAAAGCAAACACAAAAATACTTATATCTACTTTTCATTTTTCAATGTCATTTAGAAGTAACAGGAGAAATCCCTGCAGTTCATCAATATCTGTGCAATATTCATGTTCTTGCGTGAAACTTTTTGTAAGGTTTTAAGTATACTGTAAATGAAGGATATGCACACAACAGATATGTAGTAATAACCCCTGCTATAAGAACATCTGGCTCTTTCATTTTCCCTATCCTTTTTGAAAAACACAGTTGTCCTAAGCTCACATTTCAAGAAAAAGCAAACAATTAATTCATGAAAGCATCACAAGCTGTGTGATGCAGTGTTAAGTTATGCAAGGAACGGTTGAGAATTTGTATGCATCACATGGAATAGTAAGGACAAAGATATATGGCTGATTAAAACGCTAAATATTCCAAACTAGGCATATTCCGCATACAAGATTAATACAACTTACTCACTCCTCATGTGAGCACAACAGACACACAAGGAGTGAGTAATTTTCATTGATCTTACACATTGAATGTTTCTATTTCTGTATATTTGGCATTGTTAATCAACTATATTTCTTTCTCTTTACTATTCCTTGTAAAGCATTCAAACTCTCAATGGTTCCTTGTGTAACTTAACACTGTGTCACACAGCATGTGACGCTTTCATGAATTAATCTTTTGCTTTTTCTGGAGATGTGAGCTAGGGATGCTAGTGCAACAACATGCAAACTATAGAGTTGGAGATGGATAACTGCATATCTGTTTCACGCTGCCAACTATATGTCTCATGTTGCAGACTTCTTGGTAGACAGGTGTGCCATCATGCAACATGCAAAAGGTCATTTCTTGAGAAAGGATGGGATGGGGGAATAGAACTCTTTAATTCTGGTCAACGATTGACAGCAGCATGAATGAAATCGCAAGTCTAGCTCTGAGCCTTAAAGTAAGCATGCTTTTAAAAAGCACAGGAATCAAAACTACATATAAAAAAGATCTTTAAGCATGATTGGTCATCAGTCAACCCCTACCTTGACAGGCTAATACCATTTGTAGGTTGTGCATATTCTGTTTCTTCTGTTTTTTTGTTAGCATACACTTTGTCCCTATATAATCAAACCTATATACCTTTAAGTTAGTGAGAATAAAACTGAAAGCATACTGAAAGTGAAAGTGTCATGTTTAAAACAGAGATGGTAAGAAGACAATAAGTTTCGTTTACAACCTGGATGGAATTCCTGGGGGGAATTTTCATACAGTTAACACAGACAATGAATGTCACACACATCATTCAGGTGCACTATTAGCATACATCATTATAAACACTTTGTCATGTCAAGAGAGTACATTGTTATGTTTTTTTTAAAATATGAATTTCTTTTTACTTGTTTCCTGCTTACTTACAATGTAAGTTGCAAGGCGGCAGAACATATTACAATCACAATTTGACAATGTGTAGGTGACAACCAGTCTTCCCATGTAAAATGAAATGAAATTGCAATTGATGAAATTCAGGCTTTGATAGGGATTGAAAATGTGGCTCTTGAATAGTCATGAAACATAATATTAGTTTCATAAACACTTCCACTTACATGTAAATGTGTCATTTGTTAAAAATGATCAAAGTAAAAGCTGGTCCTACATGAACATCAATTTGAAAAATTACAACACCACAGTAAACCTAAATACCTATTTGAGTGGAAAGTCACAATTCAAAAGCTTTCTTCTTAACAAGTTCTGCATTTTTACAGTCTCAATATGACTCAATGGTCTGTCACATGAGCTGTACATCATACGGTAATTGTAACTCACTTTGTCCTGTTCTGTATCATGATAACGTTCAACAAACCAAACATCACAAACACTTCCTTGAGTGACTTCATAAATATCTTGGAAGAACTGCTGTTCCGTCATTTGCTCCGTAATCCAGAAACTTATGTCATGAATGTATGTCGGAGGAAAGAGACTGATTGGAACAAACTCTTTACCAAGGTTGGGAAACTCATCAACCTACATGTAAAGAAGTAGTAAAGGACACTTCTTCAAACTTCAGAGCATCATGCATTACTCTTCTAGCTTTGCTTGCAGCAATAGAATTAAGCATTGACAAAGGGCAGCTTTTAAACTCTTTACAGTGGCTAATTTACATTTTCAACTCAGTTGATAATACTAAATTACACTGTTATACTCTTCTGCTGAGCAGCACCACAGTTTCTGTAAAAACTTACCCCCTTTATTGTTGCGTCAGCGATTTACTTCCTACAAGCACTAACATTGTAAATAGATTACAGAGATGAGAAGAATGCATCTAGAAAGATGAACTGCAAGAAACACAAGTCACCATGCACAAAAGAAGTGAACTGCTCCTAAGCATTGCCAAATCCCCCAACCGCATCATGAAAGAACCTGAACCTCTAAAGGAGTCAAACATTGAACCCAATAACAGAATCACAGATATTCAAACAAATGCTAAGGCATCAGACTGTAAACAGAGAAACAACACCATGGCAGAGGAGCATGATCAGCTACAGGTATGACTGACACAGCATTCTCCTTACACTTAGGTCCAGTTAAGTTCCACATATGGTCAAACTCAACATCACAAATTGACCCATTCAATTAAGAGTTCCCAAGGGTAAGTCCAAAAATAACTATTTTTCTTCTCAAGAAAACAATGCTGACTTTTCAAAGAAAACATTTTACCTGTGACCTCCTTCAGAGGGCGAACCACAGAAATGGCCATAATGGCTGATTGAATACAGTGTAAAAATTAATAATAATACCCAACATTCATAACCACCGAATTTCCTATGCTAGCCTACAAAGCTTCCAGTTTTTGTGCACTCAAAAGGCACATAGAACTGTCACTCACTTGGGTTCCTCTTATGTTTGAACGTAAATAACTGATCAAAAAATGACAGAGAATTTCTGTACACTAATTAAATTACACAATTTGTTACATGAATTGATAAGAACCCTTACCTCTTGGCTTGAAAACTGTTCTTGAATCCTTGGATCATTTGACCAAAGCAGTCGTATGTCAGGAATGTTGCACAAAGCTAAAGCCAAGTTGTCAATATTAACTTCCATGAGCCACCCACAACAAACTTTTGGGAACTTGCTAATATCTAAAATACCACAAGATACTAACAGCATGTCTTTATGATATAACGTAGTCTTTGGTGAGGGTTGTATAAGGTCATTGATGCAAACTTGTGGAGAGATATCATGTCCTAAATAATGCTTTTCCATCCTGCAAAAAATGCACTTCTTTTGGCCATCTTGGTTTCTACAATGACATCCAATGCTTGCAGCACCTGCACACCTGACATCTAGAAATCTTGTTTGTACTCCATTTTTTAACTGGGTTGTCTCTGACTCTACTGAACTTGGAGTAGAGAGGGGATTTGTCTGTGATACACCTTGACAACTACTCTCTCTTCTTAAGTCTTTGATGCGAGAGCAAATATCTTCAACAAATGCTTCTAGCACACTGTTCACAACACTCTGAAGTTTTAATGGTGTTATGAGTTCTGTGAAAGTCTGTACTGCAACCAGTTTGTGGCTGACAGGGTGTGTGCGAGATGATGGAGGGAGAAAGAAGTCAATCTCAGTGCCACTTAAGATGAAGGAATGACAGTTTTTTTGAAGCTTCTCAACAACTCTGGTTGCAAAAGAGATCTTCGAATATTCCAGCGTCAACCCTGTGGCCTCTTCTCTGACATTCAATTTCTTTGCTTCCTCAGTCAAATCACTTACATATTCTGATTGGCAGCAATCTTGCCAGGATCCATCAGTCAGGTCACAAATATTGTAATTTCCAAAGAAACTTTCAAGTTTTTTGACCAAGTTACCAACAGGATTATTAGGAACACCAATGAGACGACCCACTGAGTAAAGATTGTCCACAATGCTACTGTAATTTGAGATGAAAGACCTTAATGCAAGAGAGAAACCAAAATAAAACCAAAAATATAATACATGTGCAGAAAAAAAATTGGTTTGAGAGACATTTTGAGGTCTGAAACTTTTTTCTTATCAAGAGATGAGATAGCCATACAAGTATGGCTGACACTATCAAATATATAAATGGTTTGTGGAACATTAGAAGAAAGACACCAAGTGTGGCTTTTAAATCAGTAAGCATGCTGTATTGCACTTAAAGCTATAAAATCTAACTTTTTGAATTGCAATTAATGCAAAATGATTTATTTTACTGACCGAGTGGAAATTTGATTTGGCCAATACTATTCATGTCATAAACAAAGCTAAAAATTAAAGAATGACCATGATCTTTGGTGAGATACCAGGATGCTTTTTGTGGTTAATAGTATTATGAGGGAGCTTACTCTAGGTCTGGAATTGGTTCCAGTGGCACTCCATGGACAAACACATGAGTGAGCCCATTTACAGTATGAAAACCTTTCCCAAGCTGTCCACGAAAGCCTGCACTTCTGTAAGAGGTATAATCTTCACTTTTGAATGGATACACATCATTCAAAATCAGACCTAGTTGTGGATAAACAAGATGATACAGATTAAAGTGTGGATATTGGAAAGAGCAATGGTTAGAGTCACTGACACAGGTTGAAAGGTCTTGGCTCAAGCCACCTCCAGGAGTGATGGTGATTGCATGATATTTTTGGGCAACCAAATTGAACCTTAATGCCTTGTCCACTCACATGTGACACAAGGCACCAGCAAATTGTCAAGGATAACTGAAAAAATACCTCTAATACAGTAAAGAGGTTGGGCCTACAAGTGATTCTGGTTGATATCATGACTTTAATACTGGTTATCAAAACATAACTTATTGCCCTCACAACACTCCACTTTAAGGGTATGGTGTAACTTCATCCCGACAACCACATCGAAAGATACCCTCCCGTTGACAGAACCTTTCTGGGAGGTTCATGGAAGATTTCCATAAAGCCCTATACTTCATCATGCACACAGTTCTTGGATGAAGAAAAATGGCAAAAATATTACAATGACTTTGGGACCAGGGCTTTGTTTTAGAATAGTAATGGGTTTTACGGAAATCTTTTTGAGGTTGACATCACAGAAGGTATTTTGATGGGGCAGGTCAAATTGATTGGCTTCGTGGTGGCAGCTGGCACTAAAGAAAAATCTCCAGGTTTGAAGTCACCGGCCGTTCGCATCTTAATCTTTACAATTCGATCAGCTAGCTAGCTCATCAATTTTAAATAATCTCCAAATGACAGAACTCGTCAACAAAAAACAACAACAACAACAACAAAATACCAACCAGCTTTCGCAGCTCGGTAAACAACTTGCCAAGAGTTTCCAAGCTCCCTTCTTGGATTGTCTAAGGGCGTTCCTCCCTGACCCTGACAAAGGCTTACACAGATATCGCCTTTGAACCGTTCTACGTGGTGCGCAGCGCTTGCAAAGAACCGCTCCAACAGATCTCTCGATTTGGCAATGTTTGATTTGCCACCAGTGTGTGGAAAATTAAAGATCACCCGATCAAACGTTCTAGAGCCAAATTTTTGACAAAGATCTGTTGCATCTACCTCGTGCAAGATCTCGACGTTTTCAAAAGAGGACAGTTTCGCAATGTTTCCCAGAGCGAAGTCGTTACTTGCCAAAGCTGCGCGCGAGTCTAACGATGTCGCTACGATCTTCACAGATGTCTTTGATAACGCTGACGCCAAACAAACCGTGAATGAAAAGTTACCATCTCCGACTACTAGCACATTATTAGAATACGATTTTGGGTCAAGTAATGCCATAGCCGTTCATAAAGCGGAAACATAGAGCATTGAGATCTAGAAGCTCAAGTGAGCGCCATTTTGTTTGCGCGGACTTGGATGATTATTGCTGTGGTATAAGCATCACCAAAGTAGACTAATTGATATTAGTACCCAGCTGTTTCTCTGTCAATAACATTGCCCATGTCAGTGCTGGCTTCGTACAAGAGCGGCTCTCTGGGAAGCTTAATCTCATATGTAGCGAGGAGACACTCAAGGTTTGCTGAGGTTGTTAAATTTCGATTTGTCATGTCAGGAAGGCGGAGTACCTTTGCTGGAGGAGAAACCCAGCCGAACAATCGTTTCAGATCGGCAACAGATGCCTCTCACATCAAAGCCCAAAAGAGACAATGTAGTTGCCTGGAGGTTGTTCGGGAAACTATCCCTGCTCTGGTAAATTCCTCTCACAAAGGACACCTGGGTAGAATAGGGATAATAGGCGGATGTCAGGAGTAAGTAGTTTGATGAAGATGATCATAACCCTGGGCTTCAGAGATTACTGATTTTGCGTCATTATTGAGAACTTCTCTTAAATCCGGTACTATGTTGTTCGTGCTTTTAATCTTTCCCTACCACCTTTGCAGCTTGAGGGGGTGACTGAGATTAGTTTTGAGCTCGGGGTGTGCCCTGAGGCCTTAAATCTCTAGCTCTGTCCGAGTAAAATTCTGTTCCTTTTATTACCGAGTTAAGTCCTTTTTTTAATGACCCAGCTGCTCGAGTATGTCCACCTTCTGTGAAAATTCAAGATCTCCAAGAGGGTAGCATAGGAAAGGAGGAGGGGAGGGGGAGTGTTTTAATCCCATTTCTCGCCCAAATTTTAGAAAAATTCCAGGTGTTACATGTACTCGAAACAGTATTTCATGCAGTGGAAGTTTAAAGGGAAAACTACAAATCTCATCTTACCTTGAGTCTGTAACATTTGTGCATTGCATATTAAGTTTGGGTTTAGTCTCAAATTTTAAACAAACCTTTTACCACACACCTCAAACACCAAACCATGCTAAGCAGCAGATAATCAACTGGAGAAATAAGTGAGTGCCCTCTAGTTTACTACTTTTGGTAGCTCTTTGAAAAATAACATCTCATTCCTAGAAGTTTCTAAATGAAGATTAATGACTAACCCATGGATTTGTTGTGAAGTTACTCATTAGATGTGCTTTGTAAGGCACTAATTTTTACCCCACAGTTTGATTAATACTTGAATGTTTTGTAATCATGTTGCAGGTATACAGGTGCACCTTACTTTGCAGCAATATCAGCTTTGAAAGCTGTGAGTCTTAATTTTGAAAACTTCAACCTTTGATAGAGATATGTCCACAAAGGGGGTTGTTCTTGATAGGTTGTTCAAATTGCAGGGTAATAGTCTTAAATTTGCAAAATCTAGGTGACTAAGCAATCAAGGATAAACTCTAAGCATGAAAAAAAAAACACAAGCATCTGAAGAAAAAACTCCCAAGTAAAATCTAATGTCTTAATTTTTTGACATTCCAGTCTTTCTTTTGAGTTCCTTAACTGTTTAAAATCATTGTAATGAATACTCTGATATTTAATTAATTTAAAAATTTTATTTCTTACATTAATCAATATTAGCCAAAGTCCCCCAGAACTCAACCTCTTGAAAAGTTATAAGGAGGTTTTCAAGAGAGAAATGAAATTTAATGGCATTTAATTTACATTACCAGTGTAAGCCACTGAAATACTTGAAAAACATGTGCCCAGCATCTGTCATTACCATATGAATCCATTGTTCAATTTGTAGGGTGCAGATTTGTCCCATGTGTTCTGTACAAGCGATGCTTCTGTGGTTATTAAGTCATACAGCCCTGAACTTATTGTCCATCCTGTTTTGTAAGTATTGTCAGTAATGCTTTCACTAAACAACCTCCACACAATGGCTCCCCTTTCCTATAAAGAAACTTTTATTGAATAATGTTCTACTTTTCAGTGTTCAAAAGCTTCTTACCCATTCCAACAAGTGCCCCTACAAATACAATTGAAAATTTTTCTTCCAGATCTTTTATCAGTTTTAAACCTTTAACTCCTACGAGTGACCCAAACAGAATTTCTTGTTAAAAATTATTAGGCAGACAAGTGGTGAGAATGGAGATTACCAGTGGGGAATCATTAGTTGATCCAACTGCCAAATTCTTCAAACTAACACCACAAGAATTGTATAGCAGACCGTAAGGAGAATTGCTAATAAGATCTTGGCAGTGAAAACTGACATTAGAATTTCTGTTTGCCAAATGTCTATATTCAGGGACAGAAAAACAGCTGTAAAAGAAGTGAAAGATTGGCTTCCAAGACTTCACTGCATTGTAGTTGGCCCAGGAATGGGTAGAAATCCAACCATCATTGAAAATGTCAAGGTAAGTCCATGATCAGTTTCTAAGCCAGTGGAATCATGCAAACTCCAAGTTTTTGGCACAGTAGCATTCTAGTTTGATTTAATTAAGAAAGATTGCACCAGATTTCCATCCACAGATAATTAATCAGTGGTACAGCCCAATGTTGAATGGAAACGAAGTTGGAGCTTTCTAATGATATAGTTTTCAAGGCTCATTATGATTATATTTAGTCTAGAAAGAATCCTTCTGGCAATTGACTTACTGGTATTTCAATTATTTTGTCCTTATTGTCTCTTTACAGGGAGTTCTTGAGCTTGCAAAGGAGCAGCAAAAACTTCTAGTCATAGATGCAGTTGAGTATACTGTTTCAATACATCTGTGCAGTAAACTCCTAAATCACCAACCCTAGATCAGCATAATGCTTTGACAACCTCCACAGTACATCTACTTCTTATGTTTAGAGTAGAGACAAATTAATTTTTATTCATTTTTATTTGCATTAGGATGGGCTTTACATGGTTACATCCTATCCAGACATAATCAAGAATTATACCAAAGCAATACTCACACCAAATGCTATGGAATTCACAAGATTATACAGCACATTGGTGAGTTTTTTTTTTTTTTTAAATTGAGATCCCATTAATCCTTTACACCCTAACATCAGTATGCATATTCTCCATACTGTTCTCTATACATTTCCTAAGGTGCTGACAAGGAGAATTTGTTTAACAATCTAGAGCATTTTTAGTGGGTGATCTTATTCTCATGACCTATATGTATGATTTGGGGCAATATTGTAATGAGAAAATAGATGCTAATCATTCTAAGGGGTCAAGGTGTCAATCATTTGTTGTAAGAAGTATTTTTGATTGGTCAGGAAGGGGGACTTTCTACTGATTAAGTCCCACTTGTGACATAGACAGAATTTCTCCTTACGCCATCAGTACAATAGCAAGCAGACAAGTAATGAGAATAAAGAAAAATATCAATTAGGGGATTATTGGTTGATCCAACTCCAAATTCTCCAAACTAACATTATATGAATTGTATGGCAGACAGTAAGGAGAATTACTCAGGAGATCTTGGGAGTTAAAGGGTTAACTTTGAAGTACCTTAATATTTCATTTCCACTCCTTGATTTAATTATTCCAATTTGATAGTTTGGTCGTGAACCTGACCCATCTATAGACTGTTCCAGTCATGTGACACAGTTATGCCGCGAGTTAGGCGGAGTTACCATATGTCGCAAAGGGCAAGAAGATATCATTGCAGATGGGAAAGATGGTAAGTGTAGATCCCATAAGTCCTGTGTTCATTTTTCATTACAATTTTGCATGTATCTGTGAAAAGTTTTGTTTATAGGGTCATGTACCTCCCATTTGAAGTCTCCACTTGGACCTTCAACAATTTGAAGAAGAACGATTAATTTCAAGCGCATCTGTATTCAACCATTTAAAAAAATTATGCATTGATGTAAAGACACCTTTTTAAACTTTCTTCTCCAACCACCTATTGACTATACTATCAAATACACACTTTTTCTGGTGTGAATTACATCAACCTTCTGTATTGTTTTAGTGAAGCATGGCAGGGGGAATTCTCAACATTTTTTCCCCATTGTAACCTTTGACTTTTTTGTGTGATTTGCATGTATCTTCTCCTTATAATTGCCATGCTTCATCTTGCAGTCAGGTGTTGAGAATATGCAAACCTATCAGGTGGAGGTTGTCACCATGACATAACATTAAAAAAAGTCTTTTTTTTAGTAATCTGCAATAAACTAAATGGATTGAATATCAAGTAGAACTGCTCCTATTATCTTTGTAGTTAAAGGGGTGTGTTTAAAATGCTAGTTTGATGAATGATCCACAGGAGTCCAGAATTTCTTTGAATAACTATTTTTATTTATATTATCTTTAAAAAGTTTAAAATAATTCATTTTTCATGTGTTTTTTATGACTAAATAGTTGTAAACTGCAGAACAGAAGGTAGCAATAGACGTTGTGGAGGTCAGGGTGACCTACTATCTGGCTCCATGGGTGTGTTCTTCCATTGGACAGATATGGCATTCAAAAAAATGAGCAAAGAGGAAAGGTACAGTTTACTTGAATTCAGTCTGCTTCAAAGCACCGACAGCCAATGATAGGCGAGTAGGTTTCCTTGATATGATTTCCCCAGGAATGGTTATCTTTGAGAATGTTATTTGAAAATGTGACTAGTTTTTGCCATGAAAACCCGTTGTTGTTCAAAATATTTTCATGGAAGGTTTTGAACAAGGAGACTTTGCAATGGAAAATATGGTACACCAGAATCAATGTCAGTTGTTAGCGACTGCGTTCCGAACCCTACCCTAACTCAGCAACAGTCAACTGATAACAAGTTGGGATTAATGTTGGGCCAGGGTATGGTTTGCTCAGGTACTGACTTTGATCCGTACACTCTAAGGAGAGGCCATCTTGAAAAAATGGTGATAGTGGTAAATGGTAAGTCTCCGGTAACTAAGACTGTTAACAAAATAAGAAGTTGTCTTTTCCTTTCTTCTCTCAGAGCATGTTCGTATGGTCGATCTCTGGTAGCAGCATATGGGGCCTGTGCACTAACAAGGACTTGCAACAGACTGGCATTTGCTAAGTACCGGCGGAATATGACGACAACCGATATGATACCAGAAATTCACGATGCCTTTGAACTGTTATTTCCCGAGAAAAAGTCAGACGAACCAGTTATAAGACAGGAACACACCGTATAGAGTTCTCAAGTTCGATAAAGATGGTATTTTGGCCGAATTACTTCCTAATTAAGGACTAGCAAGCAAACAAAGACTGCAAGGTGCTCAATTGAACTTTGTTCTTTGGAAGCGGTTTTCTAATTCTTAATAGAGCGCCTTCGGTGGAGTGTCCTAAAACCAATCGGTGGAGTCTTAACAACCAATCAGAGCGAAGAAAATATCACAAGGAACCAATGAGAACAAAAAGCAAAGACAAGCAAACTTCATGAATTAAAAGCGCGGTAAAACTGGGATGACCAAGTCGCGATTGGATGTAGTTTTTTTCAGCTGATTGGTTGAGAGAGTGGCGCGTGTTTTCTGGACCAATCACAGACAGAAAGTAAACCAAAACTAATGTAATTTCGGTGTACATTCGACGATGGATTGAAAATTGCTACAGCGCGGTTTTATGAGTATTTGGTCATTGACCGCATTTCCTATATACGACTGAGTCTTACTGTGGAGTAAATCCATCTCAAGCTAGCTTTAGCCCTTTCATTCCCATGAGTGACCAAGAAATAATTTCTCCTTAAATTATTAATCCAAAATCAAGCAAACAGATGATAAGAGTTTAGAAAAATATCAAGAAAGGAATCATTATTTGATTCAACACCGAATTCCTAGAAGTATCATAATGAGTAAAGTGCTGCAATCAGTTAGGAGAATTACTACTGGCATCGTGGTAGCCTGAGTGAACGGTTGAAACTCAAGGTTTGTGAGGAACTATGATGTATGAACTGCGTGTGGTGCTTGAGTGACTTGGTAGAAAACTAGTTACTGTAGACGCCGCGTGGGATGTCCACGTCAGTAAAATTCGTGACATAGAATTGGATAATATTGGTTAGATCGAAGTAAGTACACTGCTGCAATAGAATTTATGTTGTTGGTTATAGATATGTTTTGGGCCCGACTCAGAGTCATTTTTATCACTCGCATTTCGCTATACTTACAATTAAAGATTTCAGGGTTATTCAGGGTAGTAAAGTCATTAATTGCTAGAGAAAGATCCCCTTTATTGTGTCAGTTTGTAATTAATTGTTACACTTTATAATACCTGTCTTCTGTATGGAATTGTCGCTCTTTGTAATACCTGTCGCACGTTGCAATAAAAGAGCTATCGCACTTTGTAATAATAACAGACCGTTGTGCATTTTAATAAAGTAAGCTGTCGCACTTTGTGACAAAACTTGTCGCACAGTGTAATGAATTTTGTGTAGATAGTCGAGGGACAAGTAAGCAGTTATTGCAAAATGCGACAATTTTATTGCAGAGTGTGACAGTTGTTAAAAAGTGTGACAATTACTCTATTCAAAGTGCGACAGAACACCTTTCATCTACGGAGTTTGTTTTCCATAATTCAGCCTCAAAGGATTTCTCAGACCTATTTTCCTAGAGATCAGGGTGAGTTGTTCCAATCCATTTAAGTTTTTCACGCATTCCCTCCATGGTGTGTCTGAGAAAGGGGTCACACTAAGTCTCTCTCTTCGTAAAGTATCTAGGAACCCTCATAATATAAGAGAGATTATTTAGGGAATAGGATCTTTATGGGATATTCAGTCTTGTCTTTTGATCCTCTTTGTGTGGTACTCAGGACCTGAAGCAAACTAATGCTGTGAGCAGAGGAATTGCTCTGTGTGTGATTTTTAAAACTTCATACTTTTCCATACCGTCCTCCTGCAAAACAACGTGAAATCACCGACATTTGTGTGCTCTGAGAATGGGAACCCCGACCACAAATTATTTTCCTGCAGGGGCCCATTGCTTGTTTCCTTCTAATTTGAAACTCAACGCTGCTCAGGTACGTTTAGCTAAAATTTAGGTCTGCGCGAAATTCTTAAGAAGAAATTAATGTTCAATATAATGGAAGTTTTCCTTAGTTTTGCCGCCCTAATATTAACTTGCGGGCAGATGTTCTCTTAATTAATTGCAGATCTTTACATATACGGCGTGTGATGATTTCAGTTGAAAGGAGAACGTTTAATTACCAGTGGAGGATAACGCAAATTAAAACAATAAGCTTCCATATCAGGATGTGAGGGTATAATCACTTGCACAAAGGAATTAAGTTTCTAAAGAAACTGGTGCTGCGTCGGTGGGAAAGTATAACAGGGTAATTTCGTATTATCAACTGAGTTGATAGTCAGTCGCTCTGACGAAGGGTTAGCATTCAAAACGTCAGCTTTAAAACTCTTACGGAGGCTAATTTACGTTAACAACTCAGTTGATAATACTAACTTACCCTTTTACAGTCACATATATGCAGTTCTAAATATTTATAAAGGTTTCATTGCTTCCTCTTCCAATATCGGAGAGCACTCCTTCCAGTCGACCAAATGTGTCTGTGTCTACGACAGTTAAGATCTTCTTCTCTCGAACACGTAAACTTGGTCAGAGGATAAATTCAGCAACGACTGATAACGTTCTTTTTTCAACTAAATAGAAGGAACACATTGATCAGATGCGTGAATACAGTTTAAAAGCGAATTTCTTTGTCTTCGGGAAGCGGCAAAAAGCGCCAAGTTTTTGTTCAGGAATTATGATAAAGGTCACTTCCCTTTATATGTATTACAACGGTAACCGGTCAAGTCGCCCGAGGTCATCTCGCCCGAAGTCATGTCGCCCGAAACCTGAGTCATGTTGCCCGAAATTTTAGTTATGTCGCCCGAAAGTTGCCCGAAGAAACAAATTACTAAAAATATCAGAATTTCAGACTGTAAATAGGCAATAACGTTGAGAAATTTTTTTATCACTGAAGTGCTGTTTGTTTCCGACAACACCATGAAGATTCTTAAAGCGTTGTTCGTTCCTAACAACAAAGGGAAACGTTCGTTTCCAACAACAAAATGAAGCGTTGTTCGCTTGGTATGTAATCGTTTCTTACTCACAGACGTTTCGTAAGCTTGAGAAACGTTTTCTTGGTTTTTAACAATACCATGAAGACTTTGACTACACAGAAATCGATCATATGCTCGGAATTGAAATATGTTTGAGTAACGATTCTAAAAGCGTTGTTCGTATCTAACAACAAAGGGAAGCGTTCTCCGTTTCTGACAAAAATGAAGCGTTGTTCGTTTGGCATGTACTCGTTTCTTACTCACGGACATTTCGTAAGCTTGGGAAACTCTTTCTTGTTTCTTAAAATGCCTTGAAGACTTTGACTACACAGAAATCGATTGTATGGTCACAATTGAAATACGTTTGAGTAATGATTCTAAAAGCGTTGTTCGTTTCTAACAACAGAGAGAAGCGTTGTTCGTTTCTATAACAACAAATGCATGGATGCAGCGTAACATACAAGTAAAGTTTTGTTGTGTCTATTTGTGACTTTCTTAACAATAACAGATGAAAACACCTCGTAAACGAATGTCGATTGTCGCGTTCGACAAGTCGGTAAAAGCTAAAGCAAGTAATATACAAATAAAATCAACTTGTTGCCTTGCGTGAGGTAAGTGTCATATTTTTAAGATAACAGTCTATTGTTTATGCTTGTTACTTTTTTCACAGTAGCAGTCTGATAGCATCATTTCCCTTAGGCTCAGAATAGGCAAAAATTATGTAGTTGTGCTCTGTTTCCTCTGGCAGTCGCATGTATATTTTGATCCGATAAAAGGATATATGAAGGGAGTAAAGCCAGCTACAATACGAATACGAACTGATCACAATGAGCATTCATCCTTGCATTGACTGTGATGATGAAATTAGACCACGTCAACAAGCCCTACAGTGCGACGATTACGGTCGACCATATGGCCTTTCTGACCATATGATCGAATTTTGTGTAGTTCATGTAGTTTGTGTTCATGGCTTTGTTAGAAACCAAGAAAAAGTTTCTCAAGCTTACGAAACGTCCGTGAGTAAGAAACGATTACATATCAAACCAACAACGCTGCATTTTGTTGTTGGAAACGAACAACGTTTCCCTTTGTTGTTAGGAACGAACAACGCTTTGAGAATCTTTGTGGTGTTGTCGGAAACAAAGAGCGCTTTAGTGCTAAAAATTTCTCAACGTTATTGCCTATTAACAGTCTGAAATTCTGATCTTTTTAGTATTTGTTTCTTGGGGCGACTTGACTTTTTTTTTCGGGCGACATAACTAAAATTTCGGGCAACACGACTCAGGTTTCGGGCGACATGACTTCGGACGAGATGACTCTCAGGTGACTTGACTGTAAACCATTATAACTGTTGGAATGCTTTGGATCATAAGTTTCCTTTATAAAAACTTTTGGGGGCCAAAATGCAGAAGTTTTAATCGGAAGAAAAATGACAGTTTTGTGAAGTGTCTGAATTAGGATTGCCATTTCTATATGAAAGGGATAGCAAATACTCTCTTCAAATTTTCGATAGCTATAAGCGGGAGAGATAATTTACGTCTTAAAAATATTCTGAAAGGCGGAGTAGAAGCAGCTCATCCCTCCAAGGGATTCAGAGGGAACACTTCGTTGTCGTGCTAACACTAAGAGCAAATTTTCTCTTTTCTCGTCTATCTTTTTTTTTTCATGATTAAGAAGGGGACCACGAATGTTTCTTTTGAATCTCGCGACAGACGAAGCTGAGAAAGACGGACTGGAGAGAGGGCCTATCCTTTCAGTGTATTCATGAGAAAATGATTTAAGATTACTAACCAGAGAAGGGAATCAAGATCCTCATCAAGTGATACGATTTTGCTGCTACAGCGAGTGATAGGTGCCTTGCTAGATCGTGAGTGACGGGAATAAGGAAGCTATTTTAAGACCGCAAACGAATTTGCCAAAAAAGACAAAAAGTTACACGCAATATGTGCACCAAATAAATTTGAAAGGACCTTTGTTTCACGTTGTTTTCTGGCTTATTTTCCTTGTGAACTAAAACTCTATGATCAACACAATCCAGCGATGATGTTCAAATGCATATCTCATTTAGAATCAGTACCCCTGCCGTTTCAAAATGATTGCCAGCTGTTTTGAATTAAAAGCACTCTACATCAGTCCAGGCCACATACAGCTTTCAGAGATAAACAGTTCGCTTCAGGCAGTAAGGATAAATTTATAACTGGCAAATAGCCCGGAACCTAAGATTTTGTGAGTCATAACATTTTCTCTGGCCAGCCATAAGGGTTAATAGGAATAATGATAATCAACAAGAGCGTCATTTTGCAGTGTAGTTCTTCTGTTCAAATTAATGTAAATAAAATAAATACAGTAATAAAACAAAAAAACTCCCCCCTTGCCAAGACAAGTTAGTAGTTGTAAAAGTCGCCAGAAAGTCTCCTTTGAAAAAGTGAATTTGCTGAGGGAGGCGCACATGTAACAGCGTATCTCGCCGCTATAGAGCTGTCAGTTGACCAGCCGTTTTTTGAAGCAATTAATCTTTGATAATGTGGCCTTTTTTGACCTATGTAAGCCGGCGGTGATTAATTCACAATAGCAATAATTTACAACATTCTTACTCCTGATGCATGTATAAATGAGTTTCTGCGTTATCGAAATTTAATTTGATTTCTGTTTCCCCGAAAAACACTAACCTCAATAAAGAAAACATTTATCTTCAACCACGCGCGTTCTGCTTGTCACATGGCACACACGATCTACATTTAGACGTGTGTCAGAAGACGTAAACATAGTTGAAGTATTTTTTGCTGTTATAAAGTAATGATATTGAATTGATCTTGAATGCGCGTTTGTATTGGACGTTTCAGAGTGGAAATGTTTCAAAAATAGCGTCGAAGTCAAAACCGCAAAATGTTAGAACTTTCGATTCTCGACACCTAGACGCGATCGCGAATATATCAGATCCATTTCGACTGTTTGGTATGCAATTAGTCATTTCACTCTGAGAAGAATTTGTATACAACTCCTTTCAACACGCTTCCGTTGTGTGACATTCATTGTCTGTGTTAATTGTATTAAAATTCCCTCAGGGAATTGTTTGATGATTGACTGGTCAACACCTCTTCAACGACGACAGAAGGAAAAGGGTACTTTACATGAGTAATAGCTCCTGTTAATGCGGCAGACAGGAAAAGAAACGGTCAGTTTACCGTCAGAAATGTCCATGCACTTGACAAGACCAAAATAACGGGATTGAAGTCAAGCCAGAGAAAAACAATAACGAGGGGCGTTCGTTTAAAGATGTTAAGTGGTTGAAGTATACACAAGCGTTGAGCGCCGGTTCGTTTGCAATCACGATTTCTTCTCACGCCTCTCTGACGGTCCTGAGGCTAGTTCCTTTGTTCACACGGCCACATACTTTAAATATTTACGTGGATGCACGAATGAAACTGAATTTTCTTTCATCGGCGTCAGCATTAATCGAGGTGTCTTCCTAATTTTGGTTTATTTTATCGAGAAGCGTCATGGAGGGAGGACTACGTTTGCGGCCCGTAATCATATTTTCACTGCTAACGTTTTGCGCGTCCACCGACGTAATGAAATTTCAAGTTTTTGAAGAACAAGACGAAGGAACTTTCGTGGGAGACATGTCTGAGAGTCGCATGGTCAGAACATTGTCCGAGAATGAAAACTTAAAAGGAGAGCTTCGATTCCAGTTTCAAGGATCTCTACAAAAGTCATTTAAAATCGACGAAACCACAGGAATTATTCGAACTGCTGCTAAGTTAGACCGCGAAAACTTGTCTCTTGAGAATGACGATGATACATTTCAGATTCAAGTGAAGGTTTCAAAAGGAGCTGTAATGCTACCTCTACCGACAGAAATAAAAGTATTAGACGTCAACGATCACAGCCCTATTTTTGCGGGGAAGATTGAAAATATATCGGTTTCCGAGTCTGCTCCGTTGGGTGCCGAATTCCCCGTGACAGTGGCAGAAGATACCGACATTGGCAACTATTCCGTTGAAAGCTACGAGATTGTGAAGAGAAATGACAGTGACACTTTTGATCTAGTACTCTCGAAACCAACTTCAGAGATCACGAAGCTTAAACTCGTGGTTTCGAAAAGGCTTGACCGAGAAATTAATGAAAGCTTTTTCTTGGAGATCGAAGCAAGAGATGGAGGAAGCCCGCGCAAAGTTGGTCGCAAAGGAATACGAATTACAGTCTTGGATTCGAACGATCATATCCCGAAGTTTAGCCAGAATCTCTATGTCGGGGAAGTGAGAGAAAATTCTCCCGCAGGAACGTTGGTGTTAAATGTGACCGCGACAGACAAAGACATCGGCACCAACGGAGAGATTTCCTATTCTCTTAATTCTCGACCTCAATATAAAGACTTATTCAGTTTAGATGCACGAACTGGCGAGTTACGAACAAAAGCTATTTTGGATTATGAGCGCTTTAAGGATTACCAATTGGAAGTGACAGCAAGAGACAGAGGGCCGGATTCAATTCCAACAACTTCTTATGTCAACGTGAAGGTTAGTGCATGTGCATTAAGTTGAATTAAATTTTTCCTTCAAGGAGCTCCCTATCATGAAAGTCAACGGTCTTTCATTTTATCCATAACTCCATAATGTCGTGATAAAGTTAATAGCGCGGAGATAAATAGCTACTTCGAAATTTATTGTGTATCATTATGGTAGTATAAATACCAGTTTGACTTCTAGGGCTTGGTGAGTCCATGATGAAATTTACACATGGATTTGCACTTGAACTCAACACCTATTGACAAGCAAACCACAGAGCTAATGAAAGCTAAGAAAGACGCGCTGAAAGTGCTTTCATCGTTCCTAAACCGCAGAATGGAAAGAAATATTTATTGCTTGGCTTCAATTAAATACGGATTTTCTAATTCTATCTCTTTTCTAATTTTTAATACACTACACGGCGTTGGGAGCCGAAATTAATTAAGGTTCCTTGTTAAAACTGCGAAGCAACTTTACCGAGACAAACAATGAGCTCTATAGTTTTCTAGAAATCTGCCACAAAAAAGCTTGCCGCCTTCGCGTGAAATGTGGCACTTAGCGCTATTAACTCTTCGCTGCGATATGGCAAAGATTATTGCTTTTTCAAATTACATCATATTATATTTTCAATTCTGTTATCGTTCACAGACAACTCAGAATATTTTTAGGCAATATTTGTATTGAAATCTTGACTTTCTGTATTGCTTTTATCGAGTGTTACAGTTCGATCCCTTTGTTAGACTTTTTTAAACACCTTTGTGGTTAGCGAGTATACTATTTCTAAATGCTTTGATTCAGGAGAAAAATAATTAGTTTTGTTTTTCATTGATGGAGATAAACATCAGTCGCTGATGAACCCTTATCATATAAGTCCCTATTATTCCCTGCTGTGAATTCAATGATGTGAACTTGTTAGCCACAATACAGTTTTGTGCCCACCCAGTCAAGCCTTGTCACGCCGATTAAGGACTAATGCCTTGACGTATGAAGTATCTCTTAGCTTAAACGCACAAAAGGTTTAAAGAATCAGCAATCGTTTTTATCGCTTTGTGTTTATTCCGTAGAAAGACTTCTATACTGTAATGGATCGCGGTTTTCGGATGAAAACTGTCGTGGTTGCTTCACGCTTCGCTTCCGTTTTCACAAAGGTCCACTATCGTTTCTTCTGTGATTGACACTACTGTTTCCAAATGCTTTACCACGGCGCTTTAATCCTAAGTGACAGCCTACTTCGGATTTGCATATGTTCTAAAAAGACCCATTCAGTTCGTCGTGTTTTTATTTGCAAATAATTTAAAATAAAGTAAATATTCCCAACCGGGGAACTCACGTCTTTGTTCAATATTTGCAAGGCGTTTTCCTGTACTAAAAGCCTCTGAAATTGGAACCATTTTATCTAAAAAGGGTAACGTTCACTTTGTACTCGTTAGTGTACTTTTCAGATGTGATCGTGGACGGCAGCTGCCACGTTATCTTTCGATCAATCTTTCCTCGTGTGAGGCCCTCCACGCATGCATTCCAGCTAGGATCTCGTAGCGAGCAGTTGGGCGAAGGCGCAAAACATCCGCGCCAACTTGAAGTGGGTTAAATAAATTTCACCAGTATATTCAAATTTGCTAGGACGTAATTAAAAACTAGCATGCTTTTCCGGAAATCGAGGATGTTTCTTAATCCTCTTGTTTCGTGGGGGTATTTGATGTGTAGACCAAAATCCTTGAAATGTTGTCAGCACAAAAATGCTTGTTTACATTTTAGGGAAAGTAAAGTGGAGTAACCTTCAAGGACTCCAGCGTTGTTCGGGCCGTCTTCAATGAAGTATTTATTTTGTGGCTTTGAAAAGATGTCAGCTGTTTATGTCAAAAAGTGTGTACTTTGTGGGGTGTCTTTTTGTCTAAGAATTGTCAAACTCCAAACTAAAAGAAAGACATGAAAGAAGTTGCGACAGTGGGGGCCATTTTTCACGCTCGCACTTTTCTTTTTCATGGAATTTTCGTTTTGATTTTAACTCAATATCAATATGTGTTATTTTTTCAGAGAAGTATATTTGTATTTTTGTTTTGCAAAACCACGTGCTGATTTGCCGATGTATTTAATCCATGTTGATTTCATTCACCTCCTCATGTTTAAAATTCAATGATGTAAACAGCATGTGATCCTTAAATTTTGAAAACTTTTTGTCGCATTTATGTATTGGGTTTACCAAATGTCTCCCTAAGTTCTATGTTTACTGTTGAGAATGCACTGGAAAAAGGGTGGGTAAGTTCAAAGATATCTAGACGAGTTTATGTTTGTAATGGATTGATCGTCGACGGCTGTCAAAGGAATGAAATTAGTATATTGCAGATGAGTGAAACCTACACACGATCGCCCCCCAAAGCGGAAGTGAAGTCAAATTTCTACAACAAAAAAACGTCAGGCGTCAGATTCAAGCCCTGTATGTGTTGTATGTTGCACGTGAAAAAAATCCTTATTTTTTTCATGAAAAATACGTGTTTTTTTTCTTCTTTTTTTTGCTGTCCAAAGACAAGTCATTTTTTTTGTCTTTTTCGTGTGCGCAAGGTTTGAAAAATTAAAAGATTTTACTTTGACAGTATCCTGCAAGTCTACCAACATAGCTGTTATGAAGAAGATGTCGCCTATAGAGCTGACTTTCATAGCGCCCCATGCTATTTAAAAATCTCTTCAGTAGTTAGCGATTAAGTCGTGACCAATCATGTCTTCTGGATATGTGCTTTTGAAAAAAACGGAAACATCTTAAAGAGAGCTCAATTAATGAAAGTTTTTAAGGACATTTGGGGTATTTTTTGGTCACACAAACCGCTGGGTACATGGTACGTGCTCTAGCTGCACATAGATAGCATGTTTAAGAATCATTCGTTTCCGATTCTTTCTTTCACGTCCTAACCAATCATTGTATCTTAGTTACGCAGCTTTCCCTCAGGCAAGAGACGATAAATAAATTCATGAAAGTAAAAAGCTGCGATTTAGGATGTCTTTACACCAAAGGCTGTGTGATTTTAGTTTCTGAGTCGACAAATACTTAGAGTTTTGCCCAGCCTTTTTCCAAAAGGTTACCGTTTCTCTGTGACCTTGAATAAATTGAAGCGAACGCCGAACCAATGCATTGTTTTCCAAATAATTACCTTTTCCAAAATAGGAATTTCTAAGAAGCTTTGTTTTTTTTGTTAAACGAACAATACATTATGATGTGACTCAACCGCTCCGACCGCAATTTATATTCTGGAGCATTCAGCCGAAACAGTCCAAATTCGTTCGTGTATATTGGTTTAGCGGGACAGATGTCTGATTTGTCTAGAGTTTGTATCATGTATGTTTAGAATTGACGTTATTGAAAACAGAGCTGGTCGGTAAATTTTTTGAACAGGTAGATATGTGACCACGAATTGGAAAGATCATAAAACAACATTCCAGAGTTATGCTCAAAATTAAGACCTTGTTCGCGAAATTATACGGTGACGGTTGGCCTTTTGGTTTTTTTTTTATCATTTTTTGCTCAGTGTTTCAATAGCTTCGAGCCGGACAACGAAGATCAGCTGCGAGTTTTTATGGCCTTATGCCGTGAAGTACACCCACGCAAAGAAATAGACCCCCTCATCGTGTCGTGTCAGTCACGCTTCGCGGGCGACAATGCCCTTTTTTTTTATTTTTCGAGAAAGTTTTGTGTTAATCAGTTCTTAACAATCTACCCGCTCCATAGGGCAATTTTGATATTGCGTCTAGCATCATTGGAATGTTTTCGATAAAAACTAATTCACGTTGGAAAGAGATTGAACGTAGATTTAATTTCATAAGCCTTTACTGAGAATGATTCAATCATAATCTGTCTTTCTAATCTATTTTTTCCCTCCATTTTTCATCCTAATTATTTTCCGCCCGAAAAAGCCCGATGTTTACTTTCGCTATGCTTTTCGTGGAAATCGGATTGGAGTTTTGAACTTGGTGGAAATTGTCACCCCATGTGGGGTGGTTCTCGGAAATATAGAATGGGATATTAACAAGAAATCGTCGTTCGATCTGCTTGTAAAGGGATTTCCTTCCATTTCAATTTCTTATGCGTAGAGACACGGGAGAAAAAGGCGCGTTAAATCTCGGCTTGGTAAAAGAAAAAAATAATAAGCTGAGTGAATTAACAAAATATCAAGTTATAAAATAACATTCAAACTAAGGGACAGCCTGGGTTCAAAGGAAAATGAAATTAAAATAGTTTTGCGTGTTTTCGATGTGTAGTTAATACCCGGAAGTATTGGTGTGAGCCTATTATATTTACGCCAATAAGAGCTAAAAGATGGATTAGTTCCATACTTGGTTCTGTATGTAACTTCTTCAGAAGTGTCTGAGACTTTAAGCTTTCAATATTAAGTGTACCTCCAAGAAATGTAAGACCGCTCTTCGTTTTAATATTTTTTAAAAACACTTTTTAAACTTCTTTTCAGGTCCTAGACGAGAACGACAACGCACCGGAAATCTCTGTCACTCTCTTTCCAGATGAATTCGACAAACAAGGCAAGATTCCCGAAGATATCGCCCTTAAGACGTCTATTGCTCAGGTAACAGTGCGCGACAAAGACAGCGGGAGCAATGGTCGCGTGAAAGTCACCCTACAACACCACAAGGATGACTTTGGTCTGCAGGAAATGTTCGCTGGGCTATACATCCTGCAAATTCGGCACCCGCTGAGTCTAGACCGCCATGATCAGTACAAGATCAAGATCGTTGCCGAGGATCAAGGTTCTCCAATTTCACAAAACAGTAGTTATGTGCTCGTTGTCAAGGTGGCTGACAGCAACAGAAACGCTCCAAGGTTCGATCAAAAGCTTTACAATGTAGGCGTGAATGATGACGTCAAGCCAGGGACCATCATCACCACGCTGACGGCGACCGACGAGGATGACGGGAATAATAGTGAGTTAACTTATAGCCTGGAGGACATGCGCATTGGTGAGCGCAATGGCAGCATTGAGGAAGTGACAAAATGGTTTGCTATCGATTCCAAAACTGGACAAGTGCGAGTGCTCAGAAAGTTGTGGTGTGCTTTCACTCCTTACTTCCAGTTGAACATTGGTGTTCGGGATAACGGCCGGGTGCCTTTTCATGGTAAAACTACCCTAAAAATTTCCGTCCCGTGTTCAAAGAACACGTACAACTTCAGTGTAACAGAGAATGAACCCGAAGGAGTTGAAGTCGGAAGAGTTCCACTCGAGCCTATCGAAAGCAACAGACCACTTCGTATAAGACTACTCACGCATACTGCGGAATTTGCTATAGATGAGAACAAGAGTACAATAACGACAAAAAGAACGCTCGACCGTGAGAGAAACAGCTCTTATTCCTTAATTGCTGTTATAACTGATGGAAGAGTCGCCATGAATGTTACCGTTTTTGTTAAGGTGGAGGATATCAATGACAATGCTCCCATTTTCGTTGGTTTGGAAAACAGTCATAATCTGACATTATCCGGTGCACTTTTCGTTGGGGAAACTGTACTGAGGCTTCGAGCGACTGACAGAGATTCTGGAGCTAACGGTCTTGTTAAATTCTTCATCGTTAGTGGCAATAAGGATCGAGTATTCCATTTGAACATGCGCACTGGTAAGATCACGCTTAACAAGGAGCTCAGTAGAAAATTGTACATTTTAACCATTAGAGCAGCAGATTCGGGAGACGTTGAGAACGAAGCTTATCTGCGGTTGATAATTTCGGTCAGATACATAACTCCTCCACCGCCACCTCCAAGTTTTCCTGGAGACGGGTCTATCAACGATGATGGCGAGGTAGAATCGCGGACCGGAATCGCAGGGTTCTTTTCGGATTCTAAGATGATCATTATTGTCGGAGCCTGTGCTGGTTTTGTGATCCTTTCAATTCTTCTTGTCGCGGTTTTCATCTTGAAGTTCAGGCGTAAGGATAAAAGGCGAGAAGATAAGCGTGGTAGCTACCACGAACCGGATATAAGTCGGGAAGATGCTTTGAAAGCTTCCAAGAAAATGTTCCAACAAGCGACCACAAATCCTGGTCAAGCCGCCGAAGCTTACTTGTACGCCTCACGAAAGCACCCGATTCACGTGTCGCCAATCCCGATAAAAAAGATGCACTCAGCAATGACATATCAAGCTCCACCGGGGCCAGCTTCCCCCACAAAAGACTCGCGGCAAGATATGTATTACCCGTTTGTTCAGGGTGTAGTCGAGTGCCACAGTAGCGAGGATGAAGCGGACAGTGGGCGTGGTGGGAGCTCTCATGAGTCCACTCCTTATTACCCTCACAGTCCCCCATCCAAAAAGAGAGAGGACGATTTTCGGTCTTCGCAGCATCATCATCATCACCCTCACCGGGCCCGTAGCCCTGGTATGCCACCTCCTCCTCCACCATACGAGGAAGTTCAAAGGAAGAGAGCCTACGTAAGCATTTCTGGTATCACGCATTCCACAACAGAGCTGTAATATTGTGGAAGGTATTGACACGAACTGAAGTATGTCCTTTAGTAAAAGGCAAATCACAGAATCGCAAGCAACCCTTTTAAGGGATCTTTCGACATTTCACATAGTGTCTTTATTATTGTCCTCGGGGGAAAGGTGAGGGGAGGGGGTAAAGCGAGTCGGGTGTAGATGTTACGTCAAGATTCCCCATTATTACAACTCGGGTACCTTTTGGTCTTTGTTTTCAGTCCTTCGCTGGTTGTAGGTTTTTGCCTTAAAAGGGCCAGGTGTTTTATCCATTCAGTTACCGTTGCAATTCTTTACCCCCACAGGACTTGTCATTTAAGAGTCCTCACGTCCATAAATTTCTTCTCTTTCCTTTCTTATAGACATACTATATCGCGTCGGTCTCTCCTTCTTTCCCCTTAGTACAGTAACAAAGACTGTGAAACACTCGAAACCCGCTTAAAATTGTATATTCACGTTGATATTCGTGATCAAACGATTTAAATTAATGAAAATGCGAAATTGGCCCGCCTGCCGCCTGCCACCCGATACATTTTGTACAACGATAGAATATTTATAGAGAGCAGGACAGTTCTGCATCTTTCGAACAATGGATACTCGTTGCGTTATCTTAAAAATTTAGACTCTCTTAAACTTTAGAGGTCTAATGAGACAATATTTATAAGCTACAAACGATAATGTTCAAACGTTGATTATCTTGGTGCGCTGATCAGCAAGGGAGGCGTAAAGATGTTAATTTTTATATAACACGAATATGATAAGAGTATTATAGAATCGTTTTTCTTAATGTGAAAGCAAAATTGATTTTTGTACAATTCTAAGTAGTGATTAAATCCAATAAAAGAATCAGTCTTAAGAAAGACGTACTTGAAAGTGCTACAAAGTTTTTGTTGTCTGTTTTTGTATCCTCTTTTGTTAAAATTGTTTTCGTTGTGATAGCTGCCAGAACCTTCTTCCGGATAGAAGGTGGAAAAAGTGTAGAGAAGTTGTTGGACGTGACCACATGCAAACTTAGCTCCCTAAGTTGACATGGCTTAGAAAAAGGGAAAAGAAATTTATGAGAGAGAAAGATTCAGAAACAAAGGATGCGTCGGTGGGAGTGTAGGGGAGGTACACATGCTTACCTTGGACAATTTGTACCGACCCAGGGCAGTCTAGGACCAGAAATTATTTCTTCCCTTGTCTAAAATATAAGTGAAGATGCCGGTTGCAAATGATTCTTGTTTATTCCTTTTTCTGCAGTTACCACTACATTGTCTTGGCCACAATTACTTTGCTACACTATACTCCTATTCTAACCAATTAGCCAGAGGGGTATGTACATGAGGAATCGTCAGTGACAGGAAGATTCGTTATAATATGCATTAGTCGCCGGCGAGGCGAGTCCTCTTTGCTTAGTTATCTTCAGGCTTTCCCTCATATGATGAGCCATTCGTTATTTTATTTATTCTTTGTGGGAGGTAGAAAAAATGGTTATGTGTGCCTATTTTGTTAATGAGTTCAAACCTGATTTCTGGCGGTACAAAACACTTCGCTTCTGAGAACCGTTATATCTGATAACAGCGCGAGCTTTCATTTACAATTAAGGGAAAGTAATTAGTCAGATGTTCTCACATCAGATGTTCCAAAGCAACTTATTTATTGAAGAGTCTTGCTTCGGCCCCAGCCGGGTTGTGGTGAAATCATGGGCGTAGCCTGGGGAGGATTCACGCTCTCGGGTACATCAGCCAAAGGTTGCTGCTGTTCTTCTGTCGGAGGAGGTTGTAGAAAGTCATTCTGATCGGTGGGAGGAGGGTTATCATTTTGAAAAGCCAGAGGCTGATTCTCGTTTTGAAAAGCATTTACAAGAGAGGCGTCATTCAATCCTGTTTCCGCGCTTGGTTGAGTTCCGCCAAAATTTGTCTGTGGGGCGGCTTCACTGCCGAGCTCGTCATTTTGAAATGCAGCCATTGGTGGCACGGCAGGTGGAAACGGTGCCATTGGCTGTGGATAGAAAGGTGCCTGTGGTTGCTGTTGGTATGGCGATGGTTGCTGGAACATGGGAGGTGCATAACTTGGCTGCACAGGATTCGCTGGCATCGAGGGAGGGGCAGGTGGAGGTGCTAGTGGTTAGATGAAAACACAGTCAAGGAAACCGTCTTCAATATCTTTTTTCTAGGCATTAGTGAGACTGGTACCGAGTGTTGTAGTGGTGGCTACCAAACCTAGGCGCGGTAGCCAAGGGTGAGTTCAAAAAAACGATATGTAGTTGCGACTGGCGGTTTTGTCCGTATTAAAAACTGTTTCTTTTTAGAGGTTTTGTCTCTCGTACTTTACACATTACAAAATTTAGATTCCCTCTTGTCCACCGAGTGGAAGTTAACGTAAGGTGTGCTGGATACAGAACAGTTTTATTTTTTTAATTTTTGTTTAACCTTTGTCATTGCTACCCATTTTAAGCTATGACTGGATGTACTAAGTCAAAACGCAGGTTTTGCAAGTCTCGGTCGTCAATTATCATGACAAACTTTCTCGGGAAGAGAATAGGAAGAGTTGGATTAAGAACAAGTTTCAGAGAACAGTACGTCTCAATAATTTAAAGTAGTTATAAGTCGATGGACAAACTTTCTGGATCCGGCCCTGCGAGGCAGGCTCAACCTGACAAGCGTCAGAAAGCGAAAAGTCATGCGTGCGAGGATGAAGAGAGTTCTGGTTCCTAGTGCCTACTCTCTCTCTGACAGGTTTGTTGATTTAAATCTAAAAAATTATGTTTTTTACCTGCAGGAGCGGCAGCTGCTCCCAAGAAATCCATGACAGTACATGAAAACGAAATAGAAACAGAAGAGAAATGTTTTAAAATCTGTAAAAATGATCCACGGGATCAATTAACGAGAAACGAACCGGTTCACTGAGAACCTATTTAATATAATCTCCTTTAATTGACCCGTAAGTAAAGAGGAGGAAATTTCACGGTCCCCTCTTAGAATATACCTAAAAAAAAAGAGAACTGTTACTTCCGAAGGAATTGAAAATACGAAAGGTATTCCCAATATTAACAGAGATGGGGAGTTTCTAACAAATGCTATCAATGATTTGCAGGTAAAGATGATGTTCTTAAACACCTTTCATCTACACTCCCGAAGTAAACGGAGGAGCAGGATTGAATTTTTGCGATAAGCCCGTCGGGTAAAGATAATGTTCTTAGACACCTTTCATCTACAACTCCCGAAGGAAATGGAGGGGTAGGATTCAATTTTTCGGATAAGCTCGTCAGCTTGGCTTATATTAACTACAACACTATCGATGCATATCTCGCTCTGCAATGGAACAAGGAAATATTTTCGGCCTTTCCCTCTCTACCTGTGTAGTAAGGCCCGCCTTCTGAACGGCGCAGACCCCTTCTATCTACGACTAGAATTTTTTTCCATACCACCTCTGTCTCACCACTTAACTCTTTCTTTCCTCCCATTGGCTCATAAAGAAGAAAAATCGATTTCCAAAGTGAATCATTTTACTCACCCGACGGATCCTTGATACATGTTGGTCTATTGACAGCAATGGCATCCTTACATTTGGGCATTACACATGGAACATACTGAACCTTGCACGTTTGGCCAACTGGACACTGGAATTTCTGATCAAGAGAAAAAAGTAACAAAAATACTGTAACATTAAGAAAAATAAATTGCACCGCTGAACGTGCACGAAACTGTTCTAGATTAGAAGAATATATTTCTAGAAAATACTCCAGTGCGGTTTCGTTGCCGAAGTTGTTTTGAGACTTCATTCTGTAACTGCAAGAGAATGTAAACTCAGTTCATATTCTCTTGGTAACTGGTCATGGTTACTGAAGAAACTTGAGCAAACTGAAAATAATCAATCAAACGCAGGACCTGACGACCACGTTATGCGCTTTGACGCTACCTCGTCTCTTCTCTACCGCCTGAGGATGTGGAAATGAAGTTGGCTTTCTGTGGTCTTTTTTTCAATGTTTCATTTCAGGTTTTCACTGAATCGGTAACTGAATTGTTCGACCTGACTAAACGCTTTGATTGCTTTGACTTTATTTGCTAGAGAACTGTGAAACACTGCTGTGAGTTATCAACCATCCTTGATAAAAATAATTCATATGACTTACCTTGCATGGGTCAGGATCTCTCACTGAAAAAAACAGCGAAAAATTCGATCAAAAAATGGAACGATTAACCATTAATTGTTCAAGATCTTATCGGTAATTCTCCTAACTGTCTGTCATACAATTCTTATGATGTTAATTCTGAGAATTTGGTACTGGATCAACTAGAAAATCCTCAAACTTATATTTTTTTTCTTTCTTCTCATCACGTGTCTGATTGATATTGTATTGATATTTTAAGGAGAAATTGTGTGTTGGTCACTCATGGAGGTTAAGGTGATTCACAAAGGGAAAACACCTCTCCCTGAAGGAGATACTTCAGGATGCTTTAGTATATTTAGCTTTGTAAGAAAAGAAAATCACAAGAGAGACGATTGTAACCCGACAGGGATCGATCAAGGATTGCTAAGGATAGAGAGGGTTAAAACGGAATGGTAAGAACGGCGTTTAAAAATTATGAATCAATTTGCACAATAGTCTGTTTGCTAACCTTCTATTTTCCCTCAAATCATAGTTCGCAGCGAAAGCGAGATTATTGAGAAAGGATGTGATAGCAAAGGGTAGGTATTTTCCTCCCCCCTCCTCATCCGTTCTCGCCTTCTTACATCCCGCTTCCTCTCGAAACTACATAAAAAGGCTGTGAATGAGCCTGCGTGGCTGACGAGTTTGTGTACGCCTTATGGTTTTGTGTGCGCCAGGAGATGTACGGCGGGGCCGCTAGTGGAAAATCAATTGCGTCCCAAGCCCCTCTCAGCTTCGCCGCTCATCGCTGTGTCGCTCCCAAAACCACCAGATATGCATTGCGCAGACTAGTGGAGGATACACTTCGACATGGTTATTTTATTAATCGCTCCATTAATCAGACTGGTAAGTCTTACTTGTGGGGGTGCAGACCATGCCACCGCAATAGTTCCTACAGCACTTGCGGTCTGCATCACAGTGACTGTCTTCTGAACACTCGGAATCGGTACATTTTGGATTGGCGTCATCTGGCAGCACATAAGCGACTCCCCAAAAATTCAAGCGAGGATCCTTTATCTTGAAGTTATTCTCCGGTTTTGCGCACAAACCGGTACGGGACAGATATCCTGAGAAACAGATAGTCGAAAAGAACATAACCGCCAGTTCCTCGCTATATATTCGCACTTTACAGCATTTCATAAGGCTACCCTAACTGTTTTCAAAAACCAAACTACATTCCTGGTTAGGCTGAGACATTGTGAGAGCAAAGTGCCTTGCCTAAGAACGCAATGACCCAATATGGGGTGTAACTCTAACTCAGACTCATCGATCACTGAGTCCCAACGCACAAAGCATCATGGAAAAACGTCTACCTTATATGGTAATTGCACCTTTCTCGATAGATTTGTTATAGTAGTATGGTTTTCATTTAATTTTTTCTAGTACAGTGAACAATCTCTATCGCAACTTACCTCTTTTATTTCTCTTAATTGAACCTGTGTGGAGACAACATAATATTAAGTTATTTCATAAGTGATGGTATTCAGGCAAAGGCGCAGATCCTGGAAATTTTGTTTAGGGGGGAGGGGATCCAAATTTTGCCGGATTCAGTAAAACACATTTTTTTACACCAGAGGCTAATTAAGTTAAGAAATATTAAAAGATTAGTGAGTTTTAAATACTTCACGTTACGCAGCAATATACGATCCTGTCGTTGGAAGAATTGAATCTTTAGATTTGTTGTGACAATACCCAAAGGCCTGTTGGGAGCGGGGTATGGAGCCCGGGACCCTCCCCCTGAATATACCTCTGTGGCACCATAAACTTAAAAACTTTAGCGAAAGAGTTACCTGCGTGACAGAGTATGACATATCCAGCCAAAAGTAAAACTACAAATGCCCTCATACTTCAACTCATCCAGGGGTTGAACTCCTGCAGTGAATAAAAGAGGGATCAACAGTAAAGCACAAATAACAAAGCTTGAGTCCTTATAAATAAAGAAATATGAACCACGTTTATGCAAACGACGAAGAGCAAGCATCGATCTTTGGGTTTCTGCCTTTCAGGCCATTTGTTCACAATAATGTGGATTTATTGCATGTTTTGTGGTTAAGAGAAATTCGTCTTCTTTTCCGCTAGATCTAATAAAAATTAAAGGGAAGACTGCGAAAGCAGTGTTCGAAAAAAAACGTGGTTCTCAACCTGTTAAGTTAAAAAAAAAATTCAGACGTGTAGACGTGCGAAAAAATATATATTATTTCCTTAATTGAATTAACGTAATTCGCAGTGTGGGGGTTTTCATAGACTGGTTAAGCCGGGTGTTAAATCTCTTACTATATTAATCACCCACAGATGAAGCTAGATTATTGCAATTCCAATTATTTCTTTTTCTAAGGATGTTATTGATACCGTATTTGGAACTTAAAACAGATTTTTAATTAATCTACATCCGCCTCAGACGCCATAATACAATAAAAACAGACGATAATTAGTTTATGAAAAACGCGAGCAGCAAAATTTATCCGTGATTTTGCCTTCTCGAATTTCTTCTTGACTTCAATAGATTTAGTGGTTCTAAAAGATCTAGGTGGAAAAACAAAAATATCTCCCATTCACAACGGGTGAAACAATTTTCATATTACTGCACAAGATAGGATAAATCCAATTCTTGCAATGTAAACGAATGTTCTATATTTCTCCATAGGTGATGTGGATGTAATAATAGAAATATAGGGAGAGGTAAAGGGAACTCAAGAAGAAAATGGATATGCAGATTTCTTGTTTCCATAAGGAAATGGAAGATTCTCTGACTTAACGCTATGGACCACTGTACAAGAGAGCAGAGCGTAGTGAACTCTAAAATTGAATAATGTTAGTTATTGATAGAAGAGAAGTTGCTTATTAGAAGCTTCCATCACATGAATTTCATGCTTGGCGATCATTACCGCTAATTAAAACTTTTTAATTCCATGCTCGAACACCGTTTTGGGGGAAAGAAAGAGAAAAATCTACGCGAAGGATAATTTACGACCAAAATGAACCAATAATGACTTCTTTCTCACCCTTTACGCTTAAAACTTTCAAATTTGGTTCCAAAGATAAGATAGCGTTTGAGCAGCGATCATACACTCGTTATCTCATCATACATTGCGGTGTAGGCCTCGATAATATTCGTTTATAGTGAGTTTGTCTGGATCAGTTTAAGATTTATCTATGGTCTGGGTACCCGTTTGTTGTAATGACAGGTTGTCGATGGTTTTACACATGAATAAGCTCACAACAATTCTTTTGATTTACTCGAGAAAAAATTCGGGAGTAGCTTATACGATGTAAACTAAAATTTTATCGTTTCGGCTGTTCGAAAAAAAACACAGTTCCTGATTTTATCTAGTCTGGTGCAATGGTATGACTCTAACTTGAACAAGTGATTCCTTTAATGTCATCAGACCGCCTACTTCCGGTACAACTTCGTATGCCTCGTAATCTTTCGGAGAACTTTACATCAAAGTATCAGCAGCGAGAGAAAAAATCAAAATAACTTGGTTTCTGTAATTACTTTAAAATTGTGTGATTTCTTGCCCGCGGTATTTATGTAGAGTATACCAGAGAGAGTTACAAACGATGTTAACAATTTCAACCTGTAAAATCCTCATTCTCTTTCCCAATTTTCCCAAACAACCACAACTCGCTAAAGATGGCCATGTAAGGAGTATTCTAAGGGAATAATAACATTGGAGTACTTTTAAATTTAGCCTAAAATTAATCAACTCACCTTTTATAAGGGCATATAAATTTTTTCAAGATTTTCTCGCTTTCTTTTCCTCGCGCATAACTAATTTCTTGAAATTACCTCATTTCCCGAGTATGAGAGAATCTGCAACGCTGTGAACCGCTGACCACGAGGTTTGTCATCTGTAGAAACTGGTGCGTGATCATATCTGCTTTGATGATCCGATCACGATAGACAATCACTTTTACGAGCTGTGCAGCCGTTTAGTTTAGCCTGCTTTCCAAGTAATTGAATAGAAATGTTGTCTTTCTCCTGAAAAAAAGGGAAGTCATAGGGGTCAAGAGACAAATTGGAGCCATTTACCAAAAACGAAAAATGTTTGTGTGGAGGAAAAGAGAAATTCATGAACAGCAAGGTGCATCGAAATAACTCTCATTTTACATCCGTGGCCTCCTATTTCGCTCAAGAGACCGTTCATCATTTACTGATCCCCCACCCGCACGTTGGCAGTTAGTTGGCAGTCAATTTTCTCTAGTCTCCCTTTGATACTCCGTTGGCGGAGACTAATCCCCCCCGTTTCTCCTGAAAAAAGCTGTGATCCCCCGAAATCCTCCCCCCCCCCTTCCCCACCCTTCCCGATAAATAATGACAAGACACTAATTATAAGTTCCATGGACGATAAACTACTGTGAAGTTTGATTGATATTCAACTCTACTTTCATATAAAAAAATATAATTTTTGGACTATTTATCTTCACCGTAATTTGGGAGTTGCATCAGAAAGCGAAGATTGGAGTCAATAATTAAACCAGCCTGGATCATCGATAACTGGACAGTACGTGTGGCTGGAATGTTATCCTCATGAAGTGAATAACATGTGATGTCACAATATTAACAACTTATTTCCTGATGAAAGAAATAACCTCCTCATTTACAACCATATACCTAGTTGTTTATATATAGATTACTTCATTGACATCTCCATCAATGTGGCTTTTCAAGGCTAGTGTTACTAACGAAGAAACAAATATGTCAGATAAACAGAAGATTGGTAAAAAATCCCAACTGCTTGGAGACAGGCTACTCATCAGCTAAGGAGCTGAAATTGGGAAGCAACCGACAACAAATCCAGGGAGTGACAGGGTGGAACCTGGGACCAAGGAACTTCAAGTTCAGGGCTCTGTTCCCTTCTGTTCACTCGGCCACGCTTTATCAAGGCTCGATTTTTAGCCGCTGTCCAGGAGTTGAGGCCACGTTCCTCCCTTGTACTGAGGATGGTCTCAGAAAACGGTGAAAATCGAGCTTAAGCGGCCTCTTATTTATACATGAATTTCTGTTGTAGACAGTGCGCTTGCTTACTTTGTCGTAAGAGTTTTAAGTTAACTTTTCACAGGAAAACTCTTCCGACCGCAGCAGCGTCATCTCTTTCAAAGACACTGATGATCTCTTTATTGCCACATCTACTCCTTCTGCGTCTCATATCTATAAGGATCCGAGATGATGGTCTAAGAAAACAGCGAAAATCTAGCAGCGTCACCTCTTTCAAAGACTCTGATGACATCTTTATTTCCATATATACTCCTTCTGCTTCTCATACTACTAACTGGATAGTTTTCAACTCAGTTTGAGCCAGAGTTTTGGTGCACTAAACAAGAGGAAAAAAGCAGTCTGACCAGCGGGGCCACTCAGAAAATACATTGCAAAAAAACAAAACAAACAAAACAACTGTCAGACGAAGGCCAGCTTAAAAGCCATGTTTTTTTCCGATGTGTCTCAGTGGTGTCAAACATATTTTTTTCCGCATTTAGCGTTTCCTCCATTTTTCGCATCCTTCATATATTGCCCTGCCCACATGAGTAAATTTATCGCAGAAGTGGCAGGGGCTCTGTTAAAAACACAGCCTTTGCTATATTTTCCGAGAAAGAGAATATCCAGTGTACTCTTGTCCCAACATCAATGACTGTTCAATTATTCAATTGAGATCGCTTGAATTTCTATTCATCCCTGTCCACCTGCCTCAAAAACGCTGTTGTTCTCTTTTCCAAAAATAACTCCAACTTAAGTGAAGATCACTTAACAGAGTAAATTACTTCCACAGCACTTGTTCTTGTCATCAATTCTAATCCCTACTTTATGATTTTCCATACAATCGTTGACATTAACTGTGATGGTCGAATCCCTACGAACACGAATTTTTTCAGCACATTAATCCTGAGAGGGCGGGAACTTGCATGCGATACATTTCCACGAACTGAATGAATTCGTTAAAACTTGGATCATTCTGTAAGCAGTAAGATTAAAAAACAAAATGTTCTCGAAAAAACTGGACCCTGATTGTTTCGGAAGGAAATTAAGGCGAAACTGTAAGGTTTGAAAGCTATTAATTGCGATCGCCGCTTGACCAGTGGAGATGAATGACAGCTGTGAAACGGGTCATTGACGCAAGAGCATCAAATCGAATAATTGTCGTCAATTTTATGAATAGCATATTCTGTCTGCTCTCATCCCGTTTTTCATTGGGTCGCCTTTGGTGACAAAGTATACAAATGGCGTCCCAGTTAAATTCAATATTGACTTTGATTCAAATATGTCCTCGAGAGCTTAGAATTTCCCAGACCCTTTTTTGTCGGTGAGAACAGTGCACCTCCATTAACTAAGAAAATACGTTTTTTTGCTTGCTTTTCTTTTTGCTTAAAGCTCTAATTATATTTCTTGAAGTTATCTTCGTTTTTTTTTTCTTTTTATACCACCCATCTCATAGGCCGATCTCGTAAGCTGCTGAATCAAGATGCGTGCATTGATATCATAATTTAGTGTACCTTCCTATCAAAAAGTTTACACACCGGTAGCTAGTTTTCTCGAAGCTTCAACCGCATGCGAACGTCAGCTGAGTGCTTGGCCGCGCGTGACAAGTGCGCCTGGGCAAGACCAAAGTTTGAAGATGGCGGTAAGATCGATGAAGAGAGCATCAACTTAAAGCTGGTTGAGTTTGTCCTGTTTTCAGCAGGATCATGAGTCTCATGAAACAAGTTAGCCTTCTTCCAGCTGGCTGTCAACCTTGGAACCTTGATGTTTGCGCGGCAAGTAGCAACGGTGATCGATTTGCCTATTGTGCGACTCTCGCTGTTTACGTTTACGAGGTGAGGCGTTAGTGTCGCTATAGGAATAAACAACCCGTAACAATATCAAACAATTTCTGTCCTTTAAAAACCTCATTTTCTCCGAATTCGATTTTCTTTTAATCCATAACATTTACGGTATGTAAGATTCGTCAACTGGCCGTCTATTGTTTGACTTGTCCTGCTTAATCAGAGGAATTGGAATTTTTTCGAACTTGTTTTCAATATAAACTTTAATTAAGCGTAGGTCTTGCCCAATAAGCAGTTGTGCAATTCCTTTTGAGAAATTTAAGTGATTGCTTAGAATTTCTCTTCTGCTCTGCAAACACTCATCCAGTGTTGATGTTCTTTTAAACTCTCCATTCTCTTGGTGTGTTTTCATGCGTTCAAAATTCTCAAGAGAGTATTCCGCAAATTATCTCGTTAACAAACTTCAGCAGTAGTGACCTTTTTGATTCGTCGATCTAAGTTTGTCCTGCCCAAATTTTCTCAACAGCAAACGAGACAGATCGTGTATCTTTTTAATAAATGTGTCGCTAATTTAATCCTAAACTCGAGTCTGTCTATATTCAAATTAAAGACTAATGACTTTGACACTGGACAGCGTAATTTCGATTTTTACCCAGAATCTGTAGATTAAGGTTTAGCGTGATGTTACCTCAATGTTTCGAGAAACCTTAAAGCTTCTTATGATAATAATAAAAAAATCTCTACTCTGGGGTTGTGGGATGCAAAGGAAAGAACATTGAAATTTTGTGAATAATGTTTGTCATGGCTGAAATGTTTTGTTTTGTCATAACTGTGCTTTTTCTTCTCCTCGCATTTGTCTGAGGCACGGAGAATGATTTTTTTCGAGTGTCTTGATTGATAATAACATATTGCAACTTAGCTACATATAAATTTAAAATTGTAGCTCTCGCTGCTCTCTGATCATGGGAGAATCATATTAAAAGGATGATCCAATTTGCACCACTTGTAGTTGAATTTATTGCATAATTTTACAATGTCTCAGTTTATCATTTAATGTTAAATAAAAGAGGAGCAAGGTGTTTCAAAATAAATGCTGCAACATTGGCAACCCATGCAAAATATATTACTACATGTAGAATTTTCACTCTCATCCTATCTTGCATATTTTTCTTTTTTTTTTTTTTTCCTTTTGCCCTTTCACTATCAGAGAAAAACAACAGCTGATTTCTTAGCACAATATCAATACATTGTGAAGCGAAGCGTAATGAGAAGATGGAAAACATTAGCTTTAAGACATTGCTTGGTATCCTCCTTAAAACCCTGACATCAGTATGTAAACTGTCCATACTGTTCCCTATACATTTTCTAAGGTACTGACAAGGATAAGTGGTTTAAAATGCTCAAGTGTTTCTTTTTTGGGGGATCATTTCCTTTATTCTTGTCACCTTAATGTTTAATTCAGGGAGTAATTGTAGGGAGAAATTAGATGCTTATCACTCATAGGTGTTAATAGGGTTATCAAGAGATTCTTAGAGCTAAATTGGTAAATATAATATAAATATAAAAAATATAAATTCCTGACACGTGACTCTAACTGTAATGTGTGTACCTATTGTTATTTCAGCTAGATCCACAGTTTAAAGAATTCCGTTTGTCTGTGATCTTGGCTCAGCACAGAAAGACCATCACATGTATCTCCTGGCATCCTCAAAACCCTGATGTGCTAGCAACATCAAGTAGTGATTGTAAAATCTACATATGGAGTGTGTCACAGGAAAGAGTGATTGGTACATTGGAGAGTATAAAATCCCCTCCTTCTTGTATAGGCTGGTGTCCTCAAGATCTGGAATCTATTGCTTATATATCAGGGCGTGGACCTATGTGTATTTGGAACTATACAACCCGTGATTACACTATGGTCTTCAAGCATTTAGAATCCATGACATTTTTCTCCGAAGTGTGTCAGTTTCGCTGGAATCAAAGGAAAGTTGGAAAACTTGTCT